ACAGGAGGCATATAATTGCTTTTAGAGCATCACAAGTACTGACTGTATATCATTCCACAATGTGATGCTGCTCTTTGCTTTTCTAATATTTGTCATATGCATAAAGCCACCGGCACAAGCCTACACAATTAAGTATAAATATATGTATTTATTTAAATCCAAATGTTTATGGACTTCAGCCTGCACAAGAATACTTCTTCTTATTTGGTGCTATCATCCACCTGCTCTGTGTTGATGTATTTGATACGTTTTAATCCTCAATTTAAATATGTCTTTGCACAAACAGTATAAAAAAAATCCATTTGCTGCAAGCCCAAGATCATTTCATCCACTGGGCTGGCATGGCAGTGAGATGCTCCGAGACATGAGCGAGAGAATCAGTCAGTTGTGTATTCGATTTGGCGGATTAGATGTCTGTTCCTTCCTGTCAGTCTGTGGTGGCTGCTTGTATAAGGAGGAGGTCATGATGTCCTCATACACCGACCTTGATCTTTCTTGTCTGAATGGGCCCCTCTTGTGCAGTCGACCGGCCTCGCTTCACTTCAGCCACATAATGTCTTTCTGTACACTTCCTCAGCTCTGCCCTTTGTTTCACACCATGGGTTAATATTCAAAAAGCATAAGCTCTGCATATATTGACTTTTCTCTATCAGTAACATTATTGTGCTATAGAAAGTTTCACTTACTGTGCATGCAGACAGATGGAAATTCAAATGCAAACTAAAAAGATGCAAATGTCATCATTTCACAAAGGGCAAACATCAGATTTTCTTTCCTGTGGAGCTGGAAGTTAAAGGAGATGTCATTGGTTAAACTTCCATCTGAGGGCTATACAGAGGGAAGAAGACAATTGATGATGGCTATAAACTATAACAAATTACAACTTTATAATAAGAACCGAATGTTAAATCACATTGTCATGAGTCATTTTTCTAAACACACCAGTGTGTGTCCTGAGATCAATTTAATGTCATGCCTGCCCTGACATGACTTAGTACATTTTTCTCACCAATTGGACAAAATACATGTCTTGGCTTGCACTATGACAGGATGGGGCTGAAAAGCCCTGCACATACTTAAGAGATAGAACAGACTGCTGTAATTTAAGCAGTTTTTATACAGTATAAATCGTATTTATCCATGAGCTAAGGCTTTAAGTCATATTTTATTAACATTATTTTAAAATTTTATTGAAGATCACCACCTTTCAAATATGCAAATAGATGGTTTAATGGAGGGGGACTCAAAGTGAGCGTGACATGAGATGTTATCTCTCTGAGTAAACACAAGTGAAACTATCACAAGATCCCTGACACGAGCGCTGATCATGTGTGTCCCCCAGGAGAAAACAGCCCTCACGTCAGGGACATGTGAATGGGAACAGGGTGAGAGGGTTAAAGTTAACTGTTTAAAGTTGACCCCCCTCCCCCAGATGTACACAGATGTAATTCCTCACCCATGTGTGCAAAACTCCCCCTTTCTACTGCTCAAACAGTAAGCAGCAGGATGAGGAGTTAGCAGACACTCTGACTCCATAGATAACATCACTGATTCTTACTCTTTACAAAACTGTAATATCTGTTTTAAATTAAAGATAAAATTAATTTCATGTTTTTAAGTGCATTTTGTAATTATATTTTATAAAGAGAGACAAAGAGATTTTTAAGTGGATCTTTTTTAGAACAAAGTAGTGAGAAATGAGCGACACGAAGTGAAGCACATGGTCTTAAATCAGCCAAATGAGAGACCTTGACATGTTGTTTTTAATGACATGGAAAATAGAGAATCATCTGTGTAGCAGAGTATTTACATTTGCTTTTCTGATTTCATTTTTTAAATAAACTGGAACATAAGATCTCAAACAGGGTCATGGAAGCACAAAAAGCTTCATTCTATTTACACTATAAACAATGTTTACATTTTCAGCTGTATGTGTTTTGTTGCTTAATTCTGTGAATATTGTGGATTTATGCTTAATATAAGCAGGTTAAAATGGTTTTTGGTCACAAATATTAAAATATACTTTTCGCTGCTGTGCTGAACATATTCATCTGATGGAAAATCAAAGGGTCGGAGGTGTGACAGGGGTCCAGGATGAAGGTATTCGTGCATGTGGAGAGGTGTCGTACTGAGCTGTGTCGTGCACATCCGTGGCTGTGCCGCTGTCATACATGGGAGAGCCAGAGGATGGCACTGTGACTGAGTGAGCCAGGCCGGGGTAGTGGTTGCTGGACCCTCGCAGGAACTGGGAGCTCAGGCCGTTGTTTAAGCCTCCATTCTGGGACACGGGAGTCAGGGGTGAGTTGCTCACTGACCACAAGCTGGTGTACTGACTGTGCAGAGAGATGGACAGAAAAACATCTCACTCATCTATTCCAGGAATATTTTTTTAGGTGCGTAAAACAAGTTGAAAACAGCAACATCAGTGAAGAGATGGTAACTGCATCCATTGAGGAATAAAGATTTTCTTATTTTGTTCTTTTCTGTGTTTGATGCAATGAAACTAAACAAAGAGACATAACACAAACCTAGAGTTGGTACCAGAGGTGGAATTGTGGGCCATGGGCATCATGCTGGAGTGTGTTGGCATCTGCAGACTGGACCAGTTATCATGGCTCGAGAGCATGGAGAGACAAGCTGATGAGTTATCGGAGTAACCAGCTGCAACAGAAGCATTGGGGTTACGGAGGCGTACGTCTCTGGTTGTTTCAAATGTGTCTGTCAGAAAACAAACCCTGTATCACTACACCAGTTGTTTCTCAGATTTGTATCTTTGATATCAGTAGCTATGACAGTGAAAGGTATGAATCTTCTGCACGTACATTCCTCTTCTGAAGCCCAGCCCTTTACAGCTCTGTGGCTCAACTCACACAAAAGCCAGAGGAATGCACAACATTCCTCGTTCAGTAACATTTGTTTGTGTTTCTTGTTAATAGCCGGGGAGGAAGTGGTGTGATTCCTGAATGCATGAAGGTGAAAGGTGGAGGAGGGCACTCACTGGGCGAGTTGGTCCGATGGGCATACGGGCTGGTGTACGGGGCAGAGCGATGGTTCCTCAGGGTGGAGTAGCGTTCACAGCCGTGGGAGGGCGAAAGGGAGATGGGACCCCCAAACTGGCCATGGGGACTGGCAGGGGGGCAGAAGGAGCCTGTGCCAGGAATAAACCAGCCACCTACTGGCTCCACAAGAGAACAGACATAAAGGGGCCATTTGAACTCTATTTAAATTACCTGTCTGTAATAAAGCATGACAAATTGTGGATAAATCATAGTGTATACTTACATTGAGAGTAAGTTGTTTGTTGGTTTTCATTGGTGTCTTCTCTGATATCTCTGGTATCACTTCTGCAAAAATATAGTAAGACATAATTAATTTCGATTTGACACATTGTTGGACTCAAATTTGTTCTTGCATCTTGCAGTCATAAATTAAATGTTCCTGAGGAATTTAAAACTTCACATCGTCTTACCTCTCTTTTGAATCCAAGAAGGCCTTGGCAAAAGGATTGTACTTTATTTTAAGGGCAGTTACCTAAAACCCCAAAATGAACAGAAAAGTTTTTTAGGACTGGGTTTGGCATCATTCAAATCACTTAAGATTCAAATCCAAAGCGTGCGTAAAATTACGCACTGTATTTTACGCACACACAATGAACATCGCTGCTAAAGAGTAAGCATTTTTGAATATGTGTGTTATTTAAAATTAATTTTAAATATTACTACCAACCTCTTCGTTTTGGTATGCTGTTACTGCAATGAACTGTGTCTCTGGGAAAGAGTGGCTGGTGATCATCCTCCTCGGGCCTCCGACGCGCACGATGTGGATGCGTGGCTCGTACTTGTGTAAGGAATTTAACATAATCTGAAAAACAACGCATTAGCGCAGACATTGTGATTTCACATTATCGTGTTATATTTTTCATTTGGATTTTATTAAAGAAATAAAAAACTGTCTAAAAGAAACCCCCCAAAAAGTACAACTTGTCTCCTCACCTGACCTCCTCCATTGAGTTTATTGGTGAGTTTGACTTTACTAAATGAGACCGGAGCTTTCATCCAGTGCGCTCCGAAGTTTGGAGAGTCTGGATGGATGTACACGCAGCTGGGAGTCTGAGGTTCCGGCTTCCCTCCGGGGACCCACTCCCCGTTCACATATTTCCATCTGTGGTTGTCCGCAGACACAAAGTCCAGCAAAAAAGAATACATGGCGTTCGGGTCCAACCCAGACACGTTGACTTTCAGCACAGGAAACATGCGCCTTGGTGAAAAAAATAAAAATGACACGTTAGATTAAAAGTGTGGTGCTTAGTATTTTTGTCTAGGTGTAATATTTCCTTGCGCTTACCTGCCGTTCTTTGTCACGATCATTTCATTTGTAAGCTCCTTAAATTTCTGCCAAAGCTCGTTCTCATCCAGGGTCACCTTCAGCTCCCTCTCCGTGGGGTCGCCCTTCTCGCTGCCGGCCTGCAGCTCACTCTCCACCGCACTGAGGAGGTGGTCCACCCGGTAGTTGCTGGCCTTCCCTGCGCACTCACCAGCGCCTGAGGCCATCCTGTCCAACAGCTCCAGGGCGAAATATCTGTAATCTTACGGTCAGTTAGAAACAAATAATAAAGTCTCTATCTTCTTCTTGTGTCTCCACAGAAACAAACTTTATCCGAGGACGTTCACGTCTGAATATATAGAGAGAAGAGGAGCTCCATGTCAGGATGGGTGTTTGGAGCAGAGGTGGTTGGCTCGTCTCCTCTTTGATCTTTGCGGGCTTGTTGCTGATTGGCTGGGAGCGGCCATATCGCTGAGGTCCACAGGATGACAGAGTATTGAATGGAGCAGTTGAACCTACTTTATTACACCAACCTGTAAATATTGACACTTAGATCAAAGTCACACCTGCAGAAGCTAAACCACTGTAGTCTGACTGTCCCTGGTCCGTCTTCAGCGCCACAAGGATTAGATTTGTCTCTAATCTCTCTTCAGCAAGTTTATTTTTTGTGCCATCGAGTTCCATCGCTGTCCAAACATTATTGATTACACATCTGGGCGACATGGCTCATTTCAAAAAACAAAATAAACATGGCCACTGCTATTTATTATGAGCGGCTCTGCATGCACTGTCCTCAACATCTTAATCTAATTTTAAACGGTCACCAACAAATAAACCGTTTACTGCTGTTTGTTTAAGGTTCTCAAATGTATTGTGACTGAGTTGTTTTAGGTACTGAGACACATTAAAGCAGGGATTTTTCTTACAACAAGAAAAATATGATTTTATACATAGATAGTATGTTATGGCAAAATATACTTTTATTTCAGAAAAGTCACACATGCATTAGGTCTTTACTGTATAAATTGTGCGAAAACCAATTAAAGAGATGACATAAGAATTATTAAAATATAAAAAAACAGATAGATAGATAGATAAGATAGTTGCCTATTTAAGTATGTAATATGTTTGTATGACAGTATAAAAGTGTATTATATGGGTTAACCACAACATGATTTCCTGAATTATCTGTGTTTTCTGTATAGTTCCTCCGCAGTTTAAACCCAGGGTCGAGGATCTAAGAAGAAGAGAAGAAAAATATACTGTATATAGGAAAAAAAGAATCAAATCTTTAGAAAAATGACCTCGCTGTGAGAAATCATTTTACCTGTATGTGCTATTGTCGACACACATCCTCAATGGATAAGGGATCAGGTGTTTTCCGGCAGCACACTGCTGTGTACAAAACCAGTCTCAAAACAATGGAGGCTGCCAAGACAACACCCACTAATGAACAATGTCATGTGAGAATCACTCCTTTGTCTCCAACAAACAAACTAAAAAAATAATAATAAATAAGGTTCAGAATATTTTTTTAATGCACCTGGATGAGGTCAATCTGTTCAGCTGTGGAGGTTTCTGGACACTTTTTGGCTGATTCAGGGAGCTGAGAGGTGGCTGGTTGGTTTGGCTCGCCTTCCCTTGTTTGGGGTTAATACCTGGAAGAACCTTTGGAAGAACACATGAACTCATTTACATCCAGATAGGTGGTGTTGTGGTGCATCAGCGTCATGCTCACAAATAACCACTGTATGCAGGTAATTCTATTCGGTGTGACCTGTTTCCATGGCGGCTTCCCCAAAAAAAAAGAAAAAACCCAACAAACATTAAATGGCAGATAGTGTGTGACAGCTATGTGTAAGCTTCCATAGCGCTCTGTGGTGTTGTGTTGTGTTGTGGCTGGTTTGTGTTACTAACCAAATCTTGGACGCCTTGCTCCTCCTGCCAGCACAGCGAGTCTCTCTCTCTGTCCAACAGTCTGGACCAGAGTTCACAGCAAGCAGAGAAAAACAAACCCCACTCAGTTTAAAGAGCAGTTAAAAGACTTTTGAATACGCTCCTGATCTTCTGTCTCCTCACTGACAGTACTCAGAAATCTCATTCAAACTCATAGAAAAGGGCTAAAATCTCAGTGTAGAACTTTGCTACATTACCAACCTTTGGGAAAAAGCCATGTTGGTCAAGCAAAGATGATGCATTTGTCTCAGTCGTCTCAAATAAATCTCTGCTCTCCTGCTCTGCTCAGGAATCTCAGGTATCGTCTGGTTTGAGAAAAAGTAAAGTACTGTTGTCGTGTGTTAGGCAAACAAACACAGAGAGGTAACATTGACGGCTGACCTACCAGATCAGGCATCTTGCTTTGGAAGTTCCTCATAATGTTGGGCTGCAGAGTTGCAAATGTGGGGGCTTTCATCTAAAGGTGGCACATATTACATTCATTTATCATTTCCTTGTCCATTAATCATTAAGTAATTTAAAAAGAGACACCCCTGGGTATGCGCTGGGATAAACACTGGTGTAAAAGTCCGAGGTGTCATAGCCAGTGTTATTTCCCACAGTCATAGTGTCCCGTTTGGCGCCTTTCTCTACTTCTCCAACTCCCCACCCAGCGCTAACTGTCACACTTGGTCACTTCCTGATGTGAGACTGCAGCATTGTAAATTAATGTTATTGCTCTATGGTAGCTATAGATCTCCCAGCCCATTGCCCCTTTCCATCAAAGGGTAAAATGCAGGTGCAAGTCAAGTAAACACATTCAAGCATGTGTTCACTCTGCTTCTTTTTAAACATTAAAGGACCATCATGGATCAATACAATCCAGATCAATGCAAATCACTTTACGTTCCTCCTTACCGTTTTTTATAACACGCTATGCCTCTGTTTTGTTAAACTATGAGGCACAAAGGTATAATGTGCCTGATAATATAACTTATGAGTGTAGATGGATTTGCAAAATCTCAACTTGAAAACACATTATACTTCCAAAGGAAAACAGTTGGAAGTTATTTGAACTTTTCATAATTTGTTTTACATGGATGAAAACAAACATTATTGTTATAATTTGTTCTCAGTAACTTATCGCATTAATCTTAAATAACTGGAAAAATACAATATAATTTAATAACATATGAGTTAAATTTCCCAAATGATGCTGTTTTATAAGGATCAAAAAGAAGGTGGGGTTTGTTGCTGTATATAACTATCTTTTTCTATTTTTAACTTTATTCTTTCAGGAACTAATGAGTGAAGCTGCAGCCCGCGTCAGGACAATTAACCTGTCGCTCATATAATGAAAGTGCAATAAATTGTAATATGTTGAAAATAAAAATACATCAGAACAATATAACAAGCTCAGGAAATATGTGTTATGAGTGAAAGGTGGTTGTGTACCTCTGACTTCACCACATTCCAACTCGTACGTACAGTACGTACTATAGGTGCCTCACACACACTCAAAGCCGGAATCTTGGACTGAACGTTGGACTGACACCCCAACAGAGATGACAGGGCTCTCCGGCAGCGGTGAATCTGAGACGTCAACTTAAAAAGCTGCAGTGAGTAATGTTTTTACCAGTCCTGTCTGACCAGTGTTTGCCTTCCCCTGCTCTCCCTCCACCCAGGCTCATCCTCTGTTTGCTCAGGCCCAATTTGACACAGAGGTGAGAGGAAAAATGAGTCCTGCGTGCTTGTCCGTATATGCTCAGCTCAGCACCTGAGCATAACCTCATCTCTCATCTGACTTTTCTTTTCCAGCCTCTCATCATTGCTATCGTTGTAAAGATTTGCAATAAATGCTAAGCTAAGACCTGGTTGCTGATGCTGAGACAAGAGTGGTACCAACTTTATTTGATGTATGCTACACCACTTTTCCCATAGACTGATATAAAGAGGGACGACAAGTCTCCACTTCTTCCCACTATCCAGAAATGAAGCCAAAATATCCCTTATAGAAATTCTGCCATCCTGCGCATTTGGAACCAGAGTCTGTGCAGTAGAGATTGTGGGATGGAGTCGGGATACAGATCCTGCCATCACACTTGCTCAACCAATCATGAGTCAGTCTCGGCTGCCAATGATGACACATTTGTCGGCTGCAGTTGGATGAGCCTTACAAACTGGGACAGTCAAGTCTCGCCAGTCTACGAATGCTGCCGACAAAGGACGAGGCCCCTAAATTGAGACACAGCTTATGTCTTATCCTTTGAGGGTCATGGGGGGCTACAACCAATCCCAGCTGACACTGGGTGAGATGCTGGGTACACCCAGGTCACCCTCCAGTCCATCACAGAGAGACAAACAACCATACACGCAGAAACTCACTTCACTACAAGCAAGTTAAGTCTCCAATTAACCCACCCTATATGTCTTTGGCCTGAAAAAGGAAGTCAGAAAACCCACACATGCAAATTTCAAACAAAAGGCCCTAGCTGACGAGGTACAGAGGTATAGAGCAACAGTTTAAATGACTGCACCACCAAAATTGCAGAATGAAAGGAGGCTAAACTTGATACAAAGGAAATACATTTAATTCCACATTGATCCATGTCACTGCTGATCAGGGTGGGTTTAAAGAGGCAGATGAGTGAACACTGCTCCAGGTGTGTTTGCCTCTCACCAGCCTTGATAAGTGGGATTACTGCCCCTGCAGTTTTGACACCAACCTTGGGAAACACTGGCTCAATTGCATCCTTCTCCTGGCTGCTACCGGAGATCAGCTCAGTCGAACCCTCTCCTGGACCAGACCATTGCTCTAACAACCTACACACACACACGCATGCACACACACATGCACGCACGCACGCACGCACGCACGCACACACACTTGTAATGAGTTAGTCTCAAAAGAAACGTGCATCATGCCTTCACAAATGTGTAAAAACCTTTTTATCAGCTTTCTTGCTGCCTTGATATGTGACCTGCACACAAAATGTCGGCTTGTTAATATATTCCTAACGGTGTGCTACTTCACAGGAGCAGCCATATTGTGGTGCTGCTCACACCCGATAACACTGCACACTCTGGTGACAACACACTTTGTCTGCTGGGTGCAAACTGGCTGCAGGGAGGTTTCCTGAGCAAGGCAGCGTTTACTCACAGGACAGTGCAGCAGGTAGCAGATCTATACAAACCCCATGTGCTGTGCAGGATGCAGGTGGAGGAATGAGGATGAGAACCTGTGCACTCATACATGCACACTATTAGTGCTGATGTGTTGACAGGTGGCGCTGTCGAAGCTTGAATGTGAAAAACTCCAATTACTCTTTAAAAATGTTGCCTTGCAGGTTCCTGCAAAATAAGAAGCGGCAGCACCAGTACTGTCTTATGTACGTTTTCCACTCATTGAGGTCAATTTATAGTAATAGACGTGGTATGTTCTGGTAAATTTAATTTTGCTGATCTGTACTGCTTACTTGTGAAATTCAACATGTTGACGAGAGTATGACCAGATGGCCACAAATATAGAGAATTACAGCCTTCACTTTCCAATAAATCACAGCAGCTAATAATAAGCGTATAAATAGCCTCAAACAGGACAGATTGGAGAAATTTACTCATTATTTATAAAGAATATAACAGAGGATTTTTCCAACTCCATATTTGGCTTCAGCTCTAATTGCTTTTATTTTGGGTATTTCTCATGGACACGGGGAATGCGTTCATGGCACAGGAGGGCTGGGTGTGTGGTGGGTGGAGGGGTGAGCTGCTGTCTCCATGTTTGTCTGTGGAGTGGTGAGATTTCACACTGATGGAAGACTTGTCGGCACAGGTCTTCACTCGCCTTCTTACCAAGCTCCTAATGTCCCCAAGCCAGTGTGCAGCTTCACAGTGGCAGCCTCGCTCTAACATCATACAGGCTCCTACTAAACACAGTTCAGCCCTAATTAACAGTATGACACTGTTCTGTTATACATTCACAGCATGTAAACACAAAGGACACGGAGACGGAGGAGAACAGGTGCAAACAGAGGATCTGATAAACTAATTTGGAGTTTAATTTCATTCAAACAAAAAATGGCTTCAGAATAATTGTGAATTGTGTATTTTAAACTTTGCCTAAACTTAATAGCCATATAGGAAAAAAATTACTTTGGTAAAATATATCTTAATCATTGTTTCTGGCTCTTTAACTAAAAAACATTATATATGGAAAAGAGGGTTTATTGAAGATTCAAGACATCTAAAATAGTTTAAATTGTGGGACACTTGAAATGGGATTTAAAGTGATATTCAGCTGAAATAGCAGGTAAAAATAGAAGAGCTGAAATAAGTTGAAGTTTGAATTTGAGATAGTGCTGAAAGCTAAGTTTCAAGCTCGGTGGGAAGTTGAAATATCAGTAGATTTTTTTAAATTGAGCAGGATCAGTCCATCAGTTGTATTCTTGATGGACATTTGTATTTTTTTTAAGTGTATGTACTAAAAGACAATGCCAGTTACGCAGCAGCTAAAGTTTTATCTTCAATAAAGGTCCTAAAGCTGAATAATATTATTTTATAGCAGGTAGAATACTTAAAGCATATAACTAATGATGAGTGGAACCACAAACGGGCTCTCACATTATCTCTCCACTCTCAGTAAATGGAGCTCTGTTTGCCTGGAAGCCCATAAAGCTTTAAAAGAGAAGAAACTCTCCAAACATTTCAACATCTGCTCACGGTGCTGGCATGAAGTGACACCACTGGCCCAATTGCTATATCTTTGTTGTAGTGGACATAATTACGACATTTCCCCCCGAGATGATGTTTGCGAGAGTCGGAGCAGACTGTCCGAGGAGGGGACAAGGCTCCGCAGCACAGAGGTCAGATCGGTGTTTGGCTATCTCACTTCTGCGTGAGTACTCAGCTCTCTCCTGCAGAAGGGTCTGTGCTAAACAAGCCTCCATGTGGAGTCTGTGTTTGCACTTGAAGGCAGCGCAAACAAAGATCCAGAGTTGAGACCAGAGGCCTCTGCAGCTGAGTACCATCTCCAGAAACCTAAACCTTTGAAATGTAAAACCCCAGATCTACTATAGATCCTCAAATATCGTGAATATACTATAAGCCTTCATTACATCTGTTTAACACTGACGAACATTTAATTTCCTCAAAAACCATGTATGTATGGGTTCATGTGAAGGAACAGAGAAAAATGTTTTGATGGTTGGAGCTCCAATTATTTTGTGGACCTACTTGATAAAAGTAGCCACTGAAATAAGTTTTGCAGGAGGAAAAATTATAAATAATCATAATGGTCCATAATGAATGTGGTTCAAACAAATGCAGACTAATTGAAGCATAGATAAACACAACCTGGGACAGCAGACGTCATCCTCCGCTTCTCTATCCTCAGCAGTGGACGGGTGTTTTTCTGACGTCTTGCTTTGGGACGTCAAATCAGCTGCAGACCTGCTTTCCAGCACTGTCAACATTACAACATCATAACGTCACATGTATAGTCTTTCCACGTACAGTAGATCTAAGAAGACGATCTAAAGTTTTTTTAATGGAGCAGAAACTTAACTCTTTTTCCTCACATCCTGCAGACTTCTCTGTAGCTGTGATGGGTGACTGTTATACTTGATGCACGTGTAAAAGGCCTCCAACTCATGGTGGGTTCTCAGGCTACCACGCTCCACTAACTGCGTCTGCAGGTCAAAGATCTCAGAAAACAGTGGATGTTATAATGAGGAATGAAACATAAATAAAGAGTCAAGTGTCACATTTTGTTTTTGGTGTTATCACACTTTCAGTGATCTACCTGGTAGTAGCTGGTTTTGGGGAGAGACCTGAGATACGAGTCATTGTGCTGCAGCTTGGAGAAGGTCAGCTTCTTTTGTTTCTGAGCGGAGAAGAGACGGCGGCAGACAGACTTTCAGAGACGGGAAATGAGGGAATGGAGATCTTAAAGTGAGCCTCCCTTGTTTCAGGGGCTGGGAACCAGAGCACACACAACAAATGAGGAGTAAACACGCAGCCACAGGAAGTCATTCAACTGCAGCAAGGACCAATTAGGCCCCAGCAGGTGTTGTTACTTTGGCCCTGCCTCACTGCCACGTCATGTGACAGAGCCTCTCCAATTGAGTTCAGGAAATTTGCTCAATAACTTGACGCAAAGGATTCCAAGTGGAGGGTCTCTAAAGTCCTTTATTGTGCTGTGTCTTTATCCCCCCCCTGCCCCAAGTGCAAGTCATTAGAGGGGACAATTAGATCCTCCTGAAGGAGCTCAGCTTTTATAGGAGAGGAAGATAAGACAGGATCTCTCTCATGTTATACCCCCCCCACGCAGTAACCTTCTGAAGCTTATTGCTCTTTTCACACCCACTTAGGACAGAGACATAAAAAAGTCAATCACAGCGGAAGGAGAACTATGCACAAGAAAACTTCAAGTCAGGCCAAAATTCGATTTTAGAAATGGAGACATCAGAAAAGAAAAATCCCTCGCATATCTATTGATGGACAGGTGCTTCTGAGGAGACAAAGTGGACGAATCATAAAATGTTTTCCATAATGTTTGGTCCAGAAATTGAAACATCAAAATTCGGGATTTCAAAAAAGTCAGCCTTGAAAATCAGGGTTGGTGTCGATATTTAAATGAGAAATTACCATGTTACATTTAAAACTGTCGACACATGAAGAAAAGAGAGTAAACTGTGCTGGGTTGTTTGGTTTCAGCATCGTGATCTGATGAAGTGAAGCCTTATTTACTCAATGAATCGAGCTCCGCATTGAATTCCAATAAAAATATTGTTTTATCATACTGACTAGTGACAGTCTGACATAAATCCTGCGCCGGTGGCCTTTGGGTAATGACAACAATGCAGTACAGTATTTTCATTCAGCTATAAATTAAGCAGTCCACTGTTTATTGTGTGTTTGTGTAGCGCCTTAACTACATCCCTGACCTCGTGTAGTTCACATAACACATACTTTTGTGTGTGAGTAATTTTTTATGCCATGTGAGTAATTATACAAGCTCCTATAAGCCTGCCAGCCCTCTGTTATTGATGGGAAGATGCATCTACTCTAGGATGAAGAACCCCCCCCCTGTCCATCCTCCTGATGTGTGAACATTTACTGACCCCTGGTGTAAAGTGTAAAGACTGGATAACCAACCAAGAGAGAAATCTCTAACTTATGTATATCAGATGGGTTTAATATTTTTTGTTGGTTTGAAAATGTTGCAGAGATTTTGCAAATTTAGAAATGCAATCAATTAAAGGAGGCTATGTTTCCACCCCTGTACAGATTGCCACAAAACCTGGAGGAAGGATGTGGATATGGGTCAGGGAAGAATTCCTGGGATTTGGGTGTGGATCAAGGTCAGGGGAAAGATCAAGAATATATTTTTACAACTTTCACAGTGAGATGTGGGTGTTTTTCAGCATTTTCACTGATTTCTCAGGGAATCATTCATGGATCTAGATGATGAGGTGAATGATATAAAATGCTATAAAATTTGGTGCAGCTTGATCAAGTTTCAGATGATATGGTACGGTCTGCACTGAGTGCCTTTCTAATCTTTTCTGGGACTTGTGTCCAAATCGTACTTATTTTATATTGCACTCTTATAGTTCATATTTCTACATGAACTTATTGTTAAATAAAATAACCCAAAATAATTTAAACACAGAACCCTGGTCCTGGTAATTTAAACTACACTGCCTTTATTTTTACTTTTATTATGGTGCAATAACTTTTTGTACGCATAATAAACTGGAGACAAATATATGACTCTAGATTATAACAATTTACTTTTCATTTGAAACCTTTATATGTGAATGTCAGGCTCTGCACAAGACATGAATAAAGATTTTCTAATGATTTACCTGCTTTGTCTCGTTCACTGACTTTTCTCTAAGCTTCCTCTCTCTCTGCTGCAGCAGCTCTCTCTGTGAGTGGACCTTGTCTTTGAGCAGAGAAGCGTAGCAACGATACAGAGCATCTCTGAGATGGTGCATGTTCCTGTATGTCTCTAGGTGGCGCTGGAGGATAAAAAAGAAAAGAGACAATGAAAGCACTGAAGGGAAATCAGCTGAAAGGAAGTGTGTGAATGCAGAGAGCAGAGTGTCAGTATTGATTACTAGTAATGACATAATCACATTATTGATTGTGTTATTGTTTCTTCGTGTTAGTACAACAAGTATCAACCTGCTCCAACTGAGCCTGACGCCGGATCCTGGCCTCTGGGTCTAAACTGCTGTCCTGCCTCCCCTTCTTCCTCCTCCAGGGATCAACTCTCTCCTCATCCTCTCCCTATCAACAGTGGAAAAAAAAAATAGTTGAGCTGGTGTTGGAGTGAATCAGTCAGCCTGCCTTAGAAGATTAAAAAAAGAATGCATTTCTGGTAATCCTGCTCGTCTGCCGAGAGCATCCTCCCACACAACAGCCTGACTGTGTGTTCCTGCAATGCTTAAAAAAAAGAGGCTGAGAAGGAAGTACGCAGGATTAATAAAAACCACCTCCTCTCTTACAAATCCCTCACCTTTTTTTTCTGCTTTATATTGAGTGTCTGTAATCTCAGTACGATGAAGACTGACACCATGAGGATATTACAGAGGGGACTTTCAGGGACAGATTTCACGACTACATCTTGAGGTAGATGTATCCCAGCAAAGAGAAAATGTGAAGCATGTTACAAAAGAACAAGACTTATGGGAGTAACATGATGCCCAAGCTGATTAACTTCAGAAACCCCTGTGCTGCGCGCTTGCTTTAAAATGGAGAATAAAACATGCTTGAGCTTTTATGGGAGGACTGTACTCTCTGATCTGGATCCACTCTGAGGCCGCCCTGTCCCTGGGAAATGTCTCCTTCCTAACAGGCCGCCAATGAATGACCACATTACCAGAGTTTATGGGCCGAGTCTGTTCAGGAAGTGTCTATTGTGTCTTTTCTCACAAAAGCTGCTGGACACACAGGATTTATCAGTTTACGTTGCTACAGAGATGCTGTGGTGGCGCAGAGAAGAGAACCTGCATATCTTTTTACTCTCCCTCTGCTGTTCTGTGCAAAGTGTCAGTGACGGGCTCAAGGCAGCATCCATCTGCGCCTCCCTGCCACCGTAAGTCAGTGGAGGATAATGCTGTAGCACGTCACTCCTCCAGACATGGATCATGACACTGCAGTGAGGTGGACACAAGCCTGCAGACATTTCCTTTTCACGCCTCTTTAGGGAGTTAGACAAAAAAGACATGAGATGTGGGTGTAAAGAGAAAGGAACAAAAGAGAAACAAAAATACAACAATATTACAAAGGCACAATGACAAAGTGTTTCTACTTTCTACTGACGTCTTAACTATGGCCAGTTCCTGCTTCTTTAAATTATACTTTTCCAATTAAATGAGTATTTGAGCTTACTCAATACCCAGACCCAGTAATGCAGGATATTCATGAGTAGCTTGGCTTCAGGCTTAAATCAGATAGTAATGAATACCAGAGTGAGGCACATAAACAAGGCCACAACTGAAATGACACAATAGACGAGGATTACACAACTTTCAGTCATCGAGCGAGTGGATGATTGTCATCATCAGGGAGGCACGGAGAACTGAACGGGTCTTGGTACACACTGTACGGGCTCAGCCGTGATCTCAGCCTGCCACATGCGACAATAAAAGCAGTTTGTGCGAGAGAGTGGGAATATTGAGTCAGGACATGATGCTGTATTGTAGATGGAGAGATCCTGCAGTGGCATGTACTGTCCCATAACAACAACAAGGTTGTACCAGGACACATGTTTGACACCTGATTTATAATTCAATTTGTTTCTGTTTCTGAATAAAATGTAGAATAGGAGAACAAAATGTGAAAGGGCTGAAATGTGGGTTATTCAAAAATACCTTTCTGACACCAACAGGAAATAAGTGTTCATCCAAAGTCGAGGGGAGCGTGTGTGACTGGTGAAGGTCTTTCACAGATCTCATGACAAATCAAGACCTTTAGAGAAATCAGGATTTTCTCTCTATAACAGAAATAATCATCAGGCATCAAATAACAAAACATCAAACGACAACGTTGCCTGAGTGTATAAGAAGTAAACGTTCAAAAACAGCTTACCAGTCACCAGCGAGCAAGATTGTCAAATGCACTGCACTGTTGTCACACTCGTCGGTCCGAGCTGTTAAAGTAAACCACAACTCTGGTTTCCAAGTGACAGAGAACAATACGTACAGAGTTAGAGCTTATTGCAGGGAACGTCCACACTGTAAAAACACATTTAATTGTGTTTGTGACCCTGACTGAAGCCTGAATTTGGGTCCAAGGCTTTCATGTGATTGTAGAGTTTCCCTTGAGTGGTTTAATGATCAGTGCAGTAAAGTGAGGGCAGCAACAAAAAGGCCAGCAGCGTCTTTATCACTTCATTTCACTTAGTTTGTTGTATTGAAGGAGGCATTTTACTTAAAATAGTCTTTTACTGGTTTGTAAGCCCTGAATTGAACCTGCATAGAAATATTCCCCTGAACCACATGAGTATGGAAACAACGTTTTCAGACATGACCTCCGGAGGAAGTCTGGAGAGCTGGGTCCAGACGTTCTGCAGAGGTTCATTTTCACATACGAGCAATGCAACCGGAGATTCTCCGTTAGGACACGTTCACAACAGCACAGAAATGTCTAGATTGTTCAAGTGACGGTTGGTGCAGCTGGCAGAGGCAGGATATATTGAATAAACTCCATTCTGGAGATCAACACTGGCATCGGCTCGATTCTCCACAAACTCTTGACATCTTCGTTGATGTCTTCTTCGTGTATATCTCGTGATATTTGTTTTCTTTTTGTTTGTTCTCATTCTCGTGAACACAATGGTAGTATTCACTTGGACTCAAGGATGATGTGATTAGATTTTGGTCAAAGGTCAAGGTGGCCTCACATTGTGCGTTTATGTTTTTATTGGACATGATATCTTAAGATCAGCTGGAGGGAATGTCTTAAAAATTGGTACAAATGTTCACTTGGACTCTTGACTATGAATATGATATATTTGGAAAATGCATTATATCATAGGGAATTTAATTACATCTGGCTCGATTCACTTGCACTGACTGATTCACTGATTTAATTTTGGTGGTCAAAGGTCTAAGGAGCCTCAAAAAACATGTTTTAGGCCTCTTGATTGTGATATCTCAACACTGCAAGAATTTCTTCCACTTTTGATCAGTTGTCACTTGGACTCAGAGCTAAAGTGATTAGGTTTCGGTGGTGATCTTATGTGAATCTGAAAAAAAAAAAGTATGCAGTGTACACATACATTGTACTGGTTGGCGGAGGCATACAACCGTAGTGCGGTAACTGTAGTTTGCATTGTTCGCGTGTTAGAAACGGCATCAACACACCCACTCGCTTGCGCTCAATCCTGTGGAGGATCTCCTGGTTGTGTTCTAAAATCGGCTCCTTCTGACTTCCAGCAGACTTTTTACCAGAGGGGACTGGCCGGAGAAATACCGCAGAATGTCTGCAGGCCCTCACTCTGACATTTGTGTTCACAAATACAACCCCTTGGGAGAATGTCTGGATGATCTCTGTGAGAACACATTAGAACACCTCTACTGTGAATCATGGAGTTCTGGCACATTTTTGGTACCAACCCTATTACCTCATGTAGCTGCCTTCAATGTTTTGTTTTAATATGACAAAAGAAAAGCAGGCTGGAGGTCATTTCCTGAAGGGATCATGCACCTGGACCATACAGTGTAGGCCACACTGATCAACCGTGCTTAACAGGAAATCTAAGAAGCTTAGAGCACTAATGCCCACATGGCCTCAGGTAGCAACAGTGGCAACAAAGAGCCTTTAAAACATTGTCTGGGAACTGGCCGGATGTGTAAAAGAAATCGAAATGACTGCAAATCACCATCATCATGTAACAGAATTAGTTCAGAGGCAGTGCAGCATGAATCAGGAAAGGATTTAAAAGGCTCTGGGACATGTGTAATTAAAAAAAAGTTTTTTTTACTTAAAACAGCATAAAATCATCAGCTGAGAAAACGTTTTGACAGTACAAATATTTAGTAAATATTAAATACTGTACATGACTGATAAATCCCTACAAAGGATAACACCCTCTTACCAGAGGAACAAAATCAAACAGTCCAGTTTGGTTTCAGCAGCACCAGGCGCATATAAAGCTCTTGTTGACAGCTTATTGTTCCCCCAACACAAAGGGACAGTTTTGCGTCTCCCCTTTTCACACAAACTGAAAATTCACAGGCGCCCCACTGAAAACAAAAACCATGTGCAAAGGACAAGAATATGAAGGTGTAATTCAAACTTCAACAGAACATTGAGTAGGCATCAAAGCAACGTCCATGTGAATCATAACCAACACTGTTGGGTGAGTCAGGCTGCAAATAAGATTTAATATATCCAATGTATTCCACTTTTCCATTTCTACTTTCTTTAACACCACTCATTCTTTTCAGGTAGTGACATCGTTTATAGGATATAAGTCAGACGGGAGGACATTCCTTTGGAGACAGGTATGTCCCCCGCCCCCCTTATCCACAAACGTCCAGTATACAAATATCAACTTTAAGATGCCACAGCAGCAGGCCTCCATCAGTGCACACATTTCTCCATCATCTCCTCACTGAGTTCAGCACTGAAATGTGAATCAAACGTCAGGTGTCAGCAGCCTTTAAGGTGCGGCAGTGCAGAAAGTTTCTCGACTTTTCCCAGAGAGGCCGCGTTCTCGACGCCTTTCAGCCACTCTTTACATTTCCTGACAACCGTCTCATCCACGTCTCCGTCCTCCTCCTCGTACTCCACATCGTCGTACTTGTACTGATCATTCAACAGAGAGATTTTCACGATGGCGGTGATGTCCTGATCGGAGCTCTCCGCCTTGGCGACCGGCGCGCAGCCCTTGGACGGGCCGTGTGCCTTTTTGGACGGGAATACCCGCCTGTGCCTGAAGTCCGTGGAGGCGCAGCACTTCTGCTGCTTCGCCATCATCTGCTTCTCCAGGTTGCGCTTTTGGATGACGAGGATGGCTTCTGGGGTGAGACTGAGGGTAAACTGAATCTCCTTCTTCGCTTCGTCTTTCCCGTGGAGCTGTCTGGCGGAGTCCATGGAGCTGGAGCGCCTGACTCCTTCGGATGCGTCCTGAGGTTTGGGCACAGACAGCCAGGAGCACTTTACCTGAGTCTCCTGACCGGCACTGGGCTTCTGAGCTTGGCTTTTACTCTTGTCCTGCTGGGCTTTCCGCCCCAAGTTTCTAATGTTCGCCGAGGTCCAAGAGCTGGACTGCTTCTCCTTATCCGACCCCCCTCTGTCTGCGCCGGATTTGCTGGTGAGCTCAGTCTGAGGAGGCACTGCGTTGGCTTTCTTTTTCCCGAACAGATCCCTGCCAGGAGAGGAGATCCGCTGGGGGAGGCTGATGGGCGGAAAAGGCATTTTGAGCGTGGAAGTGATCAGGATATAAAAACGTGCAAGTGTCCAAAGTGCAGATGAGGAAGCTGTGCGCCAAGCGACGTGCGGCGCTCTGTGGGCATTATCCTGCAGCGCGGCGGAGGGAGGCTGCACCTGTTGTCTGCGCCGGCCGGAGTTCAACTGGTGCGCGCACACTCCGCCTGGCTGCTTTATGTGCGTGGCGGTGCGGGGGCGTGGCCAGGACACGCACCAAACAAAGCCATGAAGAAAACTGTGGTGATGTCATTTCATAATTACCCATAACTTCCTGAAGCGATGAGCCACATCCGCCTCGAGTCCTCCTGTTCTCTCCTCACAGCAGCAAACACTGGTTTAATGGATCATCAGCCTGAAATCCAAGAACTGTCTTCAAAGAACTGTGGGAGCCAACAGACACTGACAAATGAGTAATACAGCTCCAGTAAAAAAGGAAAGAGACCACTCCAGAAATGTCTTACATCTACCATATGGAAGCCATGACATTGTGTGTTGAATTTGAGATTTGGGGAGAAATGTCAGAAGTGTAGAGCAGCAGTTCCCAAGAGTTAGGGCACCCTGGGATATGAACATTTAAAACGCGAATACTCTTTCATTATATGAAAACCATTGAAAAACATAATTACAAATAGTAAAATCTGAGACAATTATTATCTTGAAGTGGACTCTTAATTTCTTCCAGAGCTGTATAATATAGTAAGAGGCTTCAGATGTGGGCCAGGTCATTTAGGCCCAAAGTAATTGCGAATTTAAACTAATAAAGCAGATAAACCCCTAAACATAGTGTTTATACTTTGGTGCTTTAAAGATAACTCTGCTTGTCCTTGAACTGAGAAAACATGTCCCTGGAACAATGACATGCAGTCTGTTTTTATCCCTTCAGTCGGTCAATAAAGTCTCAAATGTCAATAAACTGATGTGTATAGATGGTCCATTGTTGTTCTTTTCAGCCACACATGCAGCCTATGAGAGACCTGTGAGGGGAAATGCACAAATAGTCTACGATATTGATTTCTCTTCCTTTCTGCTGTTATCTGCACTTTCACCCAGACAGTTCCACCATTGATTCAGTGTGATTTCGTTTCCCTCGGAGTAGGGTAGAAGATAAAATCAATACTTCCTTGCAAATATATGTATAGTTTTGTAAGGTTTATTTGATATTGCCAGAGGATGCTCATATTTTACGCAAAAAATGGAATTGAATATTACACTGCAAAACAGATACTTGAATCAGAAATATATTCCTGTAGATTATCATTTAAATGCATTCCTCTTCATTTTAGGCCAACCTACAAACTACATGAAAACAGCCTGTTTTTTTTATTAATTTAGCAAGATGAGCTAGATTACAAGGCGGAACCGGACACACACATTTGTTTTATTCCAGTGGTTGATATGTCTTTCTGACATAAGAATGGATTACATGTAATGAAGAGGCAACAGTAGGAACACTGACAGATTGCCAAGGTCAGGGAACACGTCCCCTTCGTCCTCAAAACTTTGGCGTAATCCAAAAACGATGGGTTAAGAATACAGATCACAAAAACAACAGCAGTCCCTCCATTCAACTGAATTATTTTATCCCTAAGATTACTACGAGAGGGATTTGCTGGGTCTCTGCCAAGTTAGTTTAACAAGTAGTACTGAAGGGAGATTTTGTCTGTGTTAATCCATCACCGCGTTACACAAGCTTCTAAAGAAACTGTGTGGGGGCTGCACAACAGCAAAAATGCAGTTGTTTAGTCACATGGAGTACAAAGAAACCCTTAAGGCATGTTTCAGGGCAAAATATGCAGCTGATGCACCGGGTGATAGGATGCATTAGAGTTTTGTTTTGCACAGACTGATATAAAAATGTTTTTCATTCTTTTCCCTGTGAAAACCAAAAATGTGGTTTTATATTGTATTTATATTTTTGTCCAAGTGCCAGTCCAAGACATACAACAAAGCATTCCTTCTCATCAGGATAATGTGAACATCTGCACCACAGACGGGGGGTAGACAAAGGTTATGAATCTTCCGGAGGAGAGGTTGTCATGACAACCGCATCCTCAAAGGCTATACGCCATCGTGCCACAGTAATGTGGGGGACCCGATACAAGCTATACTGGGTTATTAGGTCACGTCAAGATCACAATGCTCAGGAAAGCGTAATTAACTGGGTCATCGCTACATCTGGCAGGAAATCAAATTTAAAAATGAGGAGCTATTTTAATGTAATTTGCTGGGTGGGGGGTGGCGATGGGGGGCAGGTGTGTTAAAATGCACATTGAAGACTAACAGATTAGACAGGAGCGGCGGCTTTTTTAAATCTCTTTAACTGAAGAGAAAAAACATTAAATGAGCAGCAGATATCATACAGCCCAGTGCATCATCAGTGGAGCAGAGCCTCAGGGAAAATGATCATATATAAACAAGGAATAGCACGTGAGAGCCTATTTATACATCAGTGTCTCAGAGGAAACAGAAAGACAATGTGCTTTAATGATGATTATGTGGCAGAAGTTATTACATTCTTTAAAAATCCAAAAATGAAATAGAAGTTCACACTGTAAAAGATGTAAATATGTATGGTTGGTCAATATGTCAACAGATCTGTGTACACACAATGTTAAGGCACTTGTGTTGCAAATTACAATGTATAGAAAAATCTTAATCATTTCCCTGCATAGAATGGTATAAAATTCTCAGAAAATATAGGAATATATTAAGCATTAAAGGCACTAATTTCTCTCAAATCAAGGGCAGAAGACTGATAACCTTCTAATAATTGTTGTATATGAACTTTGGGTAGTTCTAAAACTAAGGGAAAATTCACAGCATGAAATAGCCACAGTAAAAATTTGGAGATAAAGTGCATAAACAAGATGGATTTATATTACACAGAGCAACTGTTTTTGCAGTTTGCATATTAGGACCAGTCTTCAAAAGGAAATCATGAACCCAGACAAGTTGTGAAGCATTTCATCACAGCATCCCTGTGGAAAAAAGAAAAAGTGGAGAAAATGTTTAGAACAAATTGCAGCATTATAACCAATGAAATCAAGAAAAATATAAGAAAAAGGAAGGTTGGGGAGGTTGAGTATTAATCTAAAATTATCCAGGAAAAAATATAACCAGTGGAGGCTAAATGTGGTCATGCATGTAAAATTAAAAGAGACAAAAAAGCCATATTCCCCCTTTGTTACGATGATTTGGGTGGGGCTCGTCATGAATAAGTGAGTGCTTTGGTGGGGGAAGCACCACATGTTCAGAGTGATGGGGAGCTCTCCCTCTCCAGGTAGTCTGTGCTGAGGGATGATGCAATAGGAGCAATTGTCATGGCAACCGCGGACCGATGCCTGCTCTCTTGTTTCCCTTCACACCGTGTGCTCTTGCCATCAGTGTGTTGCTATGCAGACTTCGCTTGCAGCCACAGTCAAATTTCTGTGGAGGAGGTGTGAAGCCCGTCAAGGTTAAAAGGAGAAGTGGTGGTGGAGGGGTGCAGCCTGAGATGGTGGAGGAGGGGAGGTCGGTGAACGGACAGGAGACTGGCTCCTTCCGACGCTCTAGTTTAGCCCCTCCAGCGTTTAAATCACTCAGCACCAGAATCCTCACATTGTCCTTCAATACAGCACGCAGGTTTTTTTTGTTCTTTTATATAATCACTGGAGGTTTGATGCTATTTTTGCTTCCCCCACCAAAAAAGCTGCATGAATAAACGATCAGTCTCTGAGACTTTTCCCCCAGTTCAGATTAAATATCAGAGAAACAGCAGCTTTAAAGGAGTGTGGGAAGTGCACATGCAGCAGGTTTTAGTACCTCAGGTCTGGCATGGGTATGAGAGGTTATAAATAGGCAACAAGGTAAAATACATTAAAGGATCAAGTCAATGGGCCATGTGGTGTTGTGACCCGCCAGGTATCACAGTTTCTCTGACCACAGACAGGGATGAGAGGTGTCTAATGCTTTTTTATGTGTCACCCAAGAAATAAAGGCCTTGGCGCTGTCCCAACATGGCAAACAAAAGAGAGCTAAACGATAAAATCTAAATTAAATGAAAAATGGATTAAAGTAAGAAGCTTAAAAGGAGAAGAGGATAATATGTTGAAAATAAATGAAGAAATATAATAACAAAGCACCAACAAAACAAATAACTGGGATTTCAATAGTCAGCCCCAGAAACTAGCAGTCAAATTTACATTTCTCCATAGGAATTTGGTTTTTGAAGAGTGAACAGGGAAAAGGTCTTTGTCTCGGCTTTGTGTTGTCGTTAGCGTTTGTGTTGGGGGAGGGGTTGCTCTGGGTTGTTATAGTATGTCTCTCAGCTGTCAGAATGGATTATAGGGTTGCCCAAATACACAAGGCACTTTGTGGGGGCTGCACGGGGGCTCGGGACCTCTCACCAAATGAGTCATAACCCTGCTTACAGCTGGACTGACAAAACAACATCACACCTCGTACTTGGTTTGAGGAAAACACTGAGGTGGTAGTCCTTATGGGACAATTGGAGAAGTCAATACCTGAGCATAGGGGGGTATTTTTAACCCCACCATGGAGGTTACGTTTCCATCTGTGTTTGCATGTTTGTGTGTCTGTTAGCAAGAGTACCAAAAAATCTCTTGACGAAAATTTGGTGGAAGGATGCAGTATGGGTCAGGGAAGAAACTCTCAAATTTTGGTGCAGATGCAGGAGTTTATCCCCTGCTTTCTTTTGAAACATTTTCAAATAAAGCATTTTTAGGGCACTGATGTTCATTAGAGCTAGTGAATTTAAATGTGGCTTCATAAGAGGACTGTTGTGCCTTGGCGGGGGTAAGCACTGTACCATGTGCAATTATAGTCTTTTATTTAAAATTCTGTGGTACACTCTAAAGAAATTACAAAACCAATACCTGCATTTTTTCAAGGTTATCTGGTTCTAAACTGTGTATGATCCAAACCAAGTGACCTGTGAGGAACACAATTTTTTATTCTGGTATTTTTTGGCACCACAACATATTGGAGTTTAGTTTCTGTATTGTGCCTATGAAGCTTAACATAAGCCTTTCAACAACTAATATAAAAGCTTCATGGGGGGGGAGAGAGAGAGAGATTTCCTTTAGATATTATGGATAAAGCAAATAATATCACAGCGCTTCAGCGCAGAGTGAGAAACAACAAGCTGCCATTTGTTTGACGCAGAGCCTGCACTAGTCGTAGGGGGGGATTACAGCCATATGGTGGAGGCAAACAGTGTTGGGAGGTAAATAAAAACATGTTTTCATTGAAGAGTCGCCGATGGTTTGCCCTCATGTTTTCTGTGTGAGGCGACACAGTGGCATTAGTATGCAGCACATTACCAAGACATAAATGTTAGGTAAATTATTTAAGATTTCATTGACAGCAATTGGTTTCTTGGATGGCTCATTTACATAATCATATTTAAAGTGCATGGGAAATATTGTTGCCTAATTCATGCAGGTGTAGCCACATGTCAACAACTGCCCTACGCCGACGTAATATTTAATCAAGCTAATAGTTAATATTAGCTCAACGTGAGGATGAGATTCTCAGGCTCACCCTGAATCCTGTGTAAACAGAGAGTCTGGTAAAAACATAACATATTATTTAATGGTCCACTCGCCGACTGACGCAGTAGCCCACCAAGAATTGTTCTGGCATGTCCGATGGCCGTTCTGATGGTGGCACGGGGGGAAGGGACCAAAGAGTGTAAAATCTTGTGAGGGACACTAAAATATTCTGCTAATACGCAGCCTCCTATTTGTTTAGAGTTTGGATTTGACAGTTGGCAAACACAATGCTGCTTTAAATCAGAAAGCAACATAACCAAATGAACATGAGATAAAGGACATATTCATTATCTGAGGTAAATGCAGACAAAACATAAATCATCTTGTCTTACCTTGCAAATGGAATGTAAGAGATGCTATACCTGAAAGAGAAAATTCAAAACATAATTGTTAGTGTTAAAGGCAACTTACAGTATTATTATTCTGTATTATGAAGCTGAGCAGGTTAAACAAAGGCTTAAGAAAATTTTAAAATACACTTACATTAGTATTATTTGGTTTCTCAGTTGAATAATATTTTATTCAGCGTATCCACTTCAATTAAATATTTACAAGACACCATTATTTGGCTGCACTGTTACATAGATAGTCCATCACTATGGATCCATTTTTCTGTAATTCAACATGACATATCTGGTATCATTAGAAATTCCAGGATGTTAACTTGAAATGAGTTTCAGTCTGTTATGATAATGCTTGTCTGTATTATGGGATGATGTGACGTCTGTGAGATTAAAAGCGGAAAAAAACCCCCTCCCTCCACATAGAAAGAAGTCTCCAACATAGATTGAGGACTTTGCTATTTCATGAGCAACAAACCAAAATGTAAAATGTGTTTAATGCTCCACCAGGCAGTAAATCATTGGACTGAAGGGTCTCTGATGTTGCTCAGTGAGGAGATTAACCAAACATGATGAAGAATGAAGTGGACAGACTGTAGACAGACACCGTGTCTAATACAAACGATAATCTGTATCGTAGTCGCAACTTAAGTTTAGCTTTAAAAAGCCCCTGATCAGACACATGATGTATTTGAAATATGTGAGGAATGTTGGTGCAGCAGTTGAATTATTAACTACAGGCCAAGACTGAGCATGACTGTCATCTTAATCAAACAGCGGTTAACAGGAAACCTTCATCTGTTCCTTCTGAGTCAATTAAGTACGGTAAACACTTTAAGTTCATGTTCTGTCTAGACAAAGTAACCTCAACAAGAAAAATCAAACACAATGTTTTGTTATTAAATGTCCTATTGTCTGCCATGCTCTATACACTCATCTAGTATCAACCAGTTGAGTCTCAGTGTCATATGGTGCCTTGACAGAATTAAACCTGAGGACTGGACTTTGCCCACCACTCTAGCCTGTATTATACAGAGATCCTGCTACATAGAAGACCCCTTGTTATGTCACCTTTACCTGTTTGCATTGAACCCGACAATCCAACATACACTGTGTGATTTCAGATAGCATGTTGGTGTTGTGATAAAGTCTGTTTCCCCATTGATCTGTTTCCTTTAACCTTATCATAATCACTAAGATGGAGGCAACAACACAATTGAGGAAACAGAATTAAACACAACGCTGGCTTGTTCGGTTCAGTGTAAACGAGTAAAGGCGGCATAATGAGGCATCTTCATAACAGGAATGAAGGCAGACAAAAGGGAGATAGAAGAACTTATTTCATTACGTTTTTGTATGCTTTACACAGGCTGTATAAAAAAGGTTTGAATATGGGTCGATGGCTTATAACAGAACAACCTTCACACAGACGTGGGAATGCACTATGCCCCCGGTCTGTTATGAATGAGTCTGGGATGTGTGACTTGTGGTTGCCATGGCGATGCCTCTGAGAACGCAGGCAGGGCGGAAGTGAATGTACATGTAGGTGCAAAAGCAGCGTCGTCAGTGACAGTCTTGCTCACTGATGCACTGAAACTGTCCGTTCCTTGGAATCTCTACTGTTTGCGTTTCCAGGCACATTCACTCACTTAAACGCTTTTGTAACTGCTGTGCAAATATGCTTAAATTCATGAACATACAAGTGCCAACATGCACATGCACATCACTCACAGGTCTCATTATTCACTGCTGTGCTGCAACTTAACCCCACTGACCCCATTATTTTACGCGCTTTAGTCTAAGTCAGGTGGTCAAAAAGACTAATTTAAAACAGTTTAAAAGTAGTGTGGACAGCAACCAATAGTTCAGATTTTTAATATTCCATAATTGTTTTATCTGAAAAAAGTCACACAATGGACAGAAATGACAATCAGAGATAAAGGTCATGTGTTGTCTTGTCCCACCGACAAACCAAAACCCTAAGATACAGCTTGCATCTATCTATCTTCTAATTGTAGAAATCTCTCTGTCTGTAAGTGGAATGCATATCTCAAGAACTGTTCATCTTATCAGCTTCACAATTGGCATGCATATTTTTAAGGACCAAAAGAAGTGCAGTGTTGAGTTTGGTGCGATTTGAACATGCGTCAATATAAATTTCATGAACAGGTGACAAGCGCTCTGGTCTAATCTATGTAGAACTTAAGCACTTACTGAACTCTCTTCTACACATTTATATATTGATACAAGTTCAGGCTTGCATTTGTATATTTTCACTGGACCATTTATCTGTGGATTTAGTGGTGGTAATGACCACAGAAAGAGCTGCATTAACAGCACAAGTAGGTCGACATTAATTTCTGGCAATAAATCTAAGGCCAAAAATATATCGACCTACTATGGCACCTGGCATGACCTACCTACCAGTTTTATCACAACACCACAAACCTATCTGAAGCACATATCACTGACTGATCAGAGGAAATTATTTTTTTGAAATCATATTTTATCATATGAGATTCTTATTATCAACATATTAAACTTATATGATATGACATTTACTCTGTATAGTCTTGAGTTAAAAATATGAATTTCCCCTCAAACAAAGGGGATTTCAGGTTACGTTTGGTTGAATGTGCAGTGTGACAATGACTGTATAAGTAGAACCATGTATAGTACTGTCGTGCACATGTCAAAGGGAGTAAGGCAGATTAAAGCATCAGCAGTGTGATTATCTCAACTCACGAGCATTTAATACGAGCCAAAGCAGCTGGAGCAAAGTTCTCCATCACGGAAGGACTACTGTATCTGAGTAGGTGTGAGTGATGAGTCAATTAATCAACAGCTGAAGTACAGTACAGCAGAGAGATGGCTCAGAGACACACACACTTACCACGTCATTGCCAAAAACTGCATAATACAGAAGATGATAGCCAGCCCCTTTTTGTGCCACTGTAAAATAAAACAGCGGTTATTCTGGTATTTTAACACACTGCATTAAAACAATGATGAATATATAGTTACAAGCAATGTATTATCTTCTTACCCAAAACACTGCACAAAGTGTTAAGACAAGGCAGAGCTGGTGGAAGAAGAAAGGAAATGTTACAGTATGGTTTTAGGTTGTCTACGATCCCACATTTGACAGTAATTGTAAGAGTCTAAGCCAATGTGTTGACAGAAAACTACAAGTGTCGAGATAAGTCACATTATCGTCCCAATCCTTTAAGACCTCAAAGTGAAGAGTAACAGACATTTAACTGAACCTGGCCTTTTAATACAGTCGGTCCTTTTAAGGGAAGGTGAAGGCAAATTCACCGTAAATAAAATGTCACCCGCTAGCGGGTGTAGCTGTGTGTTTGTGTGGTTATAGCCGAATCCTCGCTTTTTCTTCCGTAAAGTAAACAACAGTAAACAATGGCGACCGAGGTGCAGCAGCTGTATTTGTTGTTGGAGCTCATTAATATTGAAGAACAAATGCTCATATTGCAAATGTTGAAGCGCAGGCGACAGAGAAGACGTTTGCGGAGGTGGTTTTTACGACGAGGAAGAAAGACCGGAAAAGCAACTGCCGGAACTTACGTTCTGAGCGGACCAATCACAGCGCTTGCGGTCCGCGTCAACGCGTCGTGTAGTTTGGAGGCGCGCATCAGGCTACGGTGTAGGGGTCCGCGTCGACGCGACGCAGAAGCATAAACTAGGCTTTACAGTAAAGTCAGATACTTCTCAACATAAACTTAAAGATGTATAAATATCCACTGATATTATAATAATAAGATCAGTGGATAATAAGATTTTAAAGTGACAGTAAAACACAAAAAACAGTATTTACCAGCATAACAATGGTGGCTATCAGTCGTGTTGGTTCAAACATGCGCTTCAGCTGTTTCAGTGGTCCCATCAGGAAGCAGGTGCTTTAGAAGAACAAAAAACATGTGGTTGTGTGTGAGCCTTTTGACACATCATTAAAAATTATAGTCCAGGAATTTGTGAAAGATATTACAATGTCGATACAAGCATCAGAAACCTCTCTGATACTGCCGAAAATGCCAGGTTAGGCATCGGTTATTACACAAATCTATGTAATGCTTCAATACAAGGTTCTCAAAGTATATCTGGTTAAACCACATAACACTGCAATTTTCTTTTCCTGGAAATCACTTCTTCTACTGCTACAGCCAAGTATGGAGAAGTTGTTTCCTTTAGTTTAGGGTTAGTAAGAACTAACTTGTCAGCATTTACACAAAATGGCAACATGTACCATGTGCAAGATTTCAGCTTCAAGATTGGCACTACTTAAAGGTTCAGTGTGTAAGATTTAGGTGAAAGGGATCTATTGGCAGCAATTCAATATAAAATAATCCTAGTAATGTTTTCACCAGTGTGTTTCATCTCAATTGTATGAATTGTTTTCTTTAACTTCGAATGGGCCCTTCATATTTAAATCAGGAGCAGGTCCTCTCTACGGAGGCTGCAATGTTTTTACAGTGGCCCAGACTGGACAAACTAAACTAAACTTTTACGACAACTGAAGGCTACCACTGGTTCTCTTTCATGATTAGAAGGGGAGGGTGAGGGGTATTCAGCTGCAACATGCAACTTCACCACTAGATGTCACTAAATTCTACACACTGAACCTTTAAAAGTCTTATTTTTATCAGCTATTTCATAAATATTCCTAGATTTATATTTTTGAGTAATGACTGTCAAACTAGACAATAAACTCAGCTCTATGGCATTCGTTCTCTGTATGTATTTGAGCCAGGCCACTTTTTTTGTCACATATACAAGGTTTTCATAGATTATAACAAACGTCGTCACCCTTGTCAGCTATAACAATCATTGTTCACAAAACTCGATATCTGGGGTCAGATATTATGTATATACATATTATCATTAGAGAATAAATAACCTCATCATCTAGGTGGATTTCAGAATATTAATTTACAGTATGTGTACACACACTGACACAAACACAATCAAATCTCTGCTGAGCACGGAGTTGTCTGGCCTGCATAATGGATTTTACACTACATGTTGCAGTTATTAGGAGGGGTAAATATTTCATGGCCGACGCCACAATGACACATTTAAAACCTCCTACATGATGCATGTATGACGTCAAGTAACTGTAACAACACAAAGGCTTTCCCCGCTGATGAGGCACAAAGCTCTGAGGCGCTGTGTGGGTAGAGGGAGTCTGCGGAGTGTCACATCTGTTAGATGAGACACAAGAGTAGTGTACGTTGACGCAGGCTCTTTCTACTGGTCCACTGAGAGGGATGGCTGCTTTTTTCAACTCAGTGCGAGAGAGACACACACACACACACACAAATGCTGCTGCTGGCAATAGAGGGAAGGAAATCAGTCATCTATATATGGTTGGTTGACCTGGGCTATGAGAGCAGAAGATGACCCTGTTTCTTGATGCATCGAAACTATCTTGACACATGATATCTGAAAACAGAGACCACCCTGTCTGAAAGCAGACTCTTCAGTGGTTCACTGTCTCTTAACCGTATCCAAGACGTCATGATTAGGGTTACACCTTGGATTATCTAGATTAAATCATTTATGATGTTTTAAAATCCAGTCAGGTGATGCTATCTAGTGAGGAAAACAGTCAAATCTTAATTAACCATTGTATTACAACAGCTATAGGGATAAGAAAGTGTTTAAATGTCAGTGTAGCACAAAGTCTGATCCTATAGAGCCTGGCTGCATAAATGGCGCTCTACAAAAAGGAAACTTTCAGACTGATTTTAGAATAAAAGCTTTATTATTCTAAAGACTGGCTTTGTGCAAATTACAATAATGTAAAAATAATAATTAGATGCCACCTGATATAATTTAGCTTATACACTTGTACAAAATACTTACATTAGTGAGCAAACACTGATCTTCTCATAGAGATTGCTGGCGAAACAAACGGTTAAGAGACAGCGACTGCTCTCCCCTGTGACCATTGTCTATTTATCCCAATGACTTTCACGCCACATATAATTGAGTGGAATTAATCTCATAATAATAATCAGGATAACAACATGCAATAATCTCCATATGTGATTTGAGTGCCTTTCCCTTCTGCATTAAATAGTGCAATCCCTGTTCAGAGATGAACATGTCTAAGTAGTTTCTGTGGTTCATGTAGGGATTAACAGTCTCTGCTTATTAGATAGAAAGGCAGCTGCACTTATACCATCTTCTAGTCTAAATGCAGTGAATGAGTACTGTCTATGCAGTCTGTGAGCGAGCCCAGTTTTACAACTAGATGGGTTATCACCCTTTTTATGTGACCTTTTTATGAAGCAGTCTTTATGTTTGGGTTTACTATGTAAATGTGATCACAAAGGCAGCAATTGAAGCTATAAAATAATGAACACTGATTTGTTTAAATCATTGAAATTATGATTTTAGCCATAAGCTGAGATGATGGATGCAATTGTTTGTCATCAATATATTATTATTATAATCAATACATCAGAATGAAAAACTCATGGTTCCTGAAGCAACAAGCTACAAACCCTGGACAAAAGGTGGTCATACAGTAAATTACTAGAATGATTACTTGATGTTTCTTGTTAACATACAGCTTCAAAGCAAAACTTGGAGAAATGTGTATCCCTGCCAAAGATGACTTTAATAAGGTGTGTCGTTGCATATTAATATGCATTATTTGTTGTGATTCTGGCTGTGCCTCACACTGGTGAGTAATACTGTAAATAGCACCAAGTTAGAACTCAGACCAGCCAAACATCAGATGGACTTACCTGGCAAGAGCTGCGATATTCCCTATTGTGTAGAAGACAGCGAAAAGCTTGACTCCACCTGGAAGGAACAACAATGCTGAGCCCTGTTAAAACAAAAGAATCCATCAGCTACACATAAAAATGTCACCACACATTCACTAAGAGGTAACAGACAAATTAAACCTTAAATGAACTTAAATTAGTCTAAATAAAAATTAAAAGGGTTACATATTTCTTTATTTTGTGCTGTAAAAAAGGCATTCCTTTAGCTCTTCTATGGTCTTACTGAAACAAAACTAGATATTATGGGATCACCCTTGTGCTAAAATACCACAGGGCTGTGTTAAAGAATCAATGGCTTGATTATATTAAAATCCACAAACATGTCGACTAGATGAATAACTCTCAGGGGAGAGAGTGGTGACGCACTCTGAGTCACGTTTGAAAATGCGTGAAGGGAAGAGACACAATGAGTCTTTTAGATTATGAGTTGTTCAGTTGCTCAGATGCACAGAGATCTCCAGCAGGCCTCCACAGAGAACTTGTGTTGGGGTTTTGTCAGTGTGAATTACAACCACGTGCTGACTTCAGTGCAAACAGCAAGCGACTTCCTGTCATCTCAACTGTAAGACTACAATCTGAACCTTTCTGTGACATAAAGCAGCTCCTATGTGTCAATGTTGCACAAGTGATGTGTCAATCACTTTCATCTGCAAGTCATGCAAGAAAACAAGAATCCGTCTTGATGGCAGTGGCTTCATTTTTATAGCTATTTAAAGGCAGTATTTATTCCTAGATTTATATATTTATATTCTTTTTCAGTTATGACAGTCAAACTAAATGATAAGTTCCATATATCCTACCCTGTATGCATTGGTTTTTCAAAAGCCAGGCCATACAACAATAGCCAATTTGAGAAATTAACTGCCAACTTTGCCTTTCACATATGAAGAATGCAGCAGGAGATTCTCTGGTCAACAGGTTCACAACAACACAAACATCTCCATCCATTGCATGGCAGAAAGGTTTTAAACACACCCACTCACTCCCTGTGAATTCTCCTGAGGATGTCCTAATGTGTTCTCACATCACGGATAATTCAGACAATCTCCGGAGCGGGCTGGAAGGAGAAACTCTGGATTAATTCCAGAGTCTCTCACTAGGAAGTCCTCACATACAACCCCTCTAGAGAATTTCAGGAGATTATCCAGAGTTCAGTGCGTGTTTGAACACAGCTAATGATAGCAATAATTACTTTTATACAGGATAAAATAAAATAATATTTGTATTGTTTGTTTTTTTTGCACTGGTATTGTATCGGTGTTCCCTATCGGCCAATATGCAAAAGCCAAGTATCAGAAATATTATCTGGAAGGGTAGCAGAATTGTATCGTAAAACATTCCTGCAAAGAGTTTTACAGGAAGAGACACTCACGAGTATTGAGCACAGGATGCCTCCAGCAAAGCATATGACAAACCATTTCACCCTGGTGCTGTAGCTGAGAGTGGAGGCATCAAGGACCTGGAGAGAACAATGAGAGGATGTCACAAGACCTGCACAAACACCAACGAGCTTCCTACACATGATTTACACCATGTTGGCTGGAGACAACCTACTACTACACCCAGCTACAGCGTGACCTCAGGACACAGGGCAGCATTGATTCAACTTAAAAATAACAAGTAGCACCATTTCACATAACAACACAACAAGGTCCAAGTCTTCACCTTACCTCGTTTCCTTCTCAGCGTGAACGCGTGTAAAAGAAATTACAAATAAACAAGCAAAAACGTTTCATTAAATCATACACAAGAACGTGACAGCTAGCTTAAAACGGACAGCTAGCTCACTGTCAACTGTCGTTAAGTGACAATGTAACTGGCAGAGAACAGATTGAAGGAAGTAAAACAACAGAAACACTAATGTCAGACACACACACAGGAACTGTGAGTGTAAGCTGGGTTAAAGACACAAACACAGAGCTGGTTTTTATGAAGTTTTCTCCATTGGCACGACGTTAGCATTAGCATTGGAGGCTGTCGTCCAGGCGCTACCTGAGCGGTGAGACCCAGCTCCTCGTTGTCCTCTCGGCCGCTCAGCACTCGACGAAGTTTGTCCATCGCTGGAGGGAAACAGTTCAGAGAACAGCGGGCTCGGGTTGATCTTCTGTGACTTTACTCGCTGTTCGTCCGCTCATCTACAACTTCACACCGCAGCAGTTACCAGCAGCCACTCTGACTTCCTGTACGACGCTTTTCTGCCAGAGCTGACCCGGGATCGGTTTGTCCGCGCCCACAGGTTGAGTTAACTCTGCGGAGCAACGTCGCACACTGACCGCAGATCAGCGCAGGAGGGAGACGTAACCGTCATGCTGCCTTTCAGTGCTGTCGGAAATAATGTAATTACGAAACTACAACCAAAAGTAATTTTGTATGTGACAGTCTTACAATAATCAATCTAATTCATTTGGAAAATAAACACCGATTTTTTTTTATCTATATGAACCAGTCGGACACACTAAAAATATTTCACACATTTCTGTTAGACTGATAAGGGAAATAGCTATAACGTTTTCACTGGTATTATGTTTCAGTTTGTAAACTGACTGAAATCTGATTGTCCCCTGAAGTGCTCCTATCCGTAGTAGTAGTAGAAGTAGTAGTAGTAGTACTATTGCTATTAGTTATCAATGCTGAATGTGTGTGCTTCTACAAAATGTGCTTGAACAAGGCACGGATAGATAGATAGATAGATAGATAGATAGATAGATAGATAGATAGATAGATAGATAGATAGATAGGTATACATACTACATATGTAAAGATATAAGATCAAAACAATACAAATTATAAAGACTATGTTTGAGAATTACTTAAACGTGCACCTCACTGAATCCGGAACTGTGCACAGATGCTGGACATATAATTGGCCCCTTTGTGTATGTAATTGTGGCCCCTTCATGTCCCCTGATTTAGAAAAATCCTAGATCCGCCACTGCTTCAAATCTCCAAACGTGACCTCTTGTTTATGCTCTCTGCTTGTCTGTCAGTTTGTCGCCACCCAGTGGAAAGAAGATGACCCAACAGGCGTGTCAGTACAGTAGGGTACTTAACTCCACTACGTTCTCCTGACATGGCTTCTTTTTCCACACAAGTTATGTCTCTCTTTTTTTCCACAAATAGTTAAATAAATAACTTTTTAAGTTTGCAGATGTGGGCTGAATAATTGATGTTTCAGTATATGTGGATGCCATCAAATATTACACACGTCTTAGTGTTACCTGAGGCCTTCATCAGCACTTTAAATCTTCTCCTTCTAGAATTAAATGTGATATAAAGTCTAGTGTGTCAAGGCTGTACAATGCTGCCTTGACTTAATCAGCAGAACAACTGGTGCCACACATGATACAGCGAGGGGTGATATGTCACTCTGTCCTCTTGAGGGACACAGTCATTGACGTGCAGCTTTTTATGTGTATGTCAGCAGAAGTCTTTATTTTAATTAGCCTTAAACCCAGAGCACTTTATGACAAGAGGGTGAGCCAACACAATTGGGAGGAAAGGGTGGCACTGAAAACGCACGCACACTAAATCCTTTGCCAGTAGAGGAGGATGCTGGTTAGTCGGAAAAATGATCACCTGACTATTTTCAATGTCGAGTGATACTTGACATTGAAAATAGATAAAATGTTTTTTTTTTACATTAATTACTTTAGTAACAAAAGGCAGAAGCTGACATCTAAATATTTACAAGTTATTGAGGAACATATGTAGTCACAATAGTCAAATAAAAGTAAGATAGCAGCTCACTGGAATATCCAAATATTATCCCCTTGGATTTTTTTACTCAACAATTAAATCTCAGCCTGCCAATAGAATGAAATATATTACATATCTGAAAAATGTATTCCTCCAATAAAACGTAATTTTTAAACAGCTAAATGATCCCTGACTTTACAAGCAGATGACATCCCTCAGATAAAACGAGTCTGGGACATTATCACAGTTTTGCCCTTCAACTTAATGTCACTCAAGTTTTAGTAAACCTTAGTTCAGTTCAGCTTTAGCACACTTTTAGAGACCGAGCCAATAAGGTATAGTGCACATATATGAATAGTCCATATGTCACATTCAAGTGGGGATGAGGAAGTCAAAATTTCGGGATGAACCCAGATTATTACCACTGTACAAACACTTTACACTGATTATGTTCATAATTTGCCTTGTTATCACTGGAGCACTTTAAATGAAGAAACATTGCTTTATATCCTTTTCTGTACTGTTTCTGATGATTATCCTGTTTGTTGTTTCTGTGTCTCTGTGCTAAACTATTGTCAGGACTAAGAATCATCAGACTGAGCCGTCCAGATTTTTGAAAGTCCAGACTCAATATGCAGGCCTCCACAAATCCAGGGCTGCGGATCTGAGAGGGATAACTGCCACTGCCCAGATATACTTCTATATGCTTCTATTCTATACTTCTTATAATAAATGCTTTCCTGTTACTGCCTCTTATAAAACAGCATTTGGCTATAAGTCATATTCGACTACCAAATGACAAAAACAACCCTCTACAACATCTGGCTTTTAACTAACTGTTCCTCACTTTCCTGTGACTCAAGCATAAAGCTCACTCAACATGCGTCAGTTGATAAGAAGGTGGCAGAGACGTCAAAGGTCTACTGCAGCTACAAAGAGCCAGAGAGGCTGCAGGGAAGAGCCACACATCTAAACGCTCAGTCCCTGGTGGAAACGTCCAGTTGCAGTATAGTGGACGTATTTGAGACAGCAGCAACAATGCATACTCCTCCGCCAGTGCGCTTGTTCCTGGCTGTTTTACTCTTCTACGGACACAGGGGTGCGTCGGCGTTCTTGTGTCCGAGGATCTGCCGCTGCCTCTCCAACACGATCAGATGCAACAACGTGACCGAAGCCTCCGCAGTGATGACGGGACACAGACACAAAAGGCTGTAAGTTCCCAAAACTGTCATGGTTTTACCAACAGTACAGACTGAGAGGGAGTGCGTGCATGTTTGTTGAAGGGTGATCAATGACTGATAACTGACCAGCCTAATGCTTGATACTATAATTATAACAACTAGAATACATGTATTTATTTATTTAAATTTTTTTTTTTAATGTCACCAAGTCTATCCCGTGCGTATTTACGCACGGAGCAAAGATCCACTTGAAACGCACTCTCTTGGTTTCACGTAGTAATGAGTTAAAGTTAAACACTGAATTTAAATTTAAATGAAACAATATGCAACATTAAAAATTCATCATATTTATGTCATCTTGGATCCAATATATTGTAAGACTGTTAGTTAGAAAGTTATTTGAACAGTGAACAGTCAACAGGTTGATTAGTTGGTCAGCCTCCTCTGATTTTCTAATGAAAAGATTTGTTACTGTTTTGATAGATAATTTGATTGTAGATTGGCTGCCAAACCTCTGCCATTTTGACAATAATACAATTCTATGCATTTGTAGCCTCGGTAGGAAGAGTAATTTACTGGAGGTATCCTGACATGAATCAAAATAAATCTTATCAGGCATACCTTGGCATTAACATGCATGTAGTTTAAACATAGTGCAAAAACCTTTAACATGCAGCCTTTCTTTTAGCAACTCAAACAAATTTCCACTGGTGTTTGGACATTATTCAATTCCCTGTTTTAATTCACAATGAAAGATTGCGGACAGACCTGTGGTGCAGACTGAAAGACAGCAACATCTGACTAATGTTTGTATTTCCTTTCCATCTTGTATAAGCTCCACACTTGAATGAGGGCCCTTCATGTGAAGAAAATGTCAAGTTATTCTTGTACAGTTTAACACGGCAGTGTATCCTCTCCCTCTGTAAAGAGTCTCTGGGAAATTAGAGCTCTGCACTTACAGAGTTCACCAGACTGTCACTTTCACCTTGAAGGTGGAGAAACTTTACCTCTCCTCTGGTAAATCACAGAACCCTGAGTCTCTCCTGATAAGTGGCTAACATGAAACTAATAAACCTCCAACACCCACTCACTCCAGGAACAAGTATAATCACTATTCTTTACTGACTTAAAATGTCTCACATTATTTTGGATATACTTGGAAGTTGCACTAAATTCACATTTGCTTATCCTCTTACCAGGTTTCTCTTTCACTGCTCTTTGCGCACGATTTCCAGCCATTCCTTTGAGGGTTTGAGAGGAGTCCAGAGGATGTAAGAATCTTTCTTGTGTTTTTCCCCCTTTTCTCTTTATTGTCCATTGAGATAGTCTCATAACCCTGGATTATCAGGTTTAAAACAATTCTTACATTTTGAACAAATATGAAAAATGAGGATCGGGAAAATAGCTGTTATGGTCACTGTTGATGCTTGTATTGAAACGTACTTGGAAGATTGAAGACACAGTGTTTCTCTAATATTGTTCCCTTTTGGCCAAGTCTCTCATGTAGAAGAGATTTTAATGTCAATGGTACTTGGTTAAATAAAGGATATGTATAATAAACATATACCATAACAAAGATTCAAAGAATAGGTTCCAGTGCACGTCCCCATCACGTCATGCTGTTTGAAGACCCTGCACACTGACAAGCCAAATGTCTCTGACTTTACTGTTTAAATGTTGTTTCTGCTGTGTACTCAGTGAGATTGCTCAGAGCGTAACCCTGGAAACCATCGAGACATTGGCGTTTAACAACCTTCCTAACGTCTCAGAAATGTAAGTCTCTCCTGTGATTATGGGAAATAACAAAAATGATGATTATTGTTGACTGATGATTTAATTTTGCCTTGCAGCCTAATCCAGAACACAAAAAATCTGATGCACATTGGCAGACGGACCTTTAACAATCTTCCCAAGTTACATTACCTGTGAGAGACAAGCTGAATTTATATAAAATTTAAGATTTAAAAGAATTGTTTCTCATTGTATTAAGCACAGCTGAAGCAAGTCATTTCCATTTGTTTTTTTTAATCGAAGGGAAACCAACATGATTTCTGTTTCCCTTTAATAGGAGCATATCAAACACTGGGATCACACTTTTCCCTGACATCACTTCTATCCATTCTCTTGAATCAGAGTTCATCTTGTAAGTAAATCTGTTGCGGAAGTCACGACAAATGGAAAATCAAAATGCACGTCAACATGAACACATCACATTGCTGTTTGCTACTGCAGGGATATCTGTGACAACCTGCATGTACTGGAAATACCTCCAAACGCTTTCATTGGAATGATTAAGGAATACGTTACAATGTGAGTGATTCAAGAGAACCCTTTAAGACAATAAATGTTTGTCAATGAGGTGATTATTCACATTTATTCATAACCTTGTGACTGATTCCAGGAACCTGTATAACAATGGCATCAGAGAAATACACGACCACGCTTTCAATGGGACAAAGATAAATAAACTGTAATTTCCTACATTAAATTGAGTTTTTTTGAATGAATGATTTCAGCCGTGTCTCCTCTTGCATCAGTAAACTTTCTTTCCTTCCCCTTTATTCTTTAGAATGTTAAAGAACAACCGAAACCTCAGAGTGATCCACAGAGATGCTTTCAAAGGAGCCACAGGCCCTGGAGTCTTGTAAGTGATATTCGTAAAACCTCTCAGGAGCCACTTAATGTGACATTTATTTGCCTCGATTTATTTGAGAAGGGAAAAGAGAAGATGTTTGTCAAATTAACCGTACAAACCATAGACATGCTGCAAGCCAAACGGGTGGATATGGTCATTTTGACTGTGCAATACAACCCTCACATAGTGGCGCTTACATCCCTCTCTCCATTTGACTGCTCCATCATAATATTCTTGATGTACTCTGTTATGTCACAGGGACGTTTCAGCGACAGCTCTCACAAAGTTACCACCACAGGGGCTGGAGTCGGTCCTGGTGCTGTTGGCTCAGTCAGCGTACGCCTTGAAGAGTCTGCATCCTCTCCAGGGACTATGGAGCCTGCGAGAGGCCCACCTCACCTACAACAGTCACTGCTGCGCTCTGCTGAGCTGGGCTGCACAAAGGTGAATCACACTGATCATTGCACGGATCATCAAGGACTGATTTGTTCATGCATTATCTCAGCCTCACTGCGATTCACTACTTCAGTAACTAGAATGGCACTCAGAAGAGCGCATATCTAGGCCTAACGTCCATCATTTATAACGCTTGTCCTTAAGGGTGGTGGGGGGGACACACACTCCCACGGAGACACAAGGAGAACATGCAAACTCCACAAAGAAAACCGGGAACATCGCTACTGCACCAGTTCCAATCACCTCAGTCGAGCTGCACCAAACTTCACACACTCATAGATATCACTTTCCTATGTGCCAGATCTTTTTGCTGATCCATGAATTCTTCCTTGTTACCAAACAGTGAAAATATTAAAAAATTGTTTCTCGTAATGTTAAAGAGAGTGAAACCACAAACCCTTTTGATTCGCCCCCAAATTTTGTGGGTTTGTTCCTGGCCCATACCCCATCCTTCCACCAAGTGTTGTGGAAATCTGCTCTGTTTTTTGTCTCTAATTTTACTTCAGGTAAGAGGCAGGATTTTATTCCGAGAATGTTCTATCCTGCTTATTGAAGAAATCTACAACATGATAACTACTACAGTATCCCACACGTGTGTTCCCATGTCTGCATTATTTCTTTCCTTTGCTCCAGGGACTTTCCAGTTAATCCTTCCTGGACTAATGACTCTAAATACTGTGATGAGAGCGATCCATCAGCGAGGTAAAGAATCTTGTGCCTCATGCCTTTGTTCTTACTTGATCCTGAATTCTTCAGTCTAAGATTAACTAATCAGTTTAATTTCCTCTCTTTGTCATCTCTCTTGAAAACAGACTTCAGCGCGTGATCGGAGGTTCAGCCGATTCGACTCAAGCTTTCGATGAGCCCTTATTCTCAGATGTTGACCTGTTTCTCGATGATCCGGTTTCTGGGGATGTGAATTTCCTCTATCCAGAGCTGGACTTCTGTCAGACTCGACCAACTCTGGTTTGCACCCCTGAGGCAGACGCTTTCAATCCCTGCGAGGACATTGCCGGTTTCAGTTTTCTCAGAGTGGCTATTTGGTTTATCAACATACTGGCGATCACAGGGAACCTGACAGTGCTCGTGGTCTCGTTTACCAGTCGCAGCAAGATGATGGTCCCCCGCTTCCTCATGTGCCACCTGGCTTTTGCTGACCTCTGCATTGGGATCTACCTTCTGATGATAGCGACTGTAGACATCCGCACGCGTGGTTCCTACAGTCAACATGCGATTGAATGGCAGACGGGGCTGGGCTGCAGCGCCGCAGGCTTCTTGTCTGTGTTTGGCGGGGAGCTGTCAGTCTACACACTTTCCACCATCACACTGGAGCGCTGGCACACCATCACCAACGCTCTGCAGGTAGAGCGTCGCCTGGTGCTCACACAGGCAGCGAGCATAATGGCGGTCGGTTGGCTCATCTGTCTGGGGCTGGGAATGCTGCCCCTGATCGGTGTGAGCAGTTACACCAAAGTAAGCATGTGCTTACCCATGGATATAGAGACTCCTCTGGCTCAAGCCTTCATCATAATTATCCTACTCTTCAACGTGGGAGCCTTCGTTGTTGTGTGCGTCTGTTACGTGCTCCTCTACCTGGCCGTGAAGAACCCTGAATTTCCCGGAAGAAGCGCTGACACCAAGATCGCAAAGCGCATGGCCGTGCTCATCTTCACAGATTTTCTTTGCATGGCACCCATCTCTTTCTTTGCCATCTCTGCTGCCTTCAAAGTCCCCCTCATCACCGTGACTAACTCCAAGATCCTACTGGTCCTCTTCTTCCCCATCAATTCCTGTGCCAACCCTTTCCTCTACGCCATCTTCACCAAGGCTTTCAGAAAGGACGTGTATCGGCTCATGAGTGCCCTGGGCTGCTGCAAGAGCAAGGCCAGCGTTTATTGTATGAAGGCCTACTACTCGGAAAATTCAATCAAGATGGGACCCGAAAATAAAAGATCTCACACGGGAGGCGCCTGCTGATGTGCTGCGGTAGGGTTATGACCCTACAGAAGAGGGCCAGCTCACCTATAACCAACAAGGCAACAAGAAACATACAACTGATTTTGACTGATAATGGAATAAGAAGTGTTTTTCTTTTGATAATAAAATGTAATATAAGCATGAAAATTCTGGTATCTATGCTGTGGGAGTGGTTGCACAGGTCCATCTGATAACATGTATGAAGGCTCGGTTCATTTAAGTATCCCAGTGAGCCCTGAAATTGGTAAACTTGGGATGCAGCTATGATCAGTGGCTTTAATCCCAGGCTTTACTGCTTATCACGTGTCTAAATTTGTGCAGTGAACAAAAGCAAGGTGGACATCAATAAACACACAAAGGCTCCAGAACAGCAACTACATGGACCTTGTGGTGGGAAAGAGAATTTGCCTAAATGATCATCCCAATCATGTCTAAGTGGGTGATACAGTGGAAACCATGACTTCCATGACCATCATTTACAAAACAATACAGCACAAAACAAAACCGTACAATACAACTTTATTTATCCTGAAGGCAATTAGTTTTAGGGCAAGTAAGAGAGGACAAGATACAGAAATGCCATAAAAACATTCACAAACATAACAATAAAATAAAACACAGTAAAAGAGCTGTTTGGTTGCATCGAGCTAAAAGTGCAATTTCTTTAAAAGTAAAATATTAAATAGCCAAATAAAATATAGAAACATGCTAAATAAAAGTAATTTAATCTCAGACCAGGTATTAATTTCTGCCAAATAAAATGTTTGTTTTGTTCAGATTTCAATTTAACAGCCATGATCACTTTGGAGAAGCTCAATCCAAACTTGACCACGTGGTGGAGGAGTTGCACAGATTTACTCCGCTGCAGAGGTTTTGTGTTTCTTCTGATTGGTGTTTTGACATTTCAAAATAAATGAGTGTTATTCAGTAGTAGTCAGTAGACTTCATGCTTGTGCGTAATGTTTATGTACGTTCTTATTTGTGTGGTAGGGGTTCATCAGTTTCAAAAATAGAACAAGAAGAAAGAGACGTGATTTAGAAAAGTGAATAAAAAGACATCAGGTCAAGTGAAGCTGTGTGAGTTGTGTTGAATGTGTGCAGATGTTATTTTACTGCTTTGTTTTTGTGGCTTTCTTTAGTCTTTCGCCGCATTCCTCACTTTTAGTCCCGCCTCCTCCACGGGAACCTCCTTTGACGCGTCGCGTCGAAAGGTTGGCTTTAAACTTATTTCCCTCCCTCCTCTCCAGCTGAATGTGATCCTGGGTCAACAACTCTCCGCACAGAAGCCTCTCCAGTGTGGGCCAGTGTTCAGGCTGAATCACAGCTCATCCGCTGGGAATTAAAAAGACGAGGTGGACGTTTGGAAACTGTTGCGCGCCGGAGCGCAGCGCAGTGGAGAGCTCAGCTCAGCTCGGGTCATGGCACAGAAGTCAACTCCAGGCTGGTTTGGACTTTTCCTCTCTACGTCGACCATAGTGGCCATTCTCGTGTGGACTCCTGCCTGCGGTCAGTAGTTTTTTTTTTTTCGGGGGGGGGTATTCGTTATTTTGTGTGAGATTTTAAGTGTTTACGCGAGTTTCAGGAGCAGCAGGTTGATGATCTCTGCAGCTGGAACACATCACTTTGAATTTGTATATGATTCATTGACGGAAAGTCTTAAACATATACATCTGAAAAACTAAATACGCCCTGACCTGTATGTTACGGTAACTTCTTTGTAATGACAGTATAATAAAATGTGATTTATTCGCTTGCAGATAGCAGTGGTGATAAATGCTGAACAGTCATTAAGTGTGGATGGACTGTTTTTATTCTGTGGCATAATCGCTCTTATTTTCTTTTAGAATAGTTTTTGTAGTTATATCTTTATGCTGAACTAAATTTTACTTTTTGAGTTAATTCTTTTGTTAAATTTTGAACAACATAAAATAAATCCACCCATAAAACTATTTTGATAACAAATTAATCATTTAGATTGGTTTTAATGAATTTCCTAGAAATCAACTAGTTCCAGGTTCTCATTTGTAAGAATGTGTTTCTTTTCTCAGATTTTTAGAATTGATCGAACGAAACGAAAATAGGTTTAAGGTCTAAATCTGATCGTAAATGACCATACTCGTGATCTTATAGCTACTTATATTTATGTTATACTTACCTTAATTTTCAGTCATGAACATAATATCCCTCTTCACTTTGGATGTAAAGTCTTTGATTCTCAGAAAGGCAACAACAATTATCATATTTATATTTAAACATTTTGTTTGTAATGGTTTTTTTTCTTTTACTATGAAAGAACCATATTTTTTCTCATTTATTCTTGTGATGCGACATTGTTATTATTACAAAACCTAACTTCCTCCTCTACTAACAGCTCAGCATCCAAGGAGCCGTGTTCATCGACCAGTCAGGAACTCTGAGCCTGTTGTGATAGCAGGCAGAGTTTCAAGGTTTTATCTGAGCCCCGATCAGCTCCGACAGCTGCACTTCAAACCCACCATCCGCTCCATCCAGCTGTCAGAGGGCCACGAGTCCAAGTTCAACTGCTCCATCGACATCCCCGACGCCCGGGTGGAGCCCACCATCATCTGGGTGAGGAACCGCCAGGATCTGGCAGCAAATGTTCAGGTGGTGATCAACGAGCTCCAGACTGTCGCAGATGGGGTTACGACTCTCCTCTCCACTGTCAGGTACATGCAGCATGGTGGTTACATTTAAAAAAGTTCATTTATATGTAAGGCTGCGTTAATACAACCATGTGTCCTCATGTTCTGTGTTACAGCATCAACTATGTGCAGAGGGCGGATGCTGGGGAGTATCGCTGCAGGCTGAGCATCGGCAACACGCTGGTGGAGTCTCAGCCAATCATCGTGGAGGTGAATGGTGAGTTTTAACATGAGGAGATGCCATCGTTAGGAGCTTCTTCTTCGCCCTCATTCTTTCGTGATGCTTTAACGCCTCTGGCATTTGTCTGCAGGTCTGCCCACATTTATCCATCAGCCAGAGGACAGGAACATTACAAGAGACACGCCTTTCACTCTGTCGTGTGAGGCGGTGGGACCCCCGGACCCTGTTCAGATCCGCTGGCTCCGTGATGGATTACCTGATAGTGACTTTCATAACTCTCCCAGCAGCTTCTCTGTGTCAGGTGAGACACCGACAACCGCACAGTCCACTTTTCCTCATCTCTCTCTCACAGGTTATCTCACAGCGTAGGAAAGTTTCTGTTTTCACAGTTGGTACTGTTGTCGAGCCCCTCATAAAAGGCAGCCTGAGGCATTATTTTTTCAGGTTGTTCATCCCATTCCAGTGAACATGCTATCTCAAGAATGCCTTATGGGAATTTCTTCAAATTTGGTATAAAGATTCACTTGGACTGAAAGATGAACTGATTAGAGTTTGGAGCTCGGGGGGTCAAAGGTCAAAGTCACAGTGACCTCACATTTATGTGAATGTGATATATTAGGACTGTCCGCAGGGAATTTCATTGCATCTGGTACAATTCACCTGGACTCACTGCAGCGAAAAAAGAATCCTGGATCTGTCCCCTGATGTGGATCTACACCAAAATTGAATGTGTTCTTCCCTGACCTATACCACAACCTTCCACATCTGTCCAGTAGTTTTTGATGAAATCTTGCCTACAAATAAACCAACCAACCAATAAACAAAAGAATGGGTGAAATCATAACCTCCATGGTGGAGGTAAAAAAGAAGAGTTCCTTTAAAGTCTGATCCATCTGAAACGTCTTTTTGATCAAGCTTTATCTTTGTCGGAGGAGAACTATTTTTACTAGAAGAACTGTTTGTATAAAATGTTGTAGTGGAAATGACTCAGTGCTGCAGCTTATTAACCAATTAACTGCTCTCTCTTTGGTACTTGAATGTAGAAGCTTTCATCAGCAGAGATTAAGGGCCTTTTTCCTCTTTGATAGTGGTGACAAAGCACAGAGGTGGTCTTACTCAGCTCTGTTGGTGGTTTCTATTCTGCCTCGTCTCTGCTGCCTCAGCATCTGTACACTTGTTACTGCAGTGGTATTTTTTCACCATTGTCAGAGAGGCCTCATGCTCCACCACTGAATGGTTAACAGAGCTCATTCATGCACAGTCAGTGATTATTGGATGGATTGCAATGAAATTAGATGGAAGGATTGAGTTAGAAAATCCAGATTTTCTCACAAGAATGATTCATGGTTACGTTAAGGATAAGCATGTTTATGGGACTGATATTTATCAGTGAGTGCAATGACTATCTCTTAAAAACTTCATTATTTTATAGAGGTTTTGTTGGAGACTGCAATGAGTGGTTGGATTTCTCTTTTGCCTGGGGTCCCCAAAGCCCCTTGAAACACTCCTGAAGTTAAAGTCTGGTTTTATAAAATCAGTTCAGATTAAGCTTTTTTATCATGTTATACATGGCATTTCTTGAAATTATATAGAATTAACTTTTGAAGAAGTAGAAGCAAAGTTACCAAAATGTTTTTTTTAAGTGAACTCCCCCTTCATGGCCTCTTCTTGAAAGCAAACATTTGTTATTAGAAGCAAAACCCTCCTGCTCTCTGCGCTCTAACCCTTCATCTTCAGCCCGCCGCAGGCTACAAGCGCCGCTGCTGTAGTCAGTGAGTGGTGACACAGTCCAAAACCAAGAAGGTTAAAGGTTCAAAGCTGTGCTTTGGTCCTGCATGTGCAAGGACCTGGGCCTGGCGTGAGGATTGAAGGCTGCACAGTGAGCCCGTTTGGGGGTTGACCCCACGTACAAAGACCCCATTCACTGAAAGGCCCACTGGCCAACAGGGAGGGGCCTGGACACAGAGGCTGGCAGCCTGCAGCCTACCAGAGCTTTGAGCACGACCAAACATTGGCACAGTAATACTGTGTAAACCCACTCTGCTGCATACTCCTCTAATGCATACTTTGAGTCTAGGGCCCTTTGTTTCAATTAAGGCTGGAAACCACAATATTATTAGTGCTTTTGTTTTGTAGACAATGTTAAAGGACTGTTGGCTTTATTTTAGGATTCATGCATTTATCATGCATACAGCTTCAAATCAGGATATTATGTGTTCATTATGGAGAGTCTGTCTCTAAAGAAAGTGTTTGTCTGGAAGACAGAAGTGCAGGTGATCACAGGTTTTGCACTTCACCATTGAAAATCCAGACAATAAAACATAGATGGAGAAAAAATAAGATGTTGTTGGCCGAGTTGTAACCTGACGGAGTAAACAGTGGCTATATTTACTGGCCAAAAATATAAATGGGAAACTAACATAGACATGTCATGCAGCTGAGTGAGCTGGAGCCCTCCCAAACCTGATAATTACAGGTCCACATTTTACATTTGGTTGTTCCAGCTCATTCGCTACTCTGCATTTACTGAACCCCTCTATCGTTTCCGATGTTTCCATATGAGAGGCCAACCAATCTTTTTTCGTTTCGTTTTATTTCAATTATTTTTCATTGTTTGTTGTTGTATTTTGTTGATATTTACTTTCAAAGTACAGTTAAAGCAGAAATGTTATTATTATATTATTTTCTCTTTTCCAAATAATATATATAACTTTAAAAGAATGTGCATCTTAAAGGAGCCATGAGATTGAGACCACACCAGGAAGATTTCTAAAACTGAGTCACAACTTGGCCATGTTTTAACAACTGTGAGTGGAAAATACTGATCTCATACGTATGGACGTTATGCTACATGGTGTAGTTGGAGAAACTAACGTGACTGCAGCCACAAAAAGGAAACAACAAGCTATATGCAGCAATGTCTCAACAGGACTGGGGGAGGAGAGTTGTCAAATCTCCAATGATATATTATGGGAGTTTCACTGCCAGTTTTTCCTCATGTGCCTTTGCTGTTTGTTCAAATTATATAAGAAAGGCCGCTTTCATTTGGGACGAATGTCAAACCTGCTCAGTTCCCACTGAGACCCAGCCATCTGTTTGCCATGCAATTTGAAATGAGGTACTGTGTGTGGTCAGTGCCTGAGCACAGTTTGGCAGATTTAGATTTGTACATTTCTGTCACAACTTGAACAATATATTCATATTTATTTTACATGAAGGTAACTCTTATATAATGGATTCAATCTGACCATTCAATTTCATTATGGTACAGATGTATGGTCAGTGTTTGGAGTGAAAATCACACCTGAACAGAGGAAGGCAAACTAATGATACTAGTGGTGTCAATCTGTCATATTCTGCAGAACGTAAAACATCCCAAGTCGGTTCCCGTCCTATCCCTCTGGCCGTGCTGTGTTAAGCTTTGTGGAAAGGTTTTTCCGAGACAGAGACACTAGAAAACAGAGCACAAAAGGGACATTATCCAGCAGCTGTCGCAGTTCTATTCTAACTGGGCAGATCTGTGTCCGCTGAAAGACGGGAATTGTGTGTCTACGGAAAGAGACGGCGCAAAAGGATTGTTATGACGGTACATCACATATTGCAGAGGCTCAGTTTGAGCTCACTGTATGAGGCTATGCTGTGTGAGCTGTTAAGGTATAATAAAGGAGTGAGTCATCCCATGTCCCGCTGACATAGCACTTTTTAGTTATTTAGTTTGTACCAAATGCAGAGCTGCAGAAGATTGTGTCTTCATGACTTTGTGAAAGGAAAATAACACCTGACATGAAGGTTGATTTCCCAAAATATTTAGTGCTATCACGACCTTGATAAATAGTTGTGAGTTCATACAACATTGAAGGGCTATATTGTCCTCTCCGATGTGTCCATTGCAGGTGTGGACAAGTACACTCAGTTCAGCTGTGAAGCTTACAACATGAAGGGTGTCACCACCTCCAGAGAAGCAAATATCAACATTAAAGGTAAAACCTTCTCTTCGTGGGGCTGTGATACATCCCAAGCTGACCACTCTATATCAATAAGGCTTTTCATGTTGTTTTATAGTGCTTCCCAGTCCTATGTATAATGTGACCGTGTTGGAAATGCAGTCCAATAAGTTGCTGTTGAGCTGGAGCCCTGGTCACGATGGTTTCTCTCCGCTCACCAAATGCCACATCAGGGTGAGTCCCACATCTGCACAAGCAGCACTGTCTTTTTTTTATGTCCTCTGACTGATTCTTACTTGTTCTTTGCTCTGTCTAAGGTTAAAGAGGTGAGTCGGCGGAAGGGGGAGGTGATGACCACCAGGTTCGTCAACGTTACTGTGCCGCCATTCCAGTCTGAAATCCCTGGGCTCCAGGCTTTGACGCTGTACAACATGAGTGTGTCCTGCAGCAATGAGGTTGGAGTGTCTCCTGTCAGCGTGTGGATCCAGAGCAACACCACAGAGGGAGGTGTGTTTGGGAACCATGGGACAATTAGCATTTTGACTATTAAGATACACAGGCGTGGATCCAGGGGGTGGAGCCAGAGGGGTACTAACCTCTGATTGGCCCCTGAGGCTACATCCATACTACTATGTTTTTATTTTGAAAAAAGCTTTCCACCTGCGTGTTTTGGCTCCCTATCAGTTTTACTTGCGTCATAATTTCCAAACATCTCAATTTCTGCCCGTCCAAACTAAAACAATATCCTGGAGCATCTCCATTTTTCCTCTGGATTAGTGTGGACGCCAGATAGCAGACTTGATGCATTTCCAAATAATAATTTAATAGTGTGGATGTAGCCAGAAGTGCTTTTTGCTCATGATCCCATCACTATCTATTAACTGTCAAGAAGAATCTCTACGTTGTGCTCCTGCCTCCCTCTCATTACTGCTGAACCCTGTTTGGGTTTCAGAGAGCTGTCACTATGTAATTAGTCCTACGACTTTCCCAAGAAAAAAGTGCATAGTGTAAGCCTCCCTGTAGCAGCCTATAATAAGTGGAATTTACGGAAGTTGGACAACTACCTGCTCTGCTCCTATTGGCAAGGTCCCTTCAGAAGAAAATCATATCCACTTAATCTCTGTTGTTTTCCTGAGGGGGTCACATAGGAAATAGGAGTGGTCTCACTGAGAAAACAAAGTTCTTACTGGGTGGAACAGCTTTCAATTTCCTTCCTAAGTCATCACAGGGGACATTTTAGTTGAATGATTTGATTCACTCTGCCAGGAAATAACTAAATTCCCAACTGTGATCAAAGATTCCAATGGAAGAACAATTTTAGTTTCTTTTTTCTATTTTTGTTTTATTGTTTGGCATTCCTACAACGCCTTTTTAAATCCCCCTGTCTGCATTTGTTGTCACATTTTCAGTGCCGTCAGTTTATCCCCGAAACGTCACCATACAACAGAACGAGTCGTGGCTGGTGATCAGGTGGAAACCTCCGCCGGATGACAAGATAAATGGCATACTGCGTGGTTACGATGTCATTGTCAGACACGGCATTCAAGAGAAAAAGGTGAGTCAGCAACAGATTTATGGAGCAGTCCCAATAACCTGAAGATTATGTACAAAATATACATGTTTACATAAATACATACATGTATATGTACTACTATGCTACTCCAAACAGCAGTGTCAAATTTGATACATGTATACATAACAGTAGGTGTAAATATTCAGTTTGCATTAGCAGCAACCTACATCTCTGATAAGGTTTAAATCTATGTGAGCATTTTTTCCCTCATATTGTATATATGGTGAAATTAAAAGTTGTTATGCAGTTTTGTCAATGCTCATGTTAATGGTGTTGTCTTTGAGTTTTCTGTTTTCTTCAACAACAACATTTTTCATAACAATTACTAATGTATGACAAATATGAAAAGAATGAGTCTGGGAATACACGATCATCTCTTTGTCCTGCCCACTGAAGCAGAGGTCAACTTCCTTCTTGTCTGTCAACAACAGTTTTTCCACACGTCCCAAAAAGGAACAAGGCAGAGAAAGATATTTACAAGAAGGTTTTTTTTTTACATATACCTTCTAAGACACAACAGAGCTAAATACAATAACAACCTTTTTTGTTTATATGAAATGTGTGTGGCATTATTCCATGATGCTGCTCCTGCGTAGTCGTACCTCTGTGACTGCATTAGTACTCTCTAATACAATGGAGCATTTCCCGTCCTTCCTGTCTGTAGTAGTAGTCAAAGGAAGTTAATGGTGTGAAAACTGGCAACCCATGTTGATCGGCACATAGGCTTGAGTCATCACAGAGTGAATAGAATATGAACACAACGGGATGTGTAACATAGACTGAATTATCCCTATGTGCCGTCCAGTCAGATGGTGATGTCATTATTGTACAAAGACTTTGTATAATCAGCAATGACTGGAAATGTGCACAACTTGGCAACTTGTTAAATCCTTAGACTCATCTGCTTCTAAAAAATCCTCAAAGATTCAAAGGCAGGATAAAATAGAGGCATTTATTATTACTGTTATGTTGATGCTAAATTATTTGGTTTTTGTTGTGTGTTTGTTGGAAGAACACACAACCGCATTTTGCCCTTTGTTTGATACCGCAGACGTGACAGGTCGTTAATCATGGGTTCAGCTTTCTCCATCAGATGTGTCAGCACATTAGCGAAGGAGAAGAGCCCCAGATGCTACCAGGCACTGTTGTGAAATACAGGACTGAGTCTGTCACATGCGCCCTCTCATTGCAGCACATGAACTTATAGAGAGTATGTCTCTTCCCTTTTTTATGTAAGTTTCATTATCTATATGAACATTCCCAGTTTACCGGTCAAAGGGGTTTTACACAAAATGACAGTAAGTGACAATATTGAGTTCCTAGTTTTTATAGTGCAATAAGTGGAAGGCAGGAGACAAATCAGAAGGAGACATTAGGTTTAACAGTTTCCCCTCAAAATTATGATTAATGTTAAAATATGTTTGTAAGATAAATCAAATCACGACACATTTATATGATACAGTAGAAAGTCAAGTGGCAGTGTGCACAACTCCACATCCTGAGGAATATATCAGCTACACAGTTATGTACAGATTGAAATAATGTCTATTGTTGTGTTTCAGATCCACAGTTATAGCACCACGGCCTTTGTACCTGTGCAGGAATTCAACACAACCTACAGTGCAGAGGTGGCAGCGTGCACGCAGGCAGGGAGCGGAATGGTCAGCCCACGAGTCTGGCTGTTTGTGCCAGAAGAGAGTAAGCCACTCTACTGATTTATGTCCTCATCTGGGAAATGTTAACTTCATAAATGTCCCAACATTTTTCTGCTGATGTATTGTACTATATTTGAATACTGCTCTGTACACAGAAACAGAACCTATGGAGGCTTTATGCTGTATTTTAGCCACGCTATCACCATGGATCGCGTTGGATGCTGTTTATCTTAACTTATCTAAACTGATCATGCTTAAAGTTTCTTCTTTCTTTCTCAGAATCATCCGTGCACCCATCCTCCAGCCCTGACACTGGGGTCCCAGACTCTGTGTACGTCGTGCTGGGAGTGGTGTGTGGCCTCTGTCTCCTGCTCATCATCCTCTGGGGGGTTATCTGTGTACACAACAGGACATCTGACTCTTGGTTTGGGTATGCTGACTTCTGTGCAAATACAGTGTTGATTAAATTAACTTTAAAAAGTTCAGTTTCTGGTGACCTATTTTCTCTGCACTCTGATTAAAAGACATAGAAGATTTCATTTAAGGTGTTTTGTTCATTTTGGTATTATCATGTGGGGGTGTTGAGTAATCCTTCAGCAACAGTAGGACTTTTGGATTGTGTTAATAAACTGCCTTTGCTTCCTCTAAATCAATCCCCATCACCAGTAATAACTGTGCAGCTGGAGCGATGTACTACAACCACCTGTTAAATCTCAGGAATTCATTGTTATGAAGTATGTGAGTCAGTGTTGCCTCTCAGGATACGGATAGGAATGTGTCAGAGGCTGCTGCACAGGAAAACAGCATCTGAACCCATTCAGGAAAGAAGCTACTCAGAGGGCTGCCTCACTCTGACCAACTCTGATGCTAAATGTCAGTGTGTGTGTGTGTGTGTGTGTGTGTGTGTGTGTGTGTGTGTGTGTGTGCATGTGTCTGTGTGATTACAGAGCTATTAACACTTGAGTGAAAGGATTCACTCTCTGTTCAACATTCCTTGTTTTATAATTTTTCCCTGTCTCCCCCTGCAGGCAGGTGTTTGGAGGTGGGGAAAAGCCGCAGCCTGTCGTCCAGTACAAACCCCAGAGATCCTACAATCGATCAGTCATAGAAGTCACACGTATGTTCTTGCATGTGAAGCTTCTTTCAGACATGCACTATAGTGCAGACATTTTCCTGAAATGATACTGAGATTGCAAATTCCGAGCTTAACTCTGGGGGGAAATAACATGAATGTAGACATATATGTTACACTGTTTAAAGCAGATTTTTGATATAACTTTTCTGTAGTTGCGAACCTTGGTGTTAGCGATGAACTCCAGGCCAAACTTCAGGACGTGATGGTCATGAGGAACTTGCTCACGATAGGGAAGGTTCTTGGAGAGGGTGAGTGAACAGATTCCTTTCTACGCTGTGATTAAAACAGAATATACGTATGCTTTGCAGAGTATTAATATGTTGGTGTAATTTATCAGGTGAATTTGGCTCAGTGGTGGAGGGACATTTAAGGCAACCAGACGGAACATCGGAAAGAGTGGCTGTGAAGACAATGAAACGTGAGCGGATACCCTTTGAACATCTCTAAACTATAAAACATGTAGACTTGTAAATATTTACCATCCTCGTCTTTCTTCAAACAGTGGATAGCTTCTCTCACAGGGAGATTGAAGAGTTCCTGAATGAGGCGGCCTGCATGAAGGATTTCAACCATCCTAACGTCATCAGCCTGCTCGGTAGGAGTGCTACTGCAGAACCCCACTACTCTGCTCTGTTCTCTGGTCTGTTTTCATTTAAACAGCCCTACATTATCTGTGTTTACCCACTTCTCATCTGCAGGTGTTTGCTTGGAAGTTGTCTCAGGACATTTTCCCAAGCCCATGGTCATTCTACCATTCATGGAATACGGAGATCTTCACAGCTTCCTGCTGCGCTCACGCCTGGGAGAGAGCCCAATGGCAAGATTTCAGCCAAACACTGAAATACATATGTTGTACAATATCTTATCGTTAGGCTATATAATGTTAACTTATGTGTTTATTTTTCTACACAGTTCTTGCCCACGCAGACACTCCTGAAGTTCATGGTTGACATTGCTTTGGGTATGGAGTATCTCAGCGGACGCAACTTTCTACATCGAGACCTGGCAGCTCGTAACTGCATGTAGGTTGCAAATCCAATTTTTTTTTGTATTGGACCCTTTGAGAGTAAAGGTGAAACTTATCTGGGACAATTTCCCTGATTTTATTTTGGTTCTTGTTTGTCTTACAGGCTGCGTGATGACATGACGGTGTGTGTAGCAGACTTTGGTTTATCAAAGAAGATCTACAGTGGAGACTATTACAGGCAAGGCAGGATAGCCAAGATGCCTGTGAAATGGATTGCAGTGGAGAGTCTGGCAGACAGAGTCTTTACTGTAAAGAGTGATGTGGTAAGCACTTCCATCTGCTCCTGTCTGTTCTTTACTGGCACTCTGAAGTCATGGTATAAAAATATGTGAATACATCAGATTATTGTCAGTAACAAGACACATTTTAAACCAGTTTCGAGTCACTGAAAGAAGAACTGGTCCTTCATCTTCTCTCAATAATCAGAAATTTCAAAACAGTTCTTAGTCTTGAAATTTACTCAGAGCTGTCATCTGATTTTACTCAGTATTAATTACTCAGCCTTCCTTTAAAGGGCGTGGTAAAGATTTTGTTTTGACATTTGTTCACACGTCATCATTTCTCCTTGAGTGGTATCACTAAAACTTTTGAGTTCTTTCCCAGATTTTGCATTTTAGGACTCTGGACATTGCACATCATTATTTAACAAACAGTTTACTCAAATTCATCTACTTGATATGTTTATTCTCACAACTTTGCCATAAGAATAAAAAGAGAGGGTGAACCCATTCACAGTTCTCACACTTTTGTAATGGACTGGACATAAACTTTCTTGATACTTTCTGTAATTTTTAGTATACATTTCCCTTCAGCACATTTTAAGGTTAAGTGAAATTAACAAAGTTGGTGACAAATGTATTCCACATGATGAAATATCCACTACAGTTAATATTCTATGTGTTGCAGTGGGCTTTTGGCATCACCATGTGGGAGATCGCTACACGAGGCATGACTCCCTACCCCGGCATCCCAAACCATGAGATATACGATTACCTTGTTGAAGGACACAGACTGAAACAACCAACAGACTGTTTGGACGAACTGTGAGTTGTAACGAGTTGAATTTGCGTTGGATAAAATAGAATATATAGGTAGAGTGGAACCTTATTTGCCCAAATGCAGGAATGGGGATGCAAATTGAAAATAAAATAAATAATAGAATTTAATGTATTAAGACAAATAATGCAAGTTATATACACAACATGTCTGTGGTTAAAGTGCATAATTTGTACTTCGTAATCTCCTTTTGTATTGCTGCAAACTTTATGGTAAACGTGAGCACCTGTAGGTCGTTTTGAACTACTACTACTGATATACAGCAATATTAGCATGTGATACTAGTTCCTTTTTATGACTTTCGTCCAAGCCAGCAAACAGCCTCAGTCTAAAAACATTGCTCACCACTGCCATCTGTAGGGAAAGCACAGACATGTACACACACTTTGCAAAGTGTGTTCATGAATTGACTTCTAACTGAAGTGAATGCCTCCACATGTGTTTGCTGCATTCAAGGCTCGTATTTAAAAAAAAGCATCAAGATGTATTAAAGGAGTAATTTCCTTGATTTTCCTGTGTCTAGGTATGAGATCATGTACAGCTGCTGGAGGGCTGATCCGCTGGACCGACCTTTCTTCCCCCAACTGCGGGAAATGTTGGAAAAGCTCACAGACAAGCTCCCAGAGTCTTTCAGCAGGGACGATATCATCTATATTAACACCAGCTTTCCTGAAGAGGACCTCGATGGGGACTCACATCCTGCAGAGCATCCTGTGTTCAGCTCCTCCCCTTCCTGCAGCCATCGGGCGGCAGAAAATTCAGTCATCACCGTGGACGTTCATGGGAGCGTGGAGGACGAGGAAGACGAGGGCGATGATCGCTACGTGGTGGTGATCTCCTCTGATCCTTCCCTGAGATCTGCTGAAGTGGACACTCCTCTTCTGTCGAGTGATGCTTTAAGTCGAGCAAACAGAGACACTGGGATTGACCACAGCTCAAGTGACACGTCTTTCCTGCTGTAACGTTCGATACCCAGCAGATTAAAACTTTAATAAAACTGTCACTTTGCTGCCTCAGCACTAAAAATGTCGCCTCATTACACTGGGAGAACCTCAATGTCTCCTGGTGTGGACTTTCTGTAGTGTTGTCATTTAAGCAGCTTCATGCTTTAAGTGAACGGCCTGTACGTCAGTGTTAAGAATGTTGTCCAATAAGCTTAAGATGCACTGAACTGTGAAATTGTTTACTGTGCTGAATTGTGTGTTGCTATGTAAATATAGAAATGTACAGAGCATTTATAAAGTGATCTTATACTATAAAAATATAAAAGACTAATTCCATGACTCATTTGAAACTTGATGATTAAACTGGGCTTTATTTTTGAGCTGTTGTGGTGGAAAAAGCTAAAATTACAATCACAAGGAGGAAATACATGTACTTATAATATGATAATAATGTAAGTACACGTATATAAAAGTATACAAAAGTAGTCTTCTTTAAAAAATCTTATTTCAGCATTTGTGCACAAACTGACATTTAATCTTGTCTTATATTAAATATTAAAAGTAAGACCCATTTAAAATTCAATAGATGCCGAAACTTTTGTACAGGCTTTGATTATGATGCACTTTGATTGTTGCAACAGTCTCTATTCATGTCTGGTGGAAAATGTTCTTATACCAGAAGCCTTCTTTGTTCCTATCTGGGCTTTATGTTTATTTTGTTTCTGTCCTTTTTATTAATTCTGTTATCTTACTTATTTTAATAATGAAGTAGTTTGTAGTGTTATGGGTTATTCAGTTTCTTATTATTTTATTAGTATAAATAGTAAAATGATTCATATAGGTTTTAATAGCGCCAATAACTGCTATTAATTTGAAATATTCAGGTGCTTACCTTAAACCTTAAAACTGGAGAATGTAGAGCTGAGTAGACCCCATTTATGCAACAGCACAGTTCGTAGTCGCCTTTTGTTTTCATGCTCACTGAGTCATTCTTGCTAACATGATATCTCAGAAACACATGAGTGAATTTCTTTAAAAACTTTCACTTGGACTCAAAGATAAACTGATGGGATTTTGGTGGTCGAGAGTCAAAGGTCGAGGTCACTGTGACCTCATGTTCCTGTGAATGTGATGAATCAGGGACTCTGAATTTAATATCATCACTAGGGAATGTCATTTCATCTGGCCCAAACTTTCACTTGGACGTGGAAGAGAATTTAATGGTCACTGTGACATCACAAAACCCCCGTTTCTCTGTGAAGGCTTTATGTGAAGAACGCCCGAAAGAACACTTCAAATGTGGCACAAATGTTCAAGTTCACAATGGCTTTACAAAACAGGCCTTTTGAACATGGATTCTCAAGCCCGCCTTTAGGGAATTTAGATGAACTGATTAGATTTCAGTGGTCAAAGGTCATAGTAACCAATATGAATCTGAAAAACAATCTATGTGCATTGAAACTGCTGTAATTCTAGTAGTTTGTGGATACATAATGAGCAGGAAGGTTGAAAGTTTAACTGAAGTCATAATTATTAATATTGCATGTTGAAAACAACAGGATCTGAGTCAAAATGCTTTACAAACACGGCAAAGGAGGAACAATGGAGGATAAAAAGAAAGTAAAGACAGCACGGCCTTTATTTGACCTTTGTGCCTGCAGGGTACAACCACATGTTACTGCAGATTGTAAGAGTCAGTGTGGGGGCTGACAGTAAATGTGGAGATGTATAAAACTTGTTAGATAGGATTTTATATATAAAGATCAGTTTTACACTGAAATGGCACCATAACTAATAATACAGTCAGACTGAAGTTGGGTTTACAGCGCCCCCTGCACTTCAGGCTCGGATGCCACAGCGAACATGGCTGCCACGGTCAGGATGAGGACGTGGAGCTATGCGACCGGAGGAGTTTTCCACCCGTGGGGAGTCCTGCTCTTAGTGTTGCTCAGCTCCATACACGCGGCTGTCGCAGCTCCAGAGACCGGAGTGTGGAAGACCACCCTTCTGAATGTGAGTGTCAGCTACCCTGCTGGGGAACCACAGCACCGGGCAGCTAACGTTAGCCACGGTAGCCTTGTTATGCTAGCTCCATGTCAGCTGTGGGAGTGGGAGCAGTCATGGAACCTGTCCCGTGTTAACACCACCGCTATAAACACTCAACTTTATATCCTTCGTAGTTTTGTAGAAAGTGCGCCAAACAGAAACAGGGGAGCATGTTGTTAAGCTAGCTAATTAACCCCCGAGAGGAGAAGCACTAGCTAACTAGCTCCTACAGCTTATTTTACACAGCAGTCCAAAGGTGTTTAAACTGTTTAGCCGAGTTAGCGAGGTTCAACTCTAATGTATCTGTGTCTGATCCTTTCTCCACCTCTCAAACAATACTTGAGACCACATCCGTGTTTGTACTGGAGGCTCTGCTTTTCTTAATGTGTTTACTTATGTCCTTAATAAACACCCTGCAACAGGACATGGGTTTAACATAATAAACACAGCCTGAATATGATCAAAAGTGGAATTATTCACTCCTGTATATCAGACGTATTCTTCTTGTTTATCAGTATTAAGACTCAGGTCACAGACTTGGTCCAAGGAGAGGTAGAAAACTTTGATCAATAATTTAAGCAGTGAGAAGTCTCAGTTTCCCCTTTACTGTCGTCTACGTCCTTCAGTATTATATGTGCAGAGAGGCAGAGTGTAACCTGGACAGGTCCGTCTACACAGACACACAGACACAGACACACACACACACACACACACACACACACACCCACACCCACCCACCCAAGGACAGCGTTAAATTTTCCACATTGTCGGATCCCCACAACCGACACAGAGAGGTCCCAGTCTGAACTCAGGACACACACTAACCACTGATCCTCCATCCTGTTTAAATGATTAACCAGTTCATTAATCTAAGAAAATAAATCCTCTGGCTCACAAACCTTGTTTGCTATCCTACAGACCTCAAGACCTCTGCTGTTAAGGAAATCCATGTTTAAAGACACTGATATTGAATTGAAAGGTAAGACGTAGAAAGTGTGCACACAACCCACTACACAAATTTTAGTCCCTTGTGTTTATCGTCACTTGTGTCCTCCACCATCTTTTTTAGTTCTGTTGTTTGGCTGTCCAGAGGAAGTGACCTTCACTATTCACTGGTATTTAAAATACTACCCCTGTCACAATGAATTCAGCAACATTGAAGTAAGTCCAGGAACTTAATGGCACATTAATTACCAGACAGTGTATCTGCCTAGACTTCATTTTTTATGAATGTTGAACCGTGACTTCCACTGTCCGCAGGAAATGTATGAGAGAACGCCTCTGAGTCGTGGAGAGAGCCTGGATCCAAATCCCTTCATACAAGGAGAGTTCATCGAGCACAGGTACAGGCCTGTGACATGTAACAGTGCACTACACTCTTTCCCCATGCTCAAAGTAAGTTTGTTTATTTACTCTCCTCAGTGTAATCACATACATCTATTATTTATGATCTATATTCTGTATGATAATATTTTATAACACCCTATGATTTTCAGAAAGCCAAGGCAGACCCACGTCCAGTTGTTCCACCTGTCGAGGGCAAAGTGCCAGTGAGAAAATAATTGAAAACTTTTTTTATATAATGTGTTTTTCCCTTAATAGTTTCCACATACTTTGGATTGAACTATTTTGCTAAAATGGATTTACATGACCTTATTTTTGTTTGTAACACTGCAGGATGAAAATGAAACAAAATTAATTACTGAGGAGTATGACAGCAACAGCGCCACAAAGAATGGCAGTGTAAACCTCAAAGACGACGTCATAGCCACAACATGGAAGGATGGGCCGTACCTGCTGGTTGTTAAGTTTGTGCCCAGTAGGCACGACATTTACTGGAATTTAACAGGTGAGATCTGATTAAAGACGTAATGACTTCATGAGCACTTATCTCATTTATTTCATCTACTAGGGAAATGCAGTTCTTAGCACAGATTGACAGTTAGGCCCTGCTGAGATCTGATATTAACAACAGTCCTGAGGGATCAATCATCAGTGGACAGCATTGTAAAGATTTTTCCTGTGTAATAGTGAGTTTATATTGTTTTTTCCCACAAACAGATTATGTTGCATTAAATTACATTTGATTCATTCAAATTGTAGTGACGTCAGCTGACTAGGCTCAAGATGCATTTGTGTTTATACAGTTGAAAAGAATGTGCTCCAGATCACCCCAGCGATAAGAGCTCAGGCTGAATTCAGTACTTATTTGGTTGCGTTCCCTTGCGATCGGATCTCTCAGGATGGATGTTAATACCAGATCTGAATGACGTCTAAATGTTTGCCACAGTCGTGCATTCACATGCCGAAATGATTTCCCTGATCAGAACCTGGCTTGTAAAAGCGAAACCTTTTTGTAGTCGACTCTGAAGCGTCAGATTAATGAACTCATCCCAACCCACAAACGCTTTGTTAGGAAACACTGTCACACTTCGTTTATTTACTGTCTGGGTTTTGTTTTTCCAGTGAATGTGGTGATGAAAGGCAGCCATGGCTACATTTCTATCACCGAGTGGCCTCTCATGATTGTAAGTAGATGATTTATGTCGTACACGTCATGTAAAATACATGTAAGATGGTATTATATGTCCATAATTCTTCACTGGCTCTGAAGGACGATTCTGTTTTACTGTTATGGGCATGTTATAAATGAACTGGATATTTACAGCACACTGAACAATACAGAGACAAAATGTGTCCACTGCTTTAAAGGGACAGTTTACCTAAAATACAAAAATGCATACAATTGTAGTTCTGGTCCGCCAAGTTCATTTCACAATACAGGTAAGTAAGTGGGGGACATTTCATAAACCCAAGAGTTGGAAATCAAACTCAATAAAGACAATTTCTTGAAAAAAAAAATAAAAAACAGAATATTTCCATCAACTATCACAGCAGAAAATCATGGAGGGTTACTGGATTATCATGTGCAGCTGTTTTATGTGGGAAGAGACAGTGTTACTGCCTTTTCAAATGTGTTTGAACACCTCTGAGTGTCACCATGTTCACGTGTGCTGCAGTTAACAGATCCAGACCCTGTGAAATCTCCCTGGAACTGGATAAATAGTCGGCACACTGAAGATGTTTTTGGACAAATGATCAATTTTTGAGGAATTTGGTTTCTAGCTAATGGAAACCATCTGCTCCAACATGTGTTTATGGACTAACTCCTCTCTCCTCTCTCTGTGTTTGTAGTTCTACATGGTGATGTGCATCGTGTACATCCTTTACGCCTTGCTGTGGTTTGCCTGGGCAGCGTGCTACTGGAAGGATATGCTGAGGATCCAGTTCTGGATCGCAGGCGTCATATTTCTCGGGATGGTGGAGATGGCCGTCTTCTGCGCCGAATACGAAAACACCAATGCTTCCGGCTCTGCTTGTGAGCATCACAAAATATTTAAACCATTTTTATGTGAGAAAAGGATTTTTTAAATGTAACTCTTTCCCTCTGTTACCGTGGCATTTAGCTTCAGGCTTGTTGATCTTTGCTGAGCTGGTCTCTGCCCTCAAGAGGACTTTGGCACGATTGCTAGTCATCATCGTCAGTCTTGGCTATGGAATTGTAAAGTATGTCAACAAACATTTTGACACATAGATACAAGAGACAGTTTGTTTAATGAAAATCAGACAACAGACTCTTTTTGCTTTGTCTTTTTTTCCCATTTTGTTTTAGGCCTCGACTGGGGACAGTGATGCACAGGGTTGTGGGGCTTGGTGTCCTCTACTTTGCCTTTGCAAGCATTGAAGGTGTCCTGAGGATTACTGGGGTAAGTAGATAATTATTTAATTGATATTACTCTATGGACATAACCAAGAGTCATAACCACGTGTTGATTTAAATGATCAGTTCTAAAGCTTTTTGGTTTGTCAGATTGTTGTTATAGTAAAACTCACTTTGCAGTTTTTGTATTTTCTTTATGCTCTGTGGGGCCAAAAATCAAGGGTAGAGACAATGGCCCTTCTCTCATCACAGCGATTGGTCTGGCTGTGTTTGACTCCTGTGCCATCTGGTTCATATCCTTCCCGTGTGAACTCCTCAGCACCACAGACAATACCAAACCAAATGGACCTATTTGTTTGTCGATTAAATCAAACCAACGCTGAGCATTCCCTGCATTTTTGGGTTTTATGATTTGGTGATTTTCCTCTTTGCACTTTGTTGAATGACTCTATATTTTACCTCCCGTGCTGGTCCTATTTTGTACCATCTATCCCCTCTGTGATTTTTTTTCCACATCTGTCACCTCTGTCCCTGTGTCCTCTGGTGGTGCTCTGTCCTCCCTTCTAGGCACAAGACTCTGACTTGGCCCTGCTAGCCAACATTCCCCTGGCTCTGCTTGACTCCTCTCTATGCTGGTGGATATCCTTTTGTGCACCTACAACCTTTCCTTATGTGGTTCCCCTCTGCTCCTCTCCTCCTTCACACAAGCCCAGATTAGACCAGGACAGTTTGAAAAGCGGCTGTTCACATCCCTGAAGATATGGCCTTGCATTAATAATCATCTTCTACTGTGTTTTGCAACAAGGGTTTTTTTTTTCTGGTTGGTGGTTTGACTGCTCTTGAAATTTCCTGCACTTGATGTTTTCTTTTTGTTCTTCGCACAATTTTGCTTTGTTGCTATTTATGGACTGTCTAGGTCTGAATGGGCAAAATGACAAATTCGCATGACCAACCACCGCCCATTATAGGTGCTCATGTTTAAAGGTGATATTAATAAGGATGCCACTAACGTAGGAATTATGGTTTATGTATTTCAAATTTAAACTTTCAACAGTGACTGGGAAATTGTTTCAGTTTTTTTTTCTAGCTTAAAAATAATGATACAATTTCATTTGTCTGCATGATTAAGTACACTTAAGAACTGATTAAGGGCAAATTTATGGTGATAACATGTGGTTCCATCTTATTGTTAAGGTAAAAACTGTCTGAGTCAGAACCACATCCGTCAAAATTACACACATAAGGTATCACGCTGATACTTTGTTACAATGGGTAAATGAAGAGATAACTCTATCCTTGATCTCATTCATTTGTGAGTCAGTTTATGGAGAAAAAAACATTTGTTGTAGCACTCAGATGCACCTAATAAATTAGATTGAAGGGATGTGTGTGGTCTTAAAGAAATATTGCAAAACATGGATATTATCTACAATATTTAGTCACATGTAGAGGTTAAAGGTCCAATGGTTTCTGTGCAATGTTTCCCACATATTTACCTTGACTGCAACTAACATCTTTGTCAGCCTGGCACAAACCATCAAGACTCTGAAGCTGAGGAGAAACCCTGTCAAGTTGTCTCTCTACAGACACTTTACAAACACACTGATATTTGCTGTGATTGGTAAGTGGTATAATAATATAGTTGCAATCATACTAGAGTGTAGTAGTAATGACATGTAGTTATTTGTATCTAAAACCTGTAAAAACATTCAGTCTTTCTACGCTGTGTGAAAACAGATGATTTTTGTCTCAAACTTGCTTTTGCTTTCCTCAGCTTCCATCATTTTCATGGGCTGGACAACAAAAAAGTTTAGGCTTGCAGATTGTCAGTCTGTAAGTATGTTTTTAATCCTATTCTTAATAAAGAATACATTTTATTTAAAATTTGTACTTTTATTGATAAGCATTTTATTTTGTCTCCAGGATTGGATCGAGCTGTGGGTGGAAGATGCTTTCTGGAGGTTCCTGTTCTCCATCATTCTGCTTGTCATTCTGTTTTTATGGAGACCATCTGCAAACAACCAAAGGCAAGAAATACATTACGACTGTAAAGTTTAACAACATGAACTGAATCGGACCCCTCTTGTCTTTACTGGCACTTTATAATGAATCCCTGAATTCACCATCCACAGGTATGCCTTCATGCCTCTCATTGATGACTCTGACGATGAGATCGAAGAGTTCATCACCTCTACAAATCTTGGTACAGCAACCTCACAAACATCTTATATTTAGCCAGAACACTGCAGACAGTTGCTGTCTCTAATAGTCTTATATTTATTTTCTTTGTTGTTGTTTTTAAATTCACAGCAGATGGCATTAAGTTGAGAGCAACTAAAAATGAGACAAATGGCACAGTGAAGCCTCCTGCAGAAACAACCCCAGTAAGTAACAACTTCACCTTTCATTTTTTGTTCCTCTGTATTCATAAGTTAAATTTGGTGTTGTACATTGAATATTAAGCATAAACAGTAGGAGTAGTAAATGCAGACCACATTTCAGCAGATGGCAGTGTTGACTTCTTTTCTTTTAACCCTGTTTGTACTTGTCCAGGAGGATGACTTGAAGTGGGTGGAGGACAACATTCCCAGCTCTCTTTCTGATGTGTAAGCATCATATCACATAGATTTTTATTCATCCACTGAGATCTTTTCACAAAACGTTTGATTCTAACAGAGTTTGTCTTTGGTCCTTTTTGTTCCTGCAGAGCTCTACCAATCCTGCTGGACTCAGACGAGGTATGAACTTACTTTTAAATACTCAGAACAAGTGCAAACCATTACCATGTTTTCTGGGACTGCCCTGTCATGATGGACTATTGGAGAGAGATACACAATGCCCTACAGGATATCTTCAAATGTAAAATACCCCTCGAGAGCAACACTATGTTTTTTGGACACATACCTGAGGAATGGCCGAAAAGAGACAAACATTTAATAAATATCTTGCTGGTGGCCTGTAAAAAGAGTATTACCAGGAAATGGTTATCACATGAGAGCCTAACTTTAAATATGTGGATGGACATTACAAGCATTTGTTAATCACAAACTGGAGAATTTTGCTTCACACTGGGAAAACTGGGTCAAGTATGTCACGCCCCATAGACCTGATTTTATTTTCACAGACTAGTGACTGTGTTGTATGGAAAGGATCACTTCCTACCTGTACATAGTTTAATTTTTCCTTTTCTCGTTTAGTTGTTTTTTCTTTTCATTCTTCAGATACAAAATAAAAAAGCTATTTTGGCATTTGGGGCAGACAACAGATGTAAGATACTGTATATGCACATACGATGTGTGACAGATATGAATGTCTGATTCTAAATGTCAATAACAAATAAATTACAAAAAAATAAATACTCAGAACAGGATTTAGACATAACACGTCATCTGTTTTACCACCGTTAGAGGGGAAATGTGGAGGTTGGTAACATCCAACAAACAGTAAGAAAGAAGGAAAGAAAGCAAGCATCAGGATGGTGATTCATTTTACATTGCTGAATTAGTGGTGACTTTAGGACTCAGTGACAGGACCCAGGACGACTTTTATAAATACCTTTCAACCCTTAGAGGCCACTGTGTCTGTTTTTCCTCCCACTCCAAAATATAGTGTGGAGTTAAAGAATTTGAGGATGATGTTTTACTCGTTACACTAGCTCTACACTGCAATCCAAGATAAATGTTTTTTCCTTCTTTTCCATTCTCTCAGCTGGTGAGGATGATGACGTTTTAGTTTGGGAAATGCTTTAGCCTTATTCTTTCAGCATGACATCATGTGTATCGCCATGAAATGCATCTAAGACGACTTTTACAAAGATCTCCTTTTTAAAATAGGTTTGCAAAAGTCAGCCGGAGGCAGCTTTTTCTGCCAATTTTCTGTTTATTTTTTGGATAAAACCTGAAATTAAGTACCTGTTGTTTTAAAGATAAATGATCATTCTGACTGGTGAACTGCTGAGAGAGAAAGAAAACCTTTACAGACAACATTTGATAAAACATTGAATGTTTAATTTACATTATTTTATTTTTTCCAGGAAATCATGACAACAAAGTATGAGATGTCAAAGCTGGAGTGAGACAGAACATTTCTGGCCTTCAGCTGACACGGAGGGAGAACAGAAGCAGGTGTCGCTGACTCTGCACCAGGGTCTTCGCTTCTTCTTTTCACCTGACTGGTGGTGGTGCAGTGCCATTTAGCTTTTTCAGGGGATCCTCCAGGTCGCAATTCAGGAGGAGCTCTGCTCATTTCCTCAACTTTTCAAGAACAAAATAACTGTACCAGAGGAAGAAGGGTCTTTTCACTAACCAACTGGTTCATTATTTCCCTAATAAGATCAGTTTTGAGGCTTTCTTTCCAAAGAGAATGTTTCATTTAGTATGACATGTATTTATCTCTGTTATGCGAATTTATATTATCAGTTGATTAAGGACCACATGCATGGACGTACTTTAATTTATAAACATGAAGTGTCTTTTTGAGGGTATCTACATATTATTGGTTGGTTGTAAAAAACATTAAATAGAATAGATACCTATTTATGGTGGGGGGAAATAATGAAAAGGCCTTTTTCTTAGTAACAACAATGATTCATTGATTGACTATTTTCAAAATTTCAAAAGGATTCCAATAACATTGTCTTTAACACCTGAGACAAGAAAACTTAAAACATTTAAATAGAACATTTGCTCTAATGCACTTTTGAAGATCAAATCTGTGCCTACATGTTGTTCTTGTCTGGGGCCCTAATCTGTTCAGGAGTCTGAGAGTATATACAAGTGTTGTTCATGTCTTAGATTGAAACTTCCCAGCATCCTCAGTATTGTTGTGTGAATGACTGAGAGAAGCACAAACCAGGGATTTGGTTTGTTTTGAATCTACTGTAGGTGTGTGTGTGGCCTGGTTCTGTGTCTTCTGAAATAAGGAGCAATATACTGTGTGTATGTTGATACATTTAATTATTTATTGTTTTTTCAAGTGTACTTATAAGTTGTTAAAAGTGTGGGTTCAACCAAGTGTGTTTACAATGTGTGTTTCCATGTTTTCTAATGACTTGGATCCTGAACATTCTCACAATGAATTAGGCAGATGGCAAACTGCAGCCTGTTTCTCATTTCTTTGCCGTGTTTGCCGATGATATCATCGTGTTTGTTCAGAGAAACTTCAATGAAGCTCATGTTCTTTCAGATAAGTCTTAACATGTTTATTTTTTATGGTTCTCTTTAAAAATGGCTGGTGTTTTTGTCGGCATAGTTTTGGAGTTGGAACACTGTCGTCGTCTTAATGTTTGTTCTCTCGAGTAAATGTTCAGTTCATCTGTCTAGGCAATCCCATGTTATAACACACTAGTTAAAGTGATGTGGTTAGCACAAGCACAAGCTGATCATCCGAATGAGTTTATAATGTCACTTTTTGAAGTTGGAAACATGGGAAAGTTGTGTTTGCAATGGCAAGCTGACCTCCTGTTATATAAAACTGCAGACACCTGCAGTGGACCTTTGATTATTTGTACAGATGGGTCGTGGCTCATTCCTGTTATTTCATAACTCCAGAGGTGGAGCGGTGTCTGGATAATATGACTTTTTTTAAATTATTATTTTTCTCCAGTGTTATGAATACCTGGGCTTAAACTTTTTCATACCAGCAGTTTTCTTCTCTCTTCCTTCTCAGGAAGTTTGTACACTCCGATTAAATATGAAATGAATACAGGAGTGTTTGTTTCCTGATCTATGCTTTTCAGTATTCATCTGGCAATAAAAACACACTGCATATTTTACTATGGATTTAAAGTCTGTTTTTAAAGCTGTCTTGCAAATACTAGATTCAAGAGTTTGGATCTGTTGAATGAAAAGGCTATAGTGAGGAAAATTATGATGAATGACGATGAAACGCAGAGACTTAAATTTTAACAGGCAAGATTGAATTAAGCCCAGTTGCTGTATTTTTTTTTCCTCAAGCCATTAGCCCTTAATGTGCTTGTAACTAAGAAGCTGAAACAACACATCATTTATTAACAGGCCAACACATTTGTCATGTCACCATTCTGGTTTGACCTTTACAAGTTGGCATCAACAATGCGGCGCTGGGTTTTAACCTTAACAACCCTTTGTTCCGTTGTCAGTGAAATAAGACGTTTTGAAATCTGCCACACTATTTGTTTTAAAACACCAAACAGTAATCTGCAATGACACAGTTAAGAAGGTAGAATGCCGAATACCTCCACCAAGGGTCCTATCAACCCATGTTTTTTTCCTGGATCCATTCCTTTGTCCAGGTCTGTGCCAAAATATTTTAAGGTACTGTGGTGGAAAAATACTACCCTCCAATGAAGTCACATTTAAATCCACCAAATTGCACACACTCAAATATATCTGTCCCCTTTATCGTGTCCAACTTTTTTTTATCAAGATCTATGAGTTATTCCTTGGAAAATGTTGAAAATATTTTTTTAAATGGCCTGGACTCAGAATGTTAAAATAAAACGTCCTGTATCCACACCCTGATCTGGATCTGCATAAAATATTAATTGGAGCTTTCTTTATCCATCCTCCCACCAAGTTGGGTAAAAATCTGTTCAGTAGTTTTTGTGGGATTCTGTTCTCAATCAAACCGATGGACGGGGGAAAATATAACCTCCGTGGCGGAGGTAATAAAACCATCACTGTCGTTAAGGGTTAAACACTAGAACATGCGCTTATCTTGATCAAAGCTGTGTGGCTCATAGCGAGAGAGGTCTGGTTCCTCTCAGCTTTACATTGAACTAACCTGCAAAACAAATGTATTGGGTGTTTTCTCATCAATTACCTATCGATGATTTCACCCCTTCCTCCCAACTTGGTGGAAGGATGCAATATCTGTCAGGGAAGAAGTGTGTCTAATTTAGAGAGTCCTGATTGAGTTTAAATGGATTGTTGGGCCGTGGCGGAGGTACTTTCTCTACTGAATGCCATCCTAGTTATGTATGCTTCAGTCTATGGTCATAAGATATTTGGATCATTATCACTATCATAATTTTATTAGTAAGTGTAATGTAGATTACAGGCCAAGAGAGACAAAAGCAAAATGCTTTCCTGTTCCCCTCACATATTTCTGGACCTCCTCCAAACATTTATCCCACATGAAAGTTGATCCACAGATGACCTCTCTTGTCTCCGGCATAATAAAAGTGGAGCTGAATTCCTCCACTGTGCCGTCTCATTCTGCACTAACCCACCCGCAACGACACACGTGCCTCTTTAACGTTTTGATGGCAATCCATAAAATGAAAACGTTTCTGCTGTTTCACTTCAAAATGATTTACGGTTTGGTGCATGAATGGGCAATTTTAAGGGATGTTTCAGAAGGCTACTGCATTTACTGTAGCTCGACATTTTACCGCCCTTGGAATTTCAAGAATTTTTGATGAGGAGATTGTTTTCATCCTTTTTTTTGTGAAAAAATGTGCAGGAGCTTTAAAGTCCAGCTACAAATACACAGTGAAGCCCTGCAGCTAGACTTTCTCATGTACCACTCTTTTGCTGGATTTGTGCCCATTTCATGCAAGAACTTCTCCAAAGCACAGGGTGACTTTCACAAACAGAAGCAGTTGTTCAAAAACAAATGATAAGCTCCATAAAACTGAAGTTACTTTGCTGTATTTTTGAATCTGCCTGCGTTTATGTATGATGATGACTCTCTGAAGTCACCTCGAGCATGAAGAGGAAGAGCAGACAGAGCAGGAAAGTCATCGTGTTTCTGTGACCACACTGTGCTGGCTTCGCCTCAAGGCTCCCACTGTATATTTTCATCATTACCCTCCACCAAATGGCTTGTGTTATGTAGCTCAGCGCTCTCCAATCGTCGCTGGCAACATCCCTCGGCCTGAGAATGGATGAAACATGTGAACATCAAACAGCCTGAGGGAAAAACTTGAAACAAAGGCTGCAATGTGAGTGTTCCTGGTCCGGTTACTGGAGGAAATTAGGTCCCGCCATTAAGGCACGTTGTCACTTTCAAAGCAGTGCGTGCCGTCGCGGCATGTGTTTTGATTCTCACCATCCACTCCCTCACTGAAAGCATGAAGCTCCTCTGGCCCCCTTTTATTGCAACGTAAACCCCTGGATGGAGCCAGCCGAGTAGCGGGGGAAGCTGAGAGAACACATGTGGTGAGCATTAGTCTCTTCTTTCTGTAACAAATAGACACACTGAGATATGTTTTCAAAATGTGACATCTAGTTCCTTGTGTTCAAGTCAAACAGGAAATACTGAGAGCCTGCTTTGTTGCCATGTGTCGACTGTGAACCATTGGCTCAGAGTCATAGTATGAAGCACATATTTCTTCCTGTTTTAACCTTTTATCCATTCATTCAGAGAACTGTTCATCGCCATCCAACGTTCATATATCAGCTATGTGTTGGTTTGCGTTTCGCTCATTAAAATTCGCTCTCAGAGGATGTGAAGCACCGACCAAGAACATGTAATAGCACACTGTACAACATCAAGTGAGGTAGTTTTAACAAATGCTGAAAAGTTGGACTGGCTTTATTTGTTTTTTTTTGCAGAGACAATTAAAATTCCAGATAAATTATGTAGTGCTCCGGCAAGCTCGCTAAATCATCTATGAATTAGAATATGAGAATATGAGACTATTACATACAGAGTAATATTATGGAGGTTTTTTCTTATCTTTTTCAAGAGCTTTTGGACAGGACTTATTGATTTTATGCTCAGATTTTGCTTGCACTCAAATATGCCCTGCTTTGCCCTTGTACTCAGATGTTGTTTTCTTGCTTTGACAGACTTTCTGCGCTCCAGCTTCAGTTTTTATTCTCATGCTGCCTCTGAACAGAAGCAGCTTGAGCATGAGGAGAGGAGCTGAAGCTGAAATGCAGGATGTCTGTCCAAGTGCAAACAAGCGCACAGTTTGAGCACAAGCTGAGGAAATCTAACAACAAGCGGGGGCTATTATAATACAAACCCAGGGTTTTGAGTGAGAGCATTACAACATTTGAATGTGAAGTCCTGCTCTGAAATTGTTACACCACACTCTTGAATAGAGAAAAAAATAAACGCCCTGGTACAATACTGTGTCTACTGTTTTAAAGAAAAACAACTCCCATAGTAAATGACCGGTGCCTTAAACGAAGCAAGCTAGTACAACAAAAACAAATATACAGAATCTAATAGAAGTTAAACATGTGGCATTACAATGTAAAATCCAGCAACAATATTTCCAATAAATTAGAGCCACAGGAGCACTAATGTCTTACAAGGATGTACCATCAATAAAGAGAGGGCAGTGCATCAGCCCCAGGGCCGGACCCTGGGCTACTCAGACATGATTTATGATGGACAAAAATAAAAACATAAAGCAACGGTCATAGTTATCCATCCCTCCAACACGTTCATTATGCTTTTAGCTCCTTTTCATGTATTCAGACTCACTCAGTCAAACAGCGTCAGTCATAGCACATCCTGACTACAGAAGCTTCTATGGTGTGTTTCTGCCATATACTGTTACAATCATAATATAACTGTTAAATATTGGCTGGTCACTCTCACTCTTTTGGTAATTAGGCCTGCGACTGGCAGCTCAAATAAATTCATCTCTGATCGGGGATGAGGAAACTCTTTCTTCTTCCTCTTCTGTGTCTAGTCTCCCTCCTTTCAAACTTTGCCCTCAGAAGTTGTTAGGTGAGACCAGAATGTGGACCCTGGCCACGTGCTTGGCCTGAAAGGTGCGGTCGCTGTACTCGGACATGTCCACGTCAATGCTGATCTCCTGCGGCCCGCGCAGCTGCTGGACTAGTATCAGCTCGCCAGTCTGTCTGTCCGAGCGCTGCATGACAAACATGCCCCGGGAGTTTCCACCCACTATGCCGAAGCGCAGGCTGTCTGGGCCTGTGCGCCCAGGGGCGGCTGCGGTCGCCATACGGAAGAGCGTGGCGGGAGTCTGCAGGTTGGAAGGCAGAGACAGGTAGTGGAAAGACACGGTCTTCGGGGCCAAATGGCAGGAGCGGCTGTCCATGGGGCAGGGGTTTCTCTCACACTGACTACAAGACAGAAATACAGCAAATGTTAATGAGGGAGCATGACAGGACAAAGCAGTGCATGTTCTCTGTGTGTTTTACAGTTGTTATGTAATGTGACCATTTACTCCTTGAGGAACAGTTACACAGTTAATCTGTGGGAAAGTGTTCATAAGTGTTCCTTTGTGACACATACATACAGAACATATGAGGTCAAGAGCCTGAGGTCTCTTGGCTGTTGTGAGCAGAAGATGTTGAAACAACAAGAAAGTTTTACTAACATATGAACCCTGCAGGTCACAATCTCACATCACTGGCTTTTTGTAAACGGTAAATGGTCTTAGCATAATCATAATAAAAAACATATTGTTCCAACTTAAACACATCTTCCATCCATTCATCGTGTACACTGCCTCCTTTGAGGGTCTCTGGAGGAGCCGGAGTCAATCTCAGCAGATATTCGGTGATAGCCTTGGTTTATGCCAGACAGGTCCAACATACTCACATTCACACCTACGATCAATTTAAAGTCTCCAATTAACTTAACACCAATCTGCATTTTTTAACATGTTCATAGCCTTATTGTATTTTATGTCAATATTGTATTCTTATGTAAATTTGGTCGGTATTCCAGAAAGGACAGCACAAGAATTTCAGTTCATAGGGAAACTTGTGTTCTTTGTGTATTTGACAATAAAATCTTTGAATCTTGAATGTCCGACTGTGCGAGGAAGCCAGAACATGCAAACACAGAGAAACCCTGGTCAAGCTGATATTCAAACTGCTATGAGATAACAGTGCTAACCACTGTACCGTCATGCTGTCCCTTTATAGAAATAATATACATATATAATACAATGTTGTACAATACATGTATTGTTTTATTATTGAGATCTTCCTTTGGCTCTCACAGAATCTTTTGTCTTCAAGTGCCACCCCAGCAGCTTATTATACTCCCTCAAACTTTTCTTTGTTTCTCAATATTACATATTTAAAAGGTTTGTCATTTTAAAAGATTCCATTGTGGTGTAATGACTTAAATGTAACTCTTCAATTTCCTCATCTCCTGACTTCCAGCCACTGGATTGGTTGGTTAGGTTTGTTACATCCCAAACTGCTACAGCTTACTTCAAAATATGTCTTTTATTATATAAAAAGCACAAAGGGGACATGCTAACATGTTTAAAAACTAGCTTTTTACTAGCGGGGGTCTTTAATTTCTTGCAGCTGTAAGTAGCAATTTCCTTTTTGCACTGCATCCTGGGACATACCATTAATGAAGTAGATTTTCGTACAAACTCGCATGACTATACCGCATGGAATCAGGACACAGCTACTGGCCTTCTCTATTTTCTGCTTTATTCCTCATTACAAATGTTTTCCGAAACATTTATCCATCCCCATAGCTGTTAGCGGAGCACCACATTGATGGTTCACCAGAAGAAGACAGAGCTTTGTTTCATGCCTATCTGATGACAGCAAACAGGGCGATGAAAGATGCAATGACACTGGCATTCAATGTGGTTGTCTGGGGAAGTTTTGCTGAGTGTGCATGTTCTATGTCAGAAATCTGTAATTCTGCTATATAACAGAACTCTCGAAAGTAAGATCTGGGAACATGGGGACATCTCTACGATGCCACATAATCTAAACCACTTTATTTGGAGGTAAAACTGAAATTGAATGCACCTAAAATGTTATAGTCTATAATTGCAGCGTATTACTGTTAATGCACAACTACAGGTCCAGTGAGCCAAAGTTGAGGCTGGTGGCTAAACTGTGATAAATGTTTACAGCAGTTTTCGTCATGGTTTCATTGGCAGCCTTCGATTTCACCCCTAAATGTTTGGTTAACTTGGCCCGTGGTGATGTTGCTGCATTGCAAGATCGAAGCTGTTACCATGGCGACTTGAATGTTATTTCAACCAACAAAAAGGATGACCAGAAGTACCAAAATAAGTACCAACTTGTATCAAACCTGGACAACTTTAAATGCACTTCTTTAATGACGGATCTTTCTCTCCACGTCACCCATCAGACTGTCGAATTTGATTTATATGCAGAGGGTCATGTGAAAGTTAACGACAATTCTCTGCTAAAGTGTGGAAGATTCTTAGGTGTGGAAGATGAGATCCTGGTTTATTTATTTCTATTCACTTATACAAGTGAGGGAGAAAACAAAAAGGCCACGCGCTGCTGTATCCACTTACAATGGAGATGTCTTGACGTAGCTGATGTTGCCATGAGAACGAGGACACTCAGGGTTGACGCACTGGAAGCCTCCCCCCATGTTGATACAAGTCGTCCCTCGGCTACAGTTGTGCTGCTGGCTCAAACATTCGTCCACATCTGGAGGACAAAACAGTACAGACATGTAAGAACGAGGAACGGGGAGAGAGACTTGCCAGACTGACTCCCTGCTTCCTGGTTACCACAGTGTGAGCAGTGGGTGCTGTGCAATGAGTGTTTATTTTTTTGATTTTTTTTTTAGTTTAGTCTCCCACAAACGCCTCATGTCCCAAAGATTCACTCTGCTGGAAGACGGTGAGGTCATTCATTCCACTGGCAAAAGCTTAATAAGCTTCAGGGGTGCTGATGGAAGCGGAAGCGAGGTTTGCACAGACACCTCTGCAGAAACTAAAAGCTCTGCGGCTACGAGGCTTTTTGGAGTCTCTCTAATTCACAGGTATTCCTCTCTGGAGCTGCATGCCCAGTGAGATCTCAGCCAGGGACCTTCTGAATGAGCCTTTGTGCTCTGCTGCCTTCTGTCACTCACCCTCGCAGCTCCGCCCATCTGGGAGCAACTTGTAGCCGCTGGGGCAAGAGCAGTGGTACGAGCCGGGGACGTTCACGCACTCGTGGATGCAGAGCTTGCCTCCTTGGTCAAGCCGGTACACTTCACACTCATTCACATCTGTCAAGGAACAGAAGAACAAATGCATGTACATGCACACCTTTAAAATGCAATCGCATGGCAAGACTGTGACTTTGCAGATGCTGTAGAAGTGACTTGGGATATTGGTAAGGATCTGTAATGACAAAAGGTGCATTTGCTCCATCTTTTTGCACTTTCACCATCTTGCACATAAACACATTTGTTGCAGCTGCATGAAAAGTCTCACTTCAAAATCTTACTCAACCAATTACATCTTAAAAACAGCACAACTGTGACCTAAATGCTAATCAGCTTGTGACCTCTCGAGAGGATTATTTTGTTTGTCACAGACTGGCTCTACAGATTACCACCCATTTGTAACAACCTTAATCGCTAGAGGAGTAAAAGATTCACGTATTCAGGGATCACTTCAGCATCCAAGTCCCAATAACATCTGGTACCTGTCCAGCTCTGCTGAGATGGCCGTTTAAAGTTCCAAGTATCTTTATTGTCCCTTTCAGGAAGCCAGGATCATACAAACAGACAAACCACAAACTGTAAAAACGTCCACATACATAAAGCACTAACACATTGGTGGACAACCAGCAGAAAGGGTTGGGGTTGGCAGGACATGTAGTTTAAAGAGTGGTTCAGAGACTATAACATACAGTCAAAGCACCAGTAAAATGATATCTCAACAATCTGTGCAAATAAGCAATTTGTGCAATAAAAAATACACAGAATACAGTTAAAGCTATCTGCAGTTGGTTCTAGGAACAGGCACCTGAGGGTAACAGTTCAAACTATGACCTCATAGCTCTCCATGACTAAAGTTTCCCTCCTAAACACATGCTTGTTGTATCTTACCTGTTCCTCTGGTGAGGCTACTGAGCCTGTTTTTGTTGACCATGAGACAAATTTTCGTACCAAGCAGCAATGCAGAACATCGGTCTCCCCGCAGGGATCAAATAAATATGACAGAATTTCAGCTCACCCTGACAGATGCTGTTTTCAGAGGTGCCGCTCATGTGAAAGCCTGCGTCGCAGCTGCAGTGTTGGGCTCGGTTCACTTGGGCGCAGCGAGGTCTGCGGCTGAACGCAGGGTCATTCATGACGCTCCACTCAGGTGGTGCTGCATCAGGAGAAGAAATATGACAGATGAATTACACACTGTAAACATGTATTAGCAGATCTCAGTATGGACTGTAGCACTGACCTGTCTGGGTCTGATGCTGGCAGTGAGAGCCGCTCCAGTTCTGGGGGCAGGTGCATTTGTACTGGTTAAGACCTTCCACACAGGTGCCTCCATTTTGGCAGGGGTTACTTGCACACTCACTTATATCTGTGGGTATAGAGGGAGATCAACTTCTAACCTGCAGCTTCTTCAACACCTCCAGTGAGTTTCAATCTGAAAATACCAGTTTGTTTGCATAAATTCATTTTTTATATTGAAAGAATATTCCATATACTAAATGATGATGTGATTTCCTATTAATCAAATGACACAAAGCGATGGTAATCTTGTTTGAAAGAATATGAGTGGATATGAATATGAAGAATTTGCTTCAGGTTTCACTGAAAAGCCAAAAGTGTGACACTTAAAAAATACAGGAGATGGAAAAAAGTGAGGGAGTCTCTAAATCTTTCCTGTCTGCCATCCATCCATCCATAGAGCGGGAATGAGTCCATGCATCCAGTTTTGATAAATGATACTTCAGAAGGAGAGGCTGCTACTGTCATTATGGGCACAGCATGTCAACAGTAAGTCAGTGATGCCCTTTTATTTGTTCCATTTGTGGAAAAGTAGCGGCTATATTCAGAGAATCAGAAGGGTATCATTATTAAAGTGTAATTCAATAGAATTCATCTGCAGCTGCAAAGTTAAAGTTGTTGGTGTTTGTCGTGTATATGGATTCATATTAGTTAACTTTACACAGTTTGAAGACATGTAAGGAAGTTGTTTTTTGGGAAATGTGAAGACTTTTCCTTTCAGAAAAACAAACAGTTGTGAAGTGCTCTGCTGTCGACACCCTTCAATACGTTGGGAATATTTTTAAGTCCAAATCAGAGTTCATCCATATTTTAGGGGGGTAGTATTTTTCCAGCTGTTGTTAAATGGGACTAGAAACCTGCAACTGCCACCAAAGAGCTGAGATAATGTCAGTGCAGGAAGGTGTGAATGGTTTTAACATATTTAATGTTCGTTTGTGCGTTTGTCAGTTCCCAACCGATTTCCACAAAACTAAGAGGAAAAATGGATCATTGGCCAAGAAAGAACTGATTACATTTTGGCGTGGATCTACAAAAAAGAGGCAGATCCAGGAAGGAAGTTTCTACAACATTACGAGATAAAAAGGCATGTTAAGGTAACTGATATGTGTGAGTGTGAACAATTTGGTCCAGTGGAGGTATGCTCTCCAAGAGTTTATACTATTACATTCCTATTGCAAGTCTTCTTCATCTTAACATGTGCAAAGTTACATAGCTATAAATGTTTTTAGCTGTAAGCAAGAGCACAGTAAAATATATAAGAGTTGTTACTAACTGAATACATACATGTACAGTGTAAAGTGCAGATCCATCCATTAATCCACTAAGAGGTTGATTGACTTATCTGGCACGTAGATAATCATCAAGCAGTGGTCAACAGAGATAATCCTGAGTCAAATATTCTCTTTTCTGAATACAGAAATACTACAAACTGTTGACAGTAACAGAAGGTAAGATGGATAAATGAATGTCTAAGTGGATAAAAAGAACGTCATGCCTCTGATCAGGACACAGAGTTGTGCAGATGTTCTCTGCTGCTCTTGGAGCTCCGGCACTGACGCCGTACGATAGTGGATGGCAACCAATCCCTTTAATATTTATTTGGCTTCCTCAGGGGCCACCACAGAGCCATAACATGAAAAAGCCCACTTCACTCCACTGAATATTTTTAGATTCTTCTTAACTTTTAAGGGTTTCACACTCTGTCAATGCTGCTCTTTAGACATGACTAAATATAGACCTCTGATTCCAGAGCTGAAAAACATGAACAGGGATAATACTGTGCAGAGTGGAACCTTCTCATGTTGCTTTAACCATGAGTGTCAATAAACATACGTGCACATGTTAAACTGAGTGTGCCACTTGGAATTTTTTGGAAGAGCGCAATCGGAGCAAGCTGAAGGGGCTATCAATAGCGTGCTTAGCATACTTGTGTGTTATCAGACCATGGTGTGGGTATAATGTCTGGTCCTAACCCCGTCCAGTGGGACCGCTGTCAAAGAGCCAGGGGAAACATGAGCAAGAGAGGGAGGGCGTTATCTTACAGTAACTGCTCATGAGGAGGAGAAACCTGAAGGGGAGAGCAGCCCTCGGTGGAATGCAGTACAGGTGTTTTTCTGTGTTCAGAGACATCTAATGCCATTTTAACGAGGGCTTCATTCAGTATGTTGAGCAGCTGAAGAATGGCTCTTTTCTTTGCTTGTTATCTGTGTGTGTGTGTGTTGTGTGTGTGTGTGTGCATGTGTCTGCTTGTAAAAATATCTTTGTGAGACCATTTTGAGGCTTAATCTTACGGAGTCAAGACTCTTTGGCCGGCCCTCATGTTCTGACCCACTTAGGACTTTTAGGTTTTTAGGCTCAGTATTTGGCATAGGTATGGGTTAGGGTATGGGTTAAGGATTAGGCTGAGTGATAGTTCAGGTTAGGATAAGGGGGTAGGGAACTCAATATGCCAATGAGCGTCCTCACTAAAGAAGTACACAATTTGTGTTTGTGTCCAGATATGACAGATACTCATGTTGTGGGGACCATAATCTGTTCACAGAGTCACATTAAGAGGATTTGTCTTCTGATGGAGACAAAAAAATGTCCCCATAACATGAATTATTACTTTTTAAGTTGAAGCCACGATTAAAAGTTAGGTTAAAGTTAGATTTAGGTTAAATTTAGCTTGAGTTTAGGTTAGTTTAGGTTAATTTAACAGCCCTAATCCTGCGATGAAAACATAAAGTAGTTAAAATAGACAGAAATTAGGATTTTAATAGGCCTGGGATTTCTGTATGTTGCTCATCAAATAATAAACTCACCTTTACAGATGGCACTGATGCCGGTCCAGGTGCCGTTGTCCCGGCAAGCACGTGTGGCCGAGCCAACGAGGTGGTAGCCCTGAGAACAAGTGAAATGGACCTCGTGTCCGACAAAATACTTTGAGCCAAACTTGGTTCCGTGAGCTGGGGCCTCTAGGGAGGGGCAGGTGGTGGAAGCTGTGGGAGAGAGCACGAGAGTGAGGCTGGTCACATGTGGAGTCAGCCTCCCGACATCCTCTGGCATTCCCTGCCTGGGGATATACACATGTCACTGAGCAGCGAGCGGAGAGCCTTCATGGGAAGGTTCGCTCCAAACGCCTCATTTGCAGTCAGTTAGCAGAGAAACGGCCATTCCTGTGAGTCAGAGTTGCACCACGCAGGAGCCAGATGCTATGCTATGCTGAACGTTTTCTAAAGAAAGCTTGTATAACATATATATACAATGTAATCACATTACATAACATTGTGAATGCGTTACATTTCTGACTTTCATGAGCCAGTCACTCTTGAAGGACTGTGAGAAAATGTTTCCTATTCTATCAACCTCAAGTGAAAACACTACATTTCAGATACTGTATTATAGGTTTTGCATTGCCAGACCTCAATGTAGTCCAGCTCATATTTATTATTGCAGTACAGCGACAGCCAACTTTGACTCATTGAGGCCTTCTGACCAATTTTTGTGTCAGATTTTCAGACAAATGTGAACAAAATGGCTCAGGGTACACACAAAATCAGTGTGTGTCTGTAATAAATGCATATTATTATAACAATAACCAAATCCAAATACTTTTTAATTTGATCCTGATCTGAGGCCCTGCAATGATTTTACTCGTCTTTTCATTTTCCTTTATTGCTGCGAATGTTAAGTATCAGTCTCCCACTGTCTTGCCAAGTGCTCTCCACAGAGTTATGGACTGGACTGGTCCATCACTAACAAATTGGCCTCGTGCTTGTCCGCTGCCAAACAACACAATTCCATAAATCCACTTCTCCCTGTCGAGCGTACCCAGCTTTGTAACTGAGATGGCCGTGTGCAGTTTTGATGAATTTGTAATCCCATAATACAGGAAGCTCTCTGCTGTCACTGGTTGACAGGGGACACATACAAAAAACAGTTTGAAGATCAAACAATCGAATGTTCCTAAAAATGCTGTGGATGTGATACTTTGAAACCTTCAGCGATTCACTGAACTACTGAAGGAAACCTCAGCATGAGGTTTATACTGCACAGGATGCATATTTAATGACTGCTCATTTGGAAGGGTCCTTTTTGTGAAGCTAATGCATAAAATATTCCAAAACATCAGAGGTTAAATGATGATCTACTTAAAGATTGACAGCCAACCTTATACAATGTGTGTGACTTATTCTGTTTGATGAAGTATTTCTACCTAGATCGATAGATAGCATTTTTGTATTTACCTGAGAAATCTGATTAATGTTTATATCTATATCTTGGCAACATGACCCTGTCTTTTGTAAAATGAGAAGGGAGTTTGTAATAGTTTCCATTTTGCTCAGTTAAAATGAATGAATGCACAGATGGATGGATGAAATACTGTTGTGAACTATATGAACATCCCTGCACTGTGATAAACACCTGTGGTTTTATTTACTGCTCTGTTATTGACAATGATATTGATTATGACGTGTGTTTGATACCAGTTTATTAACTCACCGGCTGACTGGTCTGCTTGAGGCAACTTGGACACAGAGTTCTGCAGCGTCGCCAGCTTGGACTTCATGATCCTGAGGCCCTCGGTGAATCGCATCTCCTGACCTTTCAGGAACTTCTCCATCTGACGGAGCACCCCGACCACCTGGTGCTTATCCATGCACGTCTGTGAACACAGCGCGAGCAACTGTGAGCAGCAGCATCAGGGAGCTGCAAGAGAGTCTTGGCAAAGTGTTATTGCATGCAACTGCTTTCCAAGAAGTAAAACAAGCACAGAAATAAAAGGTTGCCTGAGTTAAATGGTCATAAAATATATTTTTAAAAAACATGAGTGGTCAATAAACATTAATGTGCAGCTGTGGAACATGATGTCACTGAAACTAAATCCATCTTATTAGTAGGCACATGGTCGTTAAGGTTACAGAGTGTTTTCATTGATATTAAACAACCTTATGTAACTCTGACATGGCATATTAGTGACATGTTCTTATTGTGCTCACATGACAAACTTACTCTCCATGATTTATTTTACTTAAATTGTCTTAGGCCTCATTGCATTCACTTTTGAGATATTCAAGGCCTCCCTTCTCTTCTTCGGTCTCTTTCCACTTACTACCAGTTCTAGACACAGCTGGACAAAAGCTGCCTGGCAGATGTTGGAGGGACGAAATGCTGTTCCTCTGTATATTTTTGCATGGTGGCAGGAAGGCATATGCTCTGTGGATAATCCTGCAAGCGGGCAGACTCCAAACAGCATGGGTGCCACTGGCAGTTATAGTTGACGCGGGGGGGAAGCTTGTCAAACCGATGCAAAGTTCTTCAGAGAAAGTGCCTCTAATCCTTTCAGCAGGGTTTATTAATCACATGCTCATTGGAACAATTTTCTCTGTGAAGGCATACCTTAAATTCCTGCGCAGGCATTCTGAGGGTAACGACCAATTTCGATGCATTAAAATTCACATTGTGCACATAGCGTGGAGCTGTGCAGGGGCTCAGATAGTGCTCTGCCCCAGGCAAAGGGGAAAGGCCACCAGCTGACAAGGCATGAGAGGCTTCAAATTCAGATGCGACAATGAGTTCTTGTGATTAAAACAGGTTTTAAGTGATTCCTCAAGACGAAATTGTGAACATCACATTACAAAGTGCAAATCATCAAATGCCACATTACACAATGAAAACAGATTGGAGCTGGATAAAGCACATACAAAAAAGACAGAATGTGTTGCGTGTTGTGGTGACTCTTTGTGGATAATAGGCCTGATATTGATATTCCCAGAGGTTGCTCAGATTATAAGATTTGATATGGTCACATTCACTTTACTTGAGCCAGTTTTGCAGGCTCCAGATGCTCCTGGAGAAGTGTCAAAGTTGGACAAGTGAATGACAAGATGTTTGTACATAAACTTAAAGTAAACCAGACTACTCTTACCTGGACTGCAGCATGACCACTGTGGATAAGTGTCAAACACAGTAGAAGGAGACACCTGCGTCGAAAAGACAACTCCATCTCTCAAAAGTCCAAGTTACAATTCACTGTTGATGATCTCCAAGATTTTTACAGGCTTCTCTCTTTATGGGGCTTTGATAGAAATCCAAAGGAGCAGCTAACTCTTGAAGAATGAGCCGGTCCTATGTGGAACACGCTCATCAGGTGTCAGAGGGAGATGCGCTCTGGTGCGTGGAGCTGCGCGCTTGGAGAGTTCAGCCTGTGCGCTCTGCACACCACCACCAAAGTTTCCTCCTGCAGCAAGAATCCCTCCCACCGAGATGGACCCAAACGCTGTAAAGCGTTTCTTTATACATGTCTCGTCTGCTGAAGAGGAAAGTCACAGTCTGAATGTGTCAGAATACACGAAAAAGACATTTAGATTTAATTATAGGGCCATTAAGGATTAACATCAATTGTTTTTCTCTTCCTTGGAAACTCAAATGATTATAAACGTGTTCAGAAAAAACGCCAATAACGGACCATCCTCTGTAATACAGCTGCACACTTCACTGTATTCACTGATACAGGATACAGGGTTTTGCAGACTTGAAAGAGGAACAACAATTTTCAGTTTTTTCCATTAATTTAACAAACAACATTGCTGGACATGCATTATGGTGAGTGGCTCGTTACCGTTGCGCAAACTCATAGGAGAGTCTTTTTAGGTTTTTAACGTGTGGTGCTGCAGCGACACCTGGTGGCCCCTGACGGGAGGACTGCGACTGATCAGAGGAGAAGATGGTGGAGGAGAAGGAGGAGGAGGAGGATCTCCATGATACTAGAGCCCAGCCTGGCCTCTGGAACTCAGTCTGATCAGTATATTAAAAAACTGTAATAGTATAAACATATCCAGTGCAATGAGGAGAAAGTTGCAAATGTCTAAAAATAAAAAGGAAAATTCAAAACTAGACTACAACAGGAACAGAAAAAGTAGTATCGGACATTATCACAAGTTTGTGATAATAGCTGTATATTGACATTATAATAATACTGTACATGATATAATAGACGAAGTAATCAGCATTTTTAAAGGTGAATAAGCTGCTCTCAGTATAAAGACAGAGGAACTTTCAGCTTCCTATTTTAGGCTCAAGTTTTTGTTTAAATCAATTATTTTGTACTTGGGTCTGATCTTCACATGGACACACACTCCTCACCTCTGTGACCCTCTGCAGAAACACTCACACACTGCTGTATTAAAGTTATTTAACTGTGTGTCCAGATGTGTTCTCTTTCTCCACTGCAGCTCATTCAAACTGTCTCTGTTACCCAGAGAGAGGGAAAACGTGCCACCTGGTGGACAGACAACGCAGATGCTGCAGTTTGCCTCTAATCCACCTGCTCAGTGTGTTTGTGTCTGCTGTGCTACAATGATCCAGTGATGGGGCTCACTCCACACATGGAGGAATTATACTTATATACGCATATTCAAAAGCAAATACTTACTAAATTATTGTTTCTCATGAAGAACAGTAATTGCAGTACTTTTACTTAAGTGCATGTTTGTCAATTATTTGGAAGTAAATGTTTGAGTAACTACTCGACCTCTGGCAGCATTCAGTATGTAGTTGCATGTAATTGTGTGTCGCTGGGTGTGCTTACACTGTGTTTGCCACTTGTGCATGACCTGTATTTTTATCTGCATAATAATAATAATAACTTTATTTATAGAGCACTTTTCAAAATCTAAGTCACAAAGTGCTTTACCAATGGCAGCAAACTAAAACAAACAAGTCATAAAATCATGTGTGGCATATGCCAATCACTTTTTATTGCACATGTGCCTCTTACTCTTAAATTCATAAATGCTTATGTATTTATATCATACTGTTTACAACTGTTAATTTACACTTCTCTACAAATCATTGTATCCATAGTGAAAGTGGTAGAATTAGTGAATATTCTCTGAATTTCTATTTCATTTTCTTTTCTATTTTCTGTTATTGCATACTTTATACTGTCACGTGTTCTCTTCCTCATTTTGACTTGTGTTGTTGTTGTGTGCGTGTGTGCGTGAAGTGGGCGTCACCTGAGTTTGTTGTGCGTGTGTAAAAACGTAGTTATAAGTAAAGCGATGATCTTTAATAACAACACATTACACACACACACACACACACACACACACACACACACACACACACACACACACACACACACACACACNCACACACACACACACACACACACACACACACACACACACACAGGAGCGAGCGTCACGTACGCTTCCTTGTTACAGATGTTGGAAGTTACTGACGTCGCTCTGAACCAATGAGAACCGCACCTGCCCCCCCCCTCCCTCTCGACCAATCGGCGATGAGGACTCGCTGCGTCCAAGTTAGATAGATCCGCGTCGGACTATAAAAACCACGGAGGAGTACACGCGCGAGGAAATGTGCAGCAGAACTCAGAAGCCATTTTGAAATGATGATGGCGTCCCTGTTGAGAGAAGCCGTGAGGATGCAGAGAACCAACGAGCAGGGCCACGCTCCTGTCTGTGCCTCCTCTTTCCCTCCATCATGGCAGCTGTCTACCGACGGGACATTAGCAGAGCGGCGCTGCTCGCTGAGTTAAAACGTCATTGACATGAAAGAGGACGGTGTCCGTTCACTGTCTCTGTTGGAGACGTGTAACACCGTGAGTTTTTCTCCAGTCTGACATCTTCCAGCTTCTCTCACAGTCTCCCTCTCTGTCACCGGAGCGAGGGGGAGGCAGATCCGCTGTCCAATGGCCTGTGTGAGCCTTGTCTCCAGTCCCCCAGCCCCTGTCCTTGACAAAAACATGACAGACTCTGAGCTTGCAGGGGATGAAAGGTCGAGTAACCTTCTTGTGCAATTGTTCAATTACGCTCATCTGTGCGTGTCAGTGCTGTGGCTCTACGTGCTTGTGCTACTTGTTTTCTTCTCTTATTCAGTGACCGCAGGGTACAGAGACATTTTCTCCCACACCTCCAAAGAGAGAGACAAAGCCTTCTTCTTCTTTGCATGCCTCTTTGGTGCAGTTTAAACCACGCTGTCCAAAACATCCTCGGTTTTTCTTCTTCTTCTTCTTCCCATCACCGTGTCGACAGTCATGATCATCCGCAGACCTCATCCTCTGTTGTTTGTGTGATCGTGGGCGTCATCGTTGCCATCTGCAGGAAACTGTGCAAATGTTGGAGGTGCCACGCCCATCCTCGCATTGTCACCCACCCCCCAGCCCCTTTCCCTAGCGGACACACGGGGGTACTGCAGCGACAGGGGTCACGCAAGGTTGAGCTTATGTACCTCTGGTTGGGTTCAGGGACGTGCGTGCTCGTGACTAGTCTGTAATCCTGTAACAGGGCTTTCCAATGTTTACGGCTACACACTCAGTGTTTTCATTGACCTCAACTGAAGAAGAAGAAGAAGAAGAGTCAGTGGGTGGTGTGTGGAGACGAGTGTTACTGTTTTCTTCTTTTCACCATTCATCACAGGGTCCAGAGACATTTGCACGGTTTTCTCCCCCCCTTTGAAAAAGAGAAAACAATCTTTGCATGCTTCTTTGGTGCATTCTAAGTAATACTGTCCAAATGGGCTTGATATCCTATCACGGACACTCACAATCATTCACAGCAGAGCTCATCTTATGTGGTTTTTGTGTGATTGTGGGCTTCGTTGTTGTCAGCTGCAGGCGATGGCGATGAGACGCCTATCCTCGCATTGGGGCCCCCCCTATCCCACCCCTGAGACAGGGGTCATGCAGGGTTGAGATTATGCACCTCTGGCTGGGTTTAGGGCTGTGTGCAGAACAGGGCAGTCCAAGAACAAGACTACAACAGGTGACGCACTGACGTGCACCAAAGAGATAGAATCTGTTGGTTTAGTGTTGAGCTTGGGAAACAAAAAGGTTGATGGTTTATTTTACATGCTGCATCCTGGACACCTGTTACTGTTAGAGATTTAGACCTGTGATTCATGTCCTTCAAATGTATAGTTTCAATCGGGCCCTCAGGAGAGAGAGATTATGGTTTTGTTGCACCTTATAGTGTTACCGTATTACTATGGTATCACTACTGAATTTACATTCGTAGGATTTGCCACGTTTGTTGTCAGACCTGAGTTTGGTGTAATCACATGAAAACAACAGGAAAGTGTACATTTGTGCCATAGCTCCTTTATTATTAAAGGATTTAAGTTGGCTGCTGTTACTGGACTAAAAGTGAAGAAGTGTAGCTACAGTGTCATGGCTACTGAGGCTGGTGAGGTGCCAGGTTGAAGCCTGAGCTGCACCAGTGTCCGAGGACAGATCAGCGGGTGGACATACTTTTCCTATTTCATGGTGATTTTGTTTCACTTTTCCTGCCCGCTCTGTATTTTTCAGGCAGCTGACATTACATGTTATGAAAACAAGACCACTATCATACTTTGGTCGGAAATTGTACTTTAAACACATTCTTCAGGATATACTCTTACACAGTTTAATCTGTATTGGCCATCTGCTGTAACACAGTGTGAGTTCATTTCAATTTGAAATATTTCAATCAGATTGATGTTAAATTTGGACCAAGTGTTGTGAGAATTAGTTTCTATTGTACCTGCCAAGCTATATTGTTCTAGCCAACTAACTTTATACTATTTAGCCTGAAAGGGGAAAACTTATAAAAGCACAATAAAGGTATCTGATTTATTTTTAGAAACAACTCCACAGACTTTAATTCTATTAAACATTATCATCACTTTATTTAATGTACACTCCTCCCTTTCCTGGATATTTTAAATTGTAGTTATTTTGCAGGCCTTTCAGTCAGATAGCTGCTGTATAAATTCCTTTTGAATGTACAGTATTTCATAAATCTGTTTATAATTGTGGTAAATATAATCATGTTTTTGTATCACAAAACGATACCTAAATTAGACTTTAGACTTTGATACTCGATACCACGATGAAAAGAAAGAAGGTCCTGTTACGGCAATTGTATTGTTTGAAACATTTGGTATCAAAAAACTATGGATAAATGGGCTGAAATCATATTTCACTAGTTTCTGACGTCAGGTTGGTTTTGTTTAAAAATATGCAAATAACCCTGCTCATTGAAATATGAGGTTTTTATGGATGTTTTCAACCTGAGACTTTAATTTGGTTTTCACGAAATACCTCTACACTGGAAATAAAGACACTGCTTTGAATTATTAATATGATGGTTTTAGTTCAGGAAAGGCTTGGGGTGTTTTTGAAATTGTCTGGCATGATATCTGGTTCTTTGTTCCAACTGAAGGGAAAGACATCAATTCTTTTCAATTTATGACAGCAGTCTCGTGTGTTTTGCTCATGTAAAAAACATTTTAATAATAGTCTGAGGCTGACAAAATACAGCATATAAATCCTTATCCTGGACTCATTGTACTGATTTGTTTTCCTCTTTGTAGAGAGGATGGGGAACTAGAAGATGGAGAAATAGATGATGAAGGGATTGGGATTGAAGAAGAAAACAAAGAGACTACAGAGGTGAATGAAGAGAAAGAAAAAGAGCGAGTTAAAGAAAAAGAAGAAAAGACACACAGGCACTCCAGGAAAAGATACAAAAAGACCAAAGAGAAGAGGAGATCAAAGAGGAGGAGACGTGAGAGACAGAAAGTAAGATTCCATTACACGCGTTATAACACAATATCACAGGACATTCACAATTCAATGAAAATTCACTGTGATGTTGTTGCCCTCTCCTCAGCACCACTCCCCCTCCAGCAGCTCCAGCTCCGACAGTTATGACTCCGACTACGACCGACCAGAAAGGCCCAAAAGCAGGAAGTGCCAGGGATCTAACCGCGAGTCTGACGGCCCACCCTCTCAGGTGACTTCAGCTTCACAGGCCTGCTGACACTTCATATTTATATGAGCATTATTGTGACATTTTTTCTGTTTTCCAGCATGGACGGGACTCTAAAGGAAGCCACGGCAACTCGCAGAAGTCGCCGCCGCACAAGAGCAGTGATTTTGACAAGTACAGCGACTACAGTGATGACTATGATGAAGAGGAGGGCGATTACGACGAGGGCATGTCCGAGTATCAGCAGGCTAAAGATTCCCCAAGTCAGGGAAAGGGGCGCTATGCTAAAGACCAGATGCGGAGAGGAGGCATGAGGGGAATGAAACAACAGTGTATGGAGACTTTTTCCTTTGTCATAGAGTGTATAGTCATTCATCTGACTGATGATAACTTACGTCACACTGTCATTTGCAGTTGGGCAGAGGGGAAGAGGCAGAGGGAGCGGACCAGGCAGAGGACGTGGGATGCTCAACAAGAACAAGAAGCTGATGGGAAAACCCTGGGGTGGACGTGGGCGAGGTCGAGGAGGCGATCAGGGAATGGAAGAAATGGTAAATATGAAAACTTAATCAGATGTGTTAGTATTATATCTTTAATTATCGTGAAGAGACTGCACTTATTTTTATGTGTGTATGTATAAATATTTCTATTTATTTTAGTGTCTGCATTGTAATATGCATTTTGTTGAAAACAATCCAAATACAGCTTTTGACTGTAGATATTTAATCATTTCTACTATGAAGCTGAACTATTATACAAAAAAAACGTACTAACTAATCCTTTTGTTTATTTTGTGTCACAGGAAGGAAAAAATTGTTCTGGTTTTCAGAAGAAACGACCGATAATGAGCAAGGAGTTCATCAGCCAGCACACAGTGGAACACAATGGTCGATACATCTGCAAGTATTTCCTGGAGGGCCGATGCATCAAGGTAAAGTAGTATTTATGTTCTTTTGTTTGCTTTAACAGAGTAAGCAGATTTACTACAAAATATCTGGTAACGATGATAACCTTTTAAATTGAAAGATAAAAATCCTTTTGTCTTTATCCAGGGGGAACAATGCAAGTTTGAACACGAGCTCGTCGTGCCAGATAAGAAAAAGGAACTGTGTAAATTTTACCTCCAAGGATACTGCAGCAAAGGAGATAACTGCATTTACATGCACAATATCCTTCACTGCTGACAACATGTGTTTTTGATTATATTTGTATTTGTTGCACAAGGAGATCTCATAACTTTTAATTAGTCTTGTTCCTTAACCTGTGTTCGCACATGAATACCCGTGCAAGTTCTTTCACACAGGAGCGAAATGTTATCAAGGCGACAACTGCAAATTCTCCCACGAAGAGCTGAATGATGTCACCCAGGAGTTGCTTGATAAGGTTTGTTAAGTTGTTTTTAGTTTTTTTTTCCTTGGTTAACATCCATCTTATATCTGCTTTCTGACTCCTTCGTCAGATCATTAACACTGAAGAGGAGAATGCCCGTGAGGACGAACTGGAGCTGGAGGATCTGAGAAAGCAGGGTATCGCCCCGCTTCCTAAGCCTCCTCCTGGGGTGGGGTTGCTGCCCACTCCTGGTCAGAGCAGTCCCACAGATGGAGCCCCTGGCCAAGCAGGGAAGAAGATCCCCTCCCTCTTTGAAATCAATGTCCAACCTACTGTTGACTTGGTGCAAAAAATTGTCAGGTAACCAAAATAATCTGTATCTATAATCTGTAAACTATAGGAGTGTTCGGATCTTATCCTCAACCTGTGAACTTTTATTTTTCAGTGGATCAAACTACTCCCAGAATCAAGATGATGGCACCAATCAGTTTAGTGGCGGCTCAGAGGACACACAGAGTGGAGGCATGGTGCCTTCAGGTTCCACTGCTCCTTCTATTCCTCCCCCTGGTTCACCTGTTGCCATGGGTCACCCCACGGGACCCTCAATGCCACAAAGCCCGCCAGGCCAGCACCCTCCACATGGATTTCCTGGTCAACCACCACCCTTCCACGGAAACCGACAGAATATCAATCCTCAGATGAATATGCAGAGGCCTCCGTTCCCTCCGATACCAGATCTACAGATGCTGCAAAATCCCTTCCCTTTTCCATCGATGGGCCAGAACCCAGTAGATGCCTTTGGCAGCTTCCTCCAGAACCAGGCCATGGGTCAACAAGGAGGTCAGTGTTATACCTCTTTTTATATAAAGTGGATATACGCGGGTGAAAAGGCGGCTGACTCCTTGCCCATTGACACAATTTTTCGTTCTGTTTTTTTCCCCTGGTGATTCATGTTTGAAGTCGGAAAGTAACATGACCAATGTTTCACAATCCTTGCTGCCTTCCCAGTGTTGCGTCTCACGTAATACAAAGAAGAAAAAAAAAAAAAATCACTGTATCCATTCCCATTGCAGACAAAAGCCAGATGTTAGTGGGTGTTTTTTGACCAGTTAAAAATTGTCTTATACGTTAATTCGCTTTTTAGTTTTCACTGAAATTACAAAGAATCCTTTTTTTCCCCCAACACAGTAGACCCTGGCCTGGCCTTCATACAGAACCTCCAGCAACAGATTGGTGCAGAGTCACAGTTGCAGTCTTTACCACCAGCAGTGCAGAAAGCCATCTTTTTACACCTGACACAGCAACAGGGGAATGAGCCACAGAGAGCAGAGGTTCAGGATGATAACAATGCAAACAGAGGTAAGTGCCTGTGTGCAGTAAAATAATAAGGCTAAAGCAAAACCCAAAAAAATCTGAACACCTGTGAAAAATTCTCAATTTCATTCTTTTTGAAAATAACATATAACATATAAATATGATGTCTATCTTTGCAGATGAAACTACAAACTGGTATTCGAGTGATGAGGAGGATGGGAGCTGTGTTGCCTCCATCCTTAAATCTCTGAAAAAGCAGAGTGAGATGCAGCAGTCTCAGTCCAAGCCTCCCCCGACTGCGGTACCGGGCGACCCTCGGCTTGTAAAAGAGAGGGCCCCACCCTGTGACCCGCGTATGAAGACAGACCCTCGACAGCGACCTCCCGATGTGAAAAAGGAGTCGGAGGGGGCTGCAGATCCGCGGTTCTCCAGAGACCCCAGGAAGATGAGGCCAATGGAGAAAAATCCCTATCGCCAGCAGAGCAACCTTGTTCCTCAGAAGCCTCCTACAGGAGAGGAGGATGACGAGGGAGAGAGGGAGCTCAGGGACAGAGCTGTTCTCATCCCTCTTGAAGCCGGCCCCAGTGTGGTGCTGCGGGACCCTCGTTGCCAGTTAAAGCAGTTTAGCCACATCAGGGTGGACATTCTTCTCCAGCGGCCTGCCTTTGCTCAGACCGTGGTGTGGGCCCCTGAGGACCTCATCCCGTCCCTGATCCCCAAACAGGAACACTCCATCAACCTCCCTTTGCCACCCCTAATTGCCGACGCTCAGATGAACCGATCCAACCTGCCCGACCATCCCCCAGTCACCAGCCCTCCGCCTTCTGACCCCAGGCTGATAGCTGCACGTTTGAAGGAACGTATGAACCGCTTGCCTTCTGGATCCTTAGAGTCTCGATTCCCCACAGAGAGACCCATAGACCCACGCCAACAAAAGGCTCTTGACCCCAGACTCAAGCGTACAGGAAGTCTGGACTCCAAGCTGCTGGTTCAGAAAGAGTCCTCCTCTGTGGGAGGCGGTGTGGACCCCAGGCTACAAAAAAACTCCTCTCCTCAAGCCGCTCGAGCCAAGCCGGAGCCTGAAAAGCTGCCGCCATACGCCCCTCGTCTGGCATCCAGTGGTGGAGGGCTGGAGAGTCCGACCACAATCCTCGGGGGCATCAGCCTGTATGATCCTCGTGCTCAAACAGAGCAGATTCAGAAGGAACAGGCAGAGCCTCCTAAAAAAGTGGGGATTCTGAAACATTCTGCTAAGAAAGACAGTACTGCGCCTCAGTCACTCTCACCGACTCAACAAAGCAGCTCTTTTGAAGAGGTCAAAAGCACAGACACTGCCTCAGATCCGCCTCCGCCCTCCCATTCTCCTGCAGTGCCTCCAGCCTCACCTGTCAAACCCCCTGCGGTTCATAATCTCCCCATCCAGGCTCTAGCCGGACTTATCCGACCCCAGTACATGGACCCCAGACAGGTCAAGCAAGCAGGACAGGGCACCACTGGAGCACAAGAAGTGGTAGAGCTAAAGGAGGAGAAGGAGGAGGAAGAGGAGCAGCCAAAAGAGGGGAAGAAGCGGGACGAGGAAAAAGAGGCTTCGAAGGAGGAACAGAAACAGGAGGATCCAGAGGAGGAAGCAGACGACAGGACACTTAAAGACGTCTTCAAGACCTTCGACCCCACTGCTTCTCCTTTCTGTCAGTGATCCCTTTGGAGAATTTGAAAAGCTGCGTGAAATTTGTACATTGATGAGACATTTCTATTAATCTTTATTTAGCTTTACATGAATCTATTTATGTCTGTATATGAATGATGCTGTATAGAATCACATATTATCTAGTGCACTACATGTTTATCAGTACGGAGATGGTGATAGATGTGTGCACAGACACTGTATAGTTCCTTTGAACATAATCACATTAATGCTGTGTGTTTTTGAAAGTGTTTTTATCATTCTGTAATTTTCTTGTTTGTTCTAAAAAGTCAGAAAAAAAAGGAATAATTTCAACTTGTATATTTTTCTTGAGGACTGATCCGTATGTTGGTTACTAAGCGTTGAGTTGTTCCAGGCATCAAACCCTGTAGATTAGAGTCATTCATTCTCTACATGCACAGAAGTGACGCAGAGTAATCGACCAAACAAAGGTGGTTTTGTAATTACTTATTTATTTCACACACTTTTATATTGTGGTGTATTCATGTTTATGTTCACTTGTGTGAGAAGGGAGTTTTCATGATAAATCAACAGAAGTTTTATGGAACATTTTTACCCCCCACACCCTGATATGAGGATTGTGATCAGCTTAGCCCCAGTTGCTTTTCACATTGACTGATCGCTCCTCCCTTTTTACAGTTTTTCCCTTTTCTCTATAATGACGCTATCCTGCAGAGTTTTTGTGCAATGTCTTGTGCAATATGTTAAGTTTTGACTGCTTAGCTGAGAAGAAATGTGTAATTTTTCTGCAACATTGCCGTTTTTAAGTTTTGTACAATGTTGGCACTATTGTCATTATAAATGGACTGAATGCTTTGAGGACATTACTGTTGTGGCCTTTTCTGACTTGCTGGTAATGACAGTTAATGGAAGAAATTACTATTGGATTAAGATTAGATTTGTCATCGTCATTCCTCAAAATGCTCACTGCTGACAAGCTTGTAAGTCGCTTTTAAAATTTCCTTCACTTCAAAAAAATAGTTGGAAAAAGACGTCAGCAAAGAAAGAAAAATACTATCCTGGTGACATTGTATTACGTGTATATATATATGTTAAAAATATAACAGTTCTGGCTATTTTCACCGTTTGTTTTATTTGAGTTGATTTAAGATGTCACATGGGGTAATGTGTGTTACAGAGGTCGACTGTTGTAGACCTATGGTGGCATAACAATTGGAAGATTTTTTTTTGATTGAATGGTGTTTTTGTAGTTTGACTGAAACTTAGCTATTTACTTTTTTTTATCGTTTTCATAATTCACAATGTAAATGCCTATTTTGTATCACTTATACAGTGTTGTTTTTTTTCAAGTGTTTTAATGAATAATCCTTTATTTTTGTTCTTGTCAGTATGGTGTAAGATACTGTAACAACACACATGCCCGTCACAGACACCTAGTCTGATTTTATGATCATTATCTTAAATAAAGACATAAAACATCAATTTTACTTAGCAGGTTAAGTTGAAATCACAGACAGGCACTACTTTTTGAAGCCATCTTGCACATTAACTGGTGGGGCAAGACTGGGTGCTACAGGGTGCGATGAGGTCTTTCTCAAACCCAGCTCATCAGTCTTCGGGTTTGAGGTTTGCTGAGCTCGATGGATCTCCAGATTCCTCTTCCACTGGAAACACAGAGCTGTAGCCTCAGCGCCATCTGAGTCTGGCTCAGGCTGCTTCAAACCCTGGAATAAGAGTCAAATAAATAAATGTGGGCCGAATCAATGAGGCGCTTATTAAAGTCTTGTCATGTGTATGTTTGTGCTGTTAAATTTACTATGATGCAGGCTGTCTCTGCAGCATGGACCCCACGCAGCACCGTCTGGAGGAGATTCTGTGCGTTCTTCACCAGGATCTCATCAGAAGATTTGCACCCAGGTGTTACAGCATTGACACTAAAACAGGATATTCACCACCTTAATTTGTTATTACTTTCACCAAGGAGCTCATGTTTTCACCCGTCTGTTAGTTAGTTAGTTTGTTTGTTTGTGAGAAAGATTACACAAAAAATTTCCAGGAAACTTGGTTTAAGGATGTGATATGGGTCAGGAAAGCAACCATTCAATTCTGCAAGATTCAGGACTTTTTTTACCACTTTCTTTAAAGGTATATTTTCAGGGTTTAATGAGCAGGTGGACCTAAAAATGCAGGTGAGAGATAAGGTAACACAAAAGGTACTTTAATTAAAGCTAAAGTTCTTATAAAACAAAATCCACAAACAGATAAAACACTCTAAAAGGCTCAACTGAAACAACATGGAAAACACTAGGGAACAAGAACAAAGCAAAGGATCTGAAGATGAATGACGCGAAGGTCAGACGACAAACTGAAGCACAGGGACTTATATACACAGGGGAGGCAGGGATAATTGGACACAGGTGAAACACATGAGGAACATTAGCAGACAGACAGGAAGTCAAGTAGAAAACACGAGGAGCAACACTTCAAAAATAAAACAGGAAACAGAATTGAGATAGAAACAAATTAACACAAACCTAAACACAAGGAGACACAGTAAAAACTCCATAAACAAAGAGTCCATAAACAAAACCTCTTATCTGAGACTCCAAAGCCTAGAGTCATGACAGATAGTTCACCAAAAAATGAAAATGCACTCATCATCTACTCACCACTGTGCAGATGGAGGGAGTGGGTGAAGTGTTTGAGTCCACAAAACACTTCTGGAGTTTCAGAAGTGAACTTTGTAGCAGCCGAATCCGATACAATTGAAGTCAATTGGTGACAGAAAAACACAACATGCCTCCATACTGCTCCTGTGGTGACCTTTTATATTCATATTCAGCTCAGTGGTGGTTATTTACATCGTGTTTTAATTCTAAATGTCCGCTGATATCTACCTACCAGGTGCATTCACAGACCCTTTTTTGGTGAAATATTGATTGAATTTAAGGAGACTGTTTGGCCTTGGCAGAGGTGTGCTCTCTACCATGTGTCATTCTGGTTATATTTTCTAACTGAGTTGTCTGTGTGATGTTTGTGTTACTGTTTCTGACCTGGAGATGATGTTGAGCTGGTTGGTGATGGTGAGAATCTGCTCAACAATCACTGACAGCTCCACTGTGCACTGTTTATCCAAGCAATGGTTGGCAATGACTCTGATGAATTGAGTCAGTGACTGGCAGTTTGAGATCACATCTTTGGCTGCAGTGACAAATCCCTCTTTATTCTGAAAATAGAAATCATTGCATATAACTCTCTGCAAATATCAAGACGAAACTGAAACAGTGGCCTCTGATGGTCCTTACTGGTATTGGGCCTTTCTGCTTTAAGTACTGAGTCATGTAGCATATTGTGTCGGCCATCTTCCTGGTCACCTGGACGATTCTGTTGTCCTTGGGATCCCAGCTGTTGCTTTCTTGTTTTAGAAAAAGGGAGGTGTAGGTCAGTGAAGAAGCTTCTTTGAATGCACCAAATCCGGCACCGTCCTTGTAGAAAAAAATAAGGGCTTGATTTATTGTGGCATAAAGGAATCTGTAAAATCTTGTTAATCATTAGATACCTACAAATTTGTCCGTATTTCCAGGTTCATATTTGGCCACAGCTGCCATGTTTCTATCTGTTTCTGGAGCATCCACACGTTCTGTGTTGCCTTTCAGCCAGGATGTCATTGCCTTGTGAGAGGAAACCTCTACTTCTTTGACTTTAGATGGAATTGCAGCCAACACGTCTTCAGGTGTTCTGCCCTGTAGACCAGTCCTGATGTGCTCTTTGGCATCTTGGTGAACCCTATCCTGCTTCCTGATCTCCTCCACCACATAGTGAGCTTTAGCTGACCAGCACTGTATCTGCACATCTAAACTGAGTGTATCACAAATATATTGAGTCTCTACCATGAGCCGTGCCCTGCTGATCACATCCGAAACCTGAAAGGACAAGAGGTCGTTGATAGACCTCAGATTGGAACGGGTGCGTGGGTCCTGGATGTAGTTTAAGCAGTCCTCCACTTTTTTCGTCGCAGCTTTTACATTTTCAAAAAGTGCTTCTGACGTGATTTCAAATTTTTGCTTTGTATCTTCTATGTCATTCTCCCTGTAGTGTTTAGCTGCATAATAAGCAATGCTGACAATATTTTGTAGTGCAGCATCATAATCCTGATTTGCTTTGCTCAAATGACCACAAAGGACTCTAATTTGAATCAAAAGATTTCTCTTAAGAAATTCAGATTTTGCAAGTTGCATCACTCTTGGCATGAAGTCAAGCTCATCTGCTGCTTCAACGTGGGCTTCAGTCAGTGTTTTCAATTCATCCTGGTGGCCTGTTAACTGTTTTGATTTGAAAGCACTTCTACAATTTAGGCTGGTGATCCTTGCCGCCTCCTGAATACGAAGTGAGCTTTCCGACAACGCTGACAGCTGTTTCTGAGGGCTCAGCTGATTCATTGCTGCTGATGTTCCCAAAATCTTATCGAGAGAATTCAGCAAAATCTGAATAGAGAGACCCCAGAGGATACAGAGTCCCTCCAGCTGATCTACCTGTCCATCCACGGAGGCAGAGAACTCGAGCAGAAGCCTTGTGTTGTTCTGGGCTTTGTTGAGCTTGTTGTGTAAAACACCGAATGTTTCTTGGCCGTCACTGTGTGAGGTTAAACCAGATGATGTCAACAGCTGGACGACGTCAGCACATAAATTCATCACTTCATTTAGTTGCTGTGTAGCAGTAGCTGCCCCTGTTGGCAGATTTCTTTGCAGCTCAGTGTAAACAGATTGATGCCAGGTTCCAGCTACTGGCAGTAAAACTTTCCTAATGTTGTTAATAAGGTCAGAAAACTGTATGCTGTGTTTGTAGATGCTCTCTGTGCTCATTGCTGAGCTCATTGCCGTCTCTTGAGCCGTCTGGACAAGCAGCGGCGTCAGCGACACCAGCTCTCCTCTGAAAGCTTCCAACGTTTGACAGTCAACCGCATCAACAATGGTCAAAGCTTCCTTTGCAGCTCTAGTGTAACAATTTGACACCTCAAGAACACCAGTGCAGGCCTGGTTGAGCGCTGTCACATCTTTCTCTTTAGTCACAGTCACAACTTCATACAGGAGGGGTAAAAGGTCAAATTCTCGAGGCTTGTGGATCAGTTTTGGTACTTCGGAGACAGCTGGGCTCTTTAAATCATCAATGTCATATTTATGAGGCAGTTCCGCTTCTATAGTTTCCTCATCTGACTGCTCCTTCTCATGCTCGGTATGGGAATCCTTCTCCATAACCTCCAAAGCCGGAGAATGAGAGCCTCTTATTATATGATCCAGGTTCAGTTCGCAGGTGTCTTTTTCTGGTAAATCTAACACAGAGATTTCAGGCTGACGTGCCCCCTCTCGCAGTGGGCTCAGGAGATGTGGATGCTGCTGGCCATCCAGTCCCTCTCTCAGCACTTTAAAATGCTGAATGACTGTGGATACATTGTCTGAAAAGGTAGAATACACCTCTACATTTAGACAAGTACCAAAAAGCATGTCTCTGATTGACTCAACCACTTTGGTCTGAGATGACTGAACTTGTTTCAGCAGGACCAGGAGGCCATTCCTGTAGATTGGGTTATCACTTGTGTCCAAGTGCCTCCTCACTGAGTGGATCACCAACTTCATGTGACAAATGAGGTTTGTCGCATTTTCATCAAACAGTTTGTAGCTCTGCTCTCTGTACGCCTCGTCACATCCATGCCGGTCATTGACCATCTCATTGATAGCAATACTAGTGAACTCCCTCACATCCATTATATCACTGATAGCATCCTGAAGCTGACAAGTCTCCTCCTCCCATTTCTGACAAACCTCATGAAGCTTTTGAACAGTTTGCATCGAATTATCCTCCAGCTCCAGTGAAAGAGGTGCAATCCGAGCTCTGACTCTTGCAAGGCATGCTCGTGAGTTCTCCACATTCTCCAAAGTCTTTGCGTCAACAGCCACAGCTGAGATAAAATTTGCCACTTTTGCTATTCCATCAGTGGAGGTTATAAAATCCTCAGCTAGTGGCTGAAAAAAGTTAAGATCCATCTTTGTAGAGGAATCTGCAGCAAGGATCTGTCTCATCGCACTTAATTGCTCCTCATGTGCTGAAGATGCTGTAAGAAATGTGTCCAAGACTTGATGGAGAATCGCACTCATCAAATCTTTGTCAAGCATTTGTATTTGCTGCACCAGCAAAGTTGAGGAATTCTCAAGGCTCCGATCATCAAGATTCTCTGACGACTTTAGAATCATTTTCATGTCAGACCAGAACTGCAGGATGTGACGACAATGGCCGACCACTCTTTGTTGAAAGTCTCTTCGAGAAGAGTTCGCCACGAGCATACAGTGAAACACAAGATCTCTTACCATGCTGTCCAAGCCACTGCTTGGGATTGAAGAGGGGGAGGAACTTGTCAGTATTTGCAGCAAACTGGTTTTCCTCCCTGTGTAA